CACACATTCGAACACAAAAGGTATGCGAAAACGCTTACTTAAGGCAGAAATGGAATGCTACATTATTTTCAGTCGGAACTGATCGTCGAAAAAATGCCCTTTGAAGAAGTGTTTTTGATTAAATAAACTGTTTCAAGTACCGAATAAAGAAAGTAAACAAAGAAGAGTAAGTAAATAAATATTTTCAAATGATTCAAGATATATTATTAAATAAGGGAATAAATGTGTGCTCCAGATGTTTTTATCACTCTGTTTAAGACCGCTTAGAGTCTTGGTGCTGATAATTACCCGAGCCGGAGGCGAGGATAATTATCAGTACCCAGACTCTAAGCGGTCTTAAACAGAGTGATAAATACCGACCGAGCACACATTTATTCCCATTCATAAATACCTTTTCGGTAAAAAAAAAATCAAATAATTCGTTCAAAAAATCCCGGTTTTGTTCAACAAGTTCACTTCATGCTTTTTGAAACATCCTTCTAGCAAAATAATGGAGTGTTCAGCTGGCGAGTAAGATGTAAACAACCCTTTTATGGAGATTGACGCGCGCGTAGCATGTTCTGCGCGATGTCGCGCAGAACGCACCTGGGGCGTTGCGTTTTGAATTTAGAACTATAAAATTCTGACTCGCTGGTAGTGTTGCGCACGCCTACGTGATGATTGTGAACGTTCATCCAATGAAATGGTAAGAGGCACTGGATTTTTAGGAGTCCACATTTTATGTGACACTGGAAAAGTGTTTAAGACCGACTCGGGGCCAATTTCATAGAGCTGCTTAAGCACAAAATTTGCTTAAGCACAAAAACGTCTTGCTTAATAAAATCAGGTTACCGGCCAAAACATCATGCAATTGTTATGCTAAGTAAACAACAGCTAAATACCAGTCACAAGCAATTTACATCACATGGAGTTTTGGCCGGTAACCTAATTTTACTAAGCAATGTTTCTTCGTGCTTAAGCAAATTTTCTGCTTAAGCAGCTCTATGAAATTGGGCTCAGCTAGCCATGTCTTTTCCGCTTAAGACCAGCCACGTGACGGGCTCTCGACCAATAGGAATAGCTTAACCGTTATGAACAGTTCGTTTTAATTATTTTATTATCGCCTGTACAGCTTAATTTGTTACTTTTAAAAAGGGGCAAGCTTTTAAATGTTTCCGGTTTTTGTTTTTAACATACTGATTATTGTTCAGCATATCAGACGGTGAGATTTTTTTTTAAATAAACAAGAAAGGGAGCTGCCTAGGTGTATTATAATAATTTCTTTGACAGTTGAACAAAGAAATTGACTGTCATTTAAATGTCTTCAGTTCGGTCAAATTCTGAGTAAACTGTGTTTGTCTCGGTCTTAAGACAAATATAAACAGTGGGAAAGTCTATATAAAATGTGACGGAGATTATTGTTCGACCCCCTCATCCTGCCAAATCTTCCAACCTTACCGCATTCTATTCAACCCTTTACGATGCATTTTTTTTACCAAGCCTCAGCAAGAAACGAATGAGACCAAAATACATGCCAACAAAAGTGACAAGTGTTTTCATTGTCATGCCGTGATGAATCATTCTCTGCAACATGAGTACCTCCGAGAATGGCATCCCATGGGGGAAATGATTAGATCTGTCATGTCTAGACAGTATAAACAATGCTGGTACGACCATTGCGAGATTTCGCCTGAATGATTGACCTATGATCTGTCCCCGCGAGAAACCATCACCACTATAAACAACCCTGCCAGAGAATGTTCCCAACTCAAATCCCCCTGTTGGGTTCCGGGGGGAACCGAAGTGACAAAAATGAAGGAAAACGAAACAGACTGGTGCAGATCGAGGCAAAAAAAGATGTAGCTAGGATGAACCTAAGGCCAAAAAAAAAAGTCTCCGGTTTCTGGTATGGAGCTTGCCCAAAAAGTGGTGCGGCGACGCGGCTTTTTTTTTTTTAACCTGATTTTTTTTTGCTTCAAATGTCGGCTGATGACTGCAAATGGTGCCCGACTAAACTTAGTGCAAATATATGGGAGTCCAGAGAGGCCACATAAAGCTTATTCTCGACCATAACCCAATCTAACCCAAACACGTCAAACCAGTGAGTTTGGCGGTTTTGAGACATCATCTTTCATTGAAAAAAATAACTTTTTCACTTTGCCGACGCGCATGGCATACCAGAAACCGGAGACTTTTTTTTTTTGGCCTAAGCGTTATGTTTATGCATAACGCTAGGAAACTCACAATAGTAAAACTGGCATATTTTTTTTTCAGATACGAAAATGTCTATAATGTATTCAATATTGAAGTATTATACTAATACAGTATGAAGTACAGACCTATAATGCACCAAATGATAAACAATTACTAGGGACCGAATTGCCTCCCCGAAGCCGCTCTGTGATAGTTACCGCTGTTCTAGCTACGTGACTTCAATCATTACGGTCGACTTTGCCTGGGCTTGTCAAGATTGCAAACTTGAAAAAGATCCGAATTATGGCGTAGATATGTAATTTTCCTAATTATCCTTCTTCTAGTCATGCAGTTTCCACTTTTGAGATATGGCGGACACAATAGGGCGCTGTTTGACATATGACACACCTCTAGCCCGTACCCCAAATATGGGAAATGCTATTCAACAGTTAGAATCATGACGCGGTATTTGTGTGCAAAATGCATGCTGGTGTGCGCGTTTAGCGTTGCGCGTAGCGCGTACTGTTCCAAAGAGCCGCGCTACAGCGTTGGGTTCAAACATTTTCGTGAAGGGGTCGTTTGGAAGAGAGAAATACATTTTCCTCCAGTTTTGTATTAAAAAAACAAATATATAAAATGACAAGGATCTATATGTCAGTTATATAAAACAAATAAAGTGGCTTTAAATTGTGGAAGGGAGGAATATTATCGCTCGGTAAAATCTGGACTTTTCCAGTTCACTCGGCTTCGCCTCGTGAAATGGAAAAGTCCAGATTTTACCTTGCGATAATATTCCTCCCATTCCACGCTGAGCCACTCAATATTTGTATACCATGAAATGTGGACTCATTGGTAGTATTGCGCACGCGTGAGTACGACACTGTGCTATTTTTAGGATCATTTCGGGAGAGTGACCTGTGGATTCGGCGGATAATTGAGCACGTTACAGTGCACGTTACATGAGCACGCTACATGCTCATGTGTCCACTGTGCTTACTTTTCCTCGGGCTGTGTTCTGAAGTCTACACAGTCCATCAATACTAGGGAGGGACACCCATTGATCTCTATTAGAATGTGTTATGTAACACTTCCTGTGGGTCAAGCCATTCCATCATTGCAAGCATTCTGATTTGTGTTCCCAGTGTCATGTGTGTGTTTTCATGAGGAAATAAATACAAAGAACGAACTCCTTGCTCACTCGTGGTCTTTTTGGTTATTGGGAGTTGCGCGCGCCACGAAAATTCATGGATTCGACTGGTACCCTGCAAATAACGCATACAAAATAAGATCTTACATGCACCAGTACAACACCAAACTTAGCACACAAGTAAAGTTGGCGAAAATGTACACCACTGCGCAATTTTGCACATCCGTGTTGAAGCGAAATTTCCCTCTCGGAGAAGCTAGCACGCCGGAGAACTGAGTGAGACCGCGACACCGGTGTCACGGTCTCACTTCTCCGGCGTGCCAGCTTCTCCGGGTGTATTTGGCGGATAATTGAGCACGTTACAGTGCGCGTTACATGAGCACTATTCATGCTCATGTGTCCGCTGTGCTAACTTTTCCTCGGGCTGTGTTGTTGTTGTTGTAAAGTCTACCGGTCCAAACAGACAGTGAGGGACACCCAAGAATGCGTTATGTAACACTTCCTGTGGGTCAAGTCATATTGCAAGCGTTCTGAATTTGTGTTCCCATCGTCATTGCGTTTGCGTTGAGGAAAAATTAAGAAGCGTGTTCCTTGCTCGGTCGTGGTCCATCACATGCATGTCCAATTTGCAACCACGTTCAACCACGGTTTAAAATAAATGTGCATCATTCAAGTCTTTTTGGTTATTAGGATGTTGGGAGTTAATTGCGCGCCCCACCATGCCTAGGTCTGGATTCGATGGTACCCTTTGACGTATACATACAAACATCCTAACTTCTTACGTGAACCAGTACAACCCCAAAGAACTCAGCACACACATAAAGTTGGCGAAAGTGAACACTGCTGCGCAATTTTGTGCATGCGTGTTGAAGCGAAATTCCCAACTTGGAGAAGCTAGCACGCCGGAGAAGTGAGACCGTGACACCGGACGCTGGGCAGCCTCGACTCCATGGGCGCGTGCGCGTTCCTTCACTAACCCCTGGCCGTTGTGTACACGTAAACGATGCTGACTGGCTACTCAGTGCGCGGGCATTTCGAAGATTGCACGCCGGGCGCGCTCATAATGATGCGCTCACGTGCTTTGCATTGCACATCCACTATATAAATGCATTAGAGCTGGCCAAAGATACTAGAGGGGATCAAGCTACATGTAAGTTGCCGGTTATACGGAGTGGGAGTGCTGCAGTGGAGCATGACACATAATACATGTAGCTCTAGTGAGAAGGTTTATTGAGGGCAATCAACCGTGACTCCGTAGCTGGCTACGACTACGAGTACGAGGTGCACATACATCGAGTGGCGGGGTACTGCAATTGTGCCAGAATATCATGCAAATTGCTTTCAATATTGTGCAAATGGCTGAACAAAGTGCTTCTTTTTATTCATTGTTTGAGCAAATGCAAGAAAGAAACGCTGTGGATTTGAGTTCTTTGAAAAAGAAAAGAACTGAGGACATTGTTTGTTGAAGACCTGATAATAGACATGTGTGTGCAAGGATCCTAAAATCTACAGTGATGTGGAACTAATTGTCTACCAAAACGTCAACTTATTACGAAACGCGCCACGTGAACCCCAATAGACATTGACATAGTTGCTGAATGTTTCCCAGTATTACATGTATGTAAATATCGATTGTAAAGATTAAAGTAACTTTATTTTCATCTTTGTGATTGTGATACAGGGCCCAGTATTTCATAGTAGCGCCCAACCTGGTCCGTGTGGATGTACAGGAAACTATTCTAGTCAGTGTCCTTGGGACCGGGGAAAACCAGATACCAGTGACACTGTACTTCCAACTGACTGGAAGCAATGATCGAATCTCGGAGACGACTGTTTTTGTGAGACAAGGTATGGGCCAGACTAAAGTAAATGACTAAAGTACAATAACTAGTGGGAAAAATCAGGCACAAGAATGACTTTCCATTAATTATATGATGAGTTCTTGGATGGGAGTACAAACGGTATAAGGCCAAATAAAAAAAAAAACAAGGAAGAAGGAGGCCCTTTTTTTCCCCCAAATGGCCGCCCTACCCATTTTCCAAAACGACCGGCCAGGTTATTTTTCAAGATGGCCGCGCGCTTTTTTTTTTAAATGCCCGCCACTTGGACTCAGGAAATGGCATACCAGAGTTATATGGGCTAGATACAACAGACACAGAGGCCAAAATGATGTCACTGTTTAAAATTTATCATTTTTTTTTTTCGTTTTGTTTTTTCAATTAAAAAACAAGAAAACAAAAAAGAGGCGGCCTCCAAAAAGAGAGCGGGTGGGGATGATAAACATTGCTTTTTTATTTGGCCTAATGGTTACCGTTTCCCTTTTCTTTTTGAATATTTTTCCTTTTCATATTTGCATATGGAAGAGGAACATGGTTCATTAACTCTAGTTTTATATGATGATTTTATGGTAACATTTATTACTGGTAATTAGGTGGCCAGTCGGTCGGCCAATCTGTTGGTCGGTCGGTCAGTCTGTTGGTGTTAAGGTAGGTAAATATATTTGCTAGATTCAGCCAGTCAAAAGTTCGCTTACCTGTAGATTTTAATTGCAGAGGTCCGGTTGTTACAAGTCAGTCTGTCAGCCTGTTTGAACTGTTGGTCGGTCTGTCGGTTGCTTTTCGGTCGGTCGGTCCTTCAGTCTTTTGGTCAGCTGTTGGTGATTGGCCAGTCATTTGGTTGGTTTTGTCAATTTTCGTTAGTGTCGTGGTCAGACTGTCGCCTTTCTTTACTTAGTCAGTCGGTTCTTCGGTTTGTCGGACGATCAGTCTGTTGGTCAGTAAGATGGTGTGTTGGTCAGTCGGTCGATTTTTTTCCCCAATCTGTTGGTTGGTTGGTCTTTCTGTTGCTCGGTTATCGATGGGTAGGTCTAATCGGTTGGTTAGTCAGTTGGTGTGTTCATTGGTAAGTTACTAGATATTTTGGTCCGTTAATCGGTCGGTCGGTATGCGTCGGTTGTACGGTGTGTTTGCCCGTCCATTGGTCAGACAAAAAAAATAAGCAAAACTACAAACTGATTTAACGTCATCTTTTTGAATCCCATCTTCACATCGTCTTAAGCAGATGAGTCACAGGAGGCTCGCCTGCGCATCAGGCGAGACCAGTTGCCGCAGCTGCAGACAAGCGGGCAGCAGTTTGTCACACTGGTAGCCAGCGCCAACACAGCCCAACTGTCAATCGATGACCGTCGCGTTATACTTCTCAGCTACCAGGCTGGCTTTGTCTTCATCCAGACTGACAAACCATTGTACACGCCCAAACAACGAGGTAAGAGCACTGATTTCTATATACAGTACATGTACCGAGAACATAGGCTGAAGGAATTCTTGGGAGACCTATAGTGAGTGAAATGTTTTGCCAGAATATTTGATAAGTGTGATTTCTTCTTGATGTCCATTAATACATATGATGGAAAGAAAATTTGAAACTGCGGTAGTTCTTATTCATAAGTTCTTCTGGAAGGGGAATCCGAAGATTCAACGCCATCCAGCAACTCAACCCAGTACCATTTTTGTAGGGTAGATGGGAAAATTATACCAAGTTATTTTAGGTGGACGACCGTTCCTTTAGACCCCCCCCCCCCCCAACACCGATACTTGCTGCAATCAAACATTCTAAAAGACTTTTAAGTCAACCATAGTATTTCTTGACAGTCTCATACCGTATTATTTTACATTTCCTTTGTCGGTAGTGGATATTCGTGTGGTGGCTCTTGATCAGGATATGGTGCCCGTCAATAATGAGGTAAGTTCTCAATTCCAAGACGCTTTCAATTACATGCAATTAAATACTTAGCGTGGCTTTGACAACTTTTCACTTTATGCGATGAACTGCCCATGTTTGACTCCCGTTGAAACAAAACCTTACCATCCACCTTACCATCTACCCATCTTACCATAGGATAGGCTTTGAATGCTATGGGTGTGGTTGTTGTGGGTGTTGAAGTGATGGTTGTGTTTGTCATGGATATTATGGTTGTGTGTTGTCGTTTTTATAGGCCTATTACAACAAATTGTTGTTTTAATGTTTTCTTTGCACAAAATGTCTCTTTTGTGCATCTGCAGTTCCCGTTTTGCATGCTTTTGCGCACAAAATGATCCGCCACCAAAAAAAAAATTATTAGCCCAATATTAAAGGGAATATACATCATTTGCTTTTACTGTAATTTTCAGAAATGGATGGAATTGGGGGGTTGGAAATATATAGCAAATATAGTTACACTGACTTTTTTGAGGTTTGGGGTTTGAAAATGCTATAAAAACCAAGAAAAACAACCATGTTCCTGTAGTCTGGTTCCCTGACTCCATATAAGAAGAAACAGAGCAGTTTACATACATTGGGGAATTGTAAGGTCAGGGAACCAGTCTAGCTGGCTCGGACCCGTTCATAGGTTTGTAATCCATTGCAAACAAGTGCGATGGTCAATTGGGGCCAGTATTTGAAAAAAAGACAGTTTTTTCCAACGCTGATCGGCCGATCAGCATTGGAAATAGATACAAAAATACCACTTTTCTTGTAAATGACAGTATACCGGGTGCCATGATTTTACAGGATGCTTTACACTGTCATTCACTAACAGTCTAGCAAGGTATTTCAAAATGATTTGGTAGTTTTATTTTTTGATGTTTGCAAATGTTGTATTTTCCCTTTAACTCACTTTTTTTATTCGATTTGTTGTTAAAAAGTTAGTTTCGTATACCTGAAGGTACATTGTATTGCTCAGAAACTAGCAATGCAAAAAGGTGGGTTTGATGCGGCTCACTGCACAATTGATTCATAATAATAGGCTTTTTTAATTAACACACTGTGGTTTGTGGCATTGTTTTATTATAAATAGATGCAGGTGGACATTATCAGTCCAGACGATATAATCGTGGAGCGATACAAGCAACGGCCTGTAGACGGATTCCTGACTCTCTCATTTGTCTTTCCTTCCAACCCGGTGTTTGGGAACTGGTCAGTGAGTGCTTACTACGGTCATCAGGTGAGTATTTTTGTGATTGATGGAATGCTGAAATATGTGCTATCTAATAAGGTTTAGTTTGATGATGCCGTTGTGTTGTCATTGGCGTTGTCCTCATTGTTGTTATTGCCTATGAGTATGAAGTGATGTATCACTCTCCCAGCTTGTTTTCTCTCTCTTTCCCTGCTCAGTTCAAGGCAAGCTCAACTGTTCAGTTTGAGGCAAAGGAGTACGGTAAGCCAAAATTGATGAAATGAAGTGCTTTATAGAGAAAAAGGTCGTGTATCAAACGGTCAAGATAATTTACACATTTCTTTTCACACAACTTACCCCGTCTGGCAGCTCCACATCCCATACATTAAAGCATAGTGTTTGAGCTCAATGGATGCTATACTTCTTGAGAAAACAGAGGGAAATGTTTGAGCCCAATGAATACTATATTACTTGAGAAAACATGGGGAAAATCTGCACAATTTTCGGTATTGTAAGGGAGGGCATTACTGGTTCTTCATATTGAAAAGATGCTGTTTAACATTTTGGAACGCGCCCTCTCTTTTGTAATTACTAAATCAGTACTGGGGACATGATTTTCATATCAGTCTGTATGTGTTTGTGACGTTGAAGACCTAGTGGAGGTGCACTCCTCGTATAGTATAACGATTAACGCCTAATTGGAAAACAGTATGCCCGCGGGCACATCTTTATAAACCACCTTCAATTACTGTTGAAGGTGGTTATTCCAAATGATACGATTAGAGGTAGAAGACTTTCGCAAAATTCTTATTATATACTCTACCAGGACCGTGTTATAGTCACAATCCCCTTCCCCACTCCCCAAACTGAATTATTCTATAAACTCTGCAACGCATCTGCCAATCTACATGAAATAATGGGGACTTTTTCTTACTTTTATCAAGGTTCAATATAATATGGTACCAACGCAAATTTTGTAGGAAGTCCATGGTTTCCATGGCCTCCATTTAAACACAAAATTATCATTAAACTTTGTCATTTTGTTAAAAAAAAATAATGTTTCATGCATTTTTGTGCTCACGGTAGCGCAGCCGATTGACTTTATAGTATGTTTATTTTTGGCATACCAAAATCCCTGCCAAATTTAAATGAACATTAAGATGAGGGCAGAATTTTTCCCCCTCCCCAGTCCTTAGAAGACCCCTCCCCCTTTAAAACGTGTCCTGGTATAAAGGGTTAAATAAGTACGCGAATTGTCAGATAAATGTTCGCATTTCAAGCATTTCATGTAAAAACATAAGGTTATCTTGATGTGTGCCTTGCCTCCTTAGTACTACCGAAGTTCTATGTGGAAGTAGCTCCGCAGTCGTTGTATATTGTACCAGAAACACAGAACCTCATCTCAAAAGTAACAGCAAGGTAAGATCAGACAACCTCTCAAGTGTTTGTCTGAAAAAAATCTCCATATTCGTAGCGGAATGAATCATTCCCCTGAATCCCCCAATGTTGTTTTTTGGCCATTGCAGTGTAACTGATCGAAACGAGATTTGATTAATTTGTACTTGTGAAAAAATCTCGGATTCACTATTCGTACTCACAAGAGAGCTAGGTGAATGTTTCTCAGAAGACTCCAACATCCATCCTTTATACTCCATATTTTTAGCAAAAGGGGGCACGGTGGAGATTTTCTGGGTACGTACCATCAGCAATTTAGCAGCTTTTTACTTCAATCTAAAAATGTATTAATCGTAGAAATGTAATGTTTGAATCATTCCATCATATATTATCATGTCATTACCTGGGATCCACATGTGTTTTGTACCCCAAAATGGCGTCGTCATGACACCCCCATTCGCTCATGAATACTGCTTAATGTAAAATCACCTCGCATGCCGTGTCTGCAAACTCTAGTATTGTCCTGTATTAAAAGTGTAAAGCCTTTTGATTCCAGCATGCAAAGCCGTTAAATGTGCCTGTATAAACGGGTTGACCCCCCAAAAGAACTAAAACATTTGCCTTTAAAAAAAAAGGATCTTGGATCTTATGTTTTTGATATCAGATTAAAGCTGAGAGCTTCTTCTTTCAAATACTTAAAAAATCATGAAAAAAAAAAAAACTTTAGGTTGCTGAGAAAATGCCAATTATGTAAAAGTAGTCATTTTTTCATCCTGTACAAAAAAAAAACTACCACAGTAAGGGATTTTCACTGTACCTATTTGTGCATGTCCTAATCCTAACAAAATAACATGGCACAAAATATGACAAGAGTACAAATGAATTTAATGGAAAAACCTTTTATTTTGCACCTGAACAGGTATCTCATCGTTTTTAGTCCTATTTTAAACCCTTTCAGCATGATAAATATGTCAAAATACTAAAGAAATTGAACAAATATATGATAATTGCACAGTAGGCTTACAGTAAAATGTTTCACTGTTTGAAGTACTTGTGTACAGGATGAAAAATGACTATATACTTTTACATAATTGGCATTTTCTCAGCAACCCAAAGTGCTATTTTCATGATTTTCTTTTTCAGTATCTGAAAGATTAAAGCTCTCAGCTTTAATCTGATACCCAAAACAAAACAAAAATCCACCGATCACTTTGTTTTTTAAAGGCAAATGTTTAAGGGCTGCATTTTTTTTGGGGGGGGGGGTCACCCTGTATAGCCGTGTTGGGGATGGGTGTAATGTGGCAGTGTGACACGGCCGTATTGTAAGGTGTGTGTATGTGGTGCGACTGCATGAATATACATACGCCTACATTAATATCACGTCATTCTCCCCTGCTCAATCTTTCCCTTCCCAGGTACATATTTGGCGAGCCAGTTGTTGGTAACTTTTACGTGAAGTACGGAGTGTTAGAAGATGATGGAAGTCTGATGGACCTGCAGTCGAAAGAAGGACGGGTATGTAAATATCAGAGATGAAACTTTTCCGATTTTAATCGGAAATCCGACTTTTTGGATTTTCCAACGAAATTTCCGATTTTTTTACAGTGTGTCCCACAAAATTTGATTTTGTAACGATTTTTTCACAAAATGTCATTTTATTTCAATCATAATTTCGAAGAAATGTCGATGGAAATGGCACGTTAAAATCATCGCGAACGTAGTTTTAATCTCTTTCACCAGTCGTTATTGGAGTGTTTCAATGGTAGAAACACGGGCAATAACACTGATCGGAGCCTTTTCCGGCTGGACATAAGGTTAAACATTGACAGGTGACATGGGAAAATCACTGTGTCGCACGTGCGTGTGAAGATGATATGCAATGGTACCAGTGTACGTACCGCACCGTACTGTCCGCTAGCACATGGCCGGTTGGGAACGGGTAGCCTTGTGAACGATCCAGTGGATAAAATCGTTATGTTGTGCGATTTTCGGAGGTTTCAAATTTACAATTTGTACAAATGCAATGTTTTAAAACTCGTGATGATTATCTCGAGAATAGCGAAGAGAGCATTAGCGAAACATTTCACTGACATTTGTTGGAAGAGAAAGACTATAATGCCTGATTTTTTCCCACGTATGAATGCAAGTGGAGTAGTGGAGTTGTGTGGTTGAATCATGGACATGATTGAAGCACCATGAACGGTGCACTTGTCTTTCGGACTTTTCCCTCGACTTTCTCAAGTAAGAAGTGAACTTCTTTATTGATGACTCCATTACTCTAACCGTAATTCATGCATTTTATGCAATGAAAACACTGACCATTTTTTTTTCATCGTAAAATTTTGTTTGAATTGAAAATAAAGCAGGAGTTGGTGTCCGGAAATTGGGCATGAAGTGTATTGTACATGCATGACATGTGTGTAACTGCAGTGCGGCCCGGATTTCGGACACGTATTTTTGTTCGGCCTTTTTTCTGATTTTTTTGCCATATGCCATATTTCATATCTGAAATATATAAATACAGTATTTACGGTGACTTCGGTCCTGATTTAAACACGGGTACAGTGCCCAATTCGCATCATAAGCCGACGAAACTCGAACCGCGTAGCAGAGATGATATCATAACTCCGGGATATATAACCCCACCCCCGAACCAAATTAAATCTCGATCTTTTCAAAGGCTTCATGATTCTGAAAAGGCCTGTGCACTTGGAGTTATTTTTGCATTGAAAAGTGAGTAGTTCCGCCTCCAGATTTTATGGTGACAAATTATTTATTGGGCTGTGATTTTGAAACTTTTTTGAGGGGCACCAACTTAAAAACACAACCAAATGAGCAGTTATTTTAATTTTTTGTTAATAGTTAAACGAAGTAGGTGAGGCTTTCCAAGACTTGGACATGAACGACGTGAAAGTGGAGAATTGGGCTGAGACACTGATGGGCAAGCGGCTGGTCATCCAGGCCTTCGTGACAGACACAGCCACAGGCGAGACCATCAACACCAACAACACCCAGGTCACCTTCAGCAGGACACCCTACAAGTTCAACTGGGACCTCACACAGCGATACTTTAAGAAAGGCTTGTCTTTCTCAGTAAAGGTACTGAAGCGTGATTGGATAAGCGCTTAAAGAGAACAACCCAAAGCAATTTTTACAGCTTTTGCATATTCAAATGATGTATTACTGATGTTGTTCTTAGTTCTCAAACAGGCCCTTCTTCAAGGGTATAAGCATGATTGAAAGCAAGTTAAATATTCATGATGCATTGGTCTACTTGACGTTGTCGCATTGGTGGTTCTAGATGAGTGGCCTATAGCTGGACCCAATGTGATTTTCCCAACAACATACGCCTCTTTAGTTAATAAGTTACAGTAAACTTTTTTCAACAGCCTTTTCTCAAAAGCCCCCCAAATCACTATCACCAACAATAAACACATTGTTATACATTATTTATATAATGGCATTGTATACATTGTATGCAAATTAAAAACACAATGTTGTGTTCATGCATTGGAGTTGGGCAAAGAGCGCCACCTTGTGACTGAAGCAGACTATTTGTCTGAGCCCTTAACAAACCTGTTTTTTTTTTATACTGGGAGCAATTTAGGCCAGCTTTGAAATGGGTAATTCATCAGGTAAGGGTATAAATGACCACAATTAGCATAAAGGGACTATACCAGCACAATAGTTAAAAGTCTGAAACGATTTTCTTTGTTTTGTATGTCAGTAAGTCCTGGAATGTTTTTGGGAATCTATTTTGCATTGACCTAAGGTTTTTACCAAATTAATGAATCAGAATCAAGATAAAAATTGAAAAAGAAAAGCCATCAATGTGTCTTCGTTTTGATCATGGGTACAACACTTAACGTCAATTTAACTTCTTTATTTTCATGAGCTATAAAATTGATTTTGGAATGATAATGATCTAGGTGAGGTGACCTCTGTATCAGTATATGTTACCTCTTTTGTATTTTCTTTAAAGGCCAATGTTCAATTCATGAGTGGTCTTCCAGCTGAAGATGTCCCTGTGATCGCCTCAGCCACGGCCCTGCAGGGTGGTAGGCGCGTTGACCTGGAGGGTGCTCAGGCGGGTGCTCAGGCGGGTGGTGGCCGGGAGCATTTAGAGAAGATATCGGGTCCCCAGGGGGAGGTTGACTTTAGGCTTGATGTGCCTGCCGCAGCCACTGAAATCACCATAACGGTAGGTGTTTGGGTTCAATCGCTAAAGTTGCATCATAAAATATTGGGCTAAAAGCTGGGATTCCCATGCAAGAATTGTAAACTCCAATAATCGGACTCTGTTTTCTTGAAACCCAGTCATTTTTCTGTGAATTTTATTGGAGTATTTAACATCAGTGAAAGTGGCTTTACACTTCACGACTGCTGAATTAATGTACCACCTGTAAAAAGAAAACACCAAAACGCAATTTCGAAGTCGTGACGTCACTGAGAGCTAGGTCAACTGACCGGTGCAATGCACTTGACCATTTTCCGGTACTAGTTTATGAAAATGTTCAATAAAAGTAGAATGCAAAAGTGCTGTCTGTGATCGTGGTAAACGTGAAATGCGTCGTCAAGGAATACATCTGAACTGTTGTCAAGGAAGTGAGTCTGACCTGGGGAGGAGATGACGTCACACTTCGACAGTGTGAAGACTTATGTAGACCTAGATACCACTGGTGTTAAATATATCACCGCTGTCAGTGCATAGTTAGTCTAACTCGCCTTGGACTTATAAGTAGCCATGATTGGTTTCATTTAGATATATGGGTTCCAAATTGAATCATGTGAATTGAAAGCTATAAGTTTGTTAACTATGCAGAGACCTGCAAAGTTTAAGCACCCATTGGCGCATCAAGGCCTTATTGAAGCACCAGTGCAATAGGTACAGCATCGTGTTATTCTGACATCACATTTTTTTACTGTATGCAAGGAATGAATGGGTGACTGAATGCCCCTTCATCGCTGACATAAAAAAATGACTGAAGTGAAACCTACGATACCTTTTTCTGTTTCAGCTGCGGACGAATAACCCGGATTTGGTAAATGCAAACACAGAAGGCACCATCACAGTACTGGCTCAGGCTTCCAGCAATAACGAGTACCTGGTGGTACGCGTTCCTTCTGGAGATATCAGACGAGTCCAAAGGGTAGGTTCACAAGATGACGCTATAGAAGCTGCATGTATGGAACCAGTGGCTCAATGTAGACAATACAGTGTTTAGTAAACACTGCGTATTCTACTATGTGAATGAGACCATGATACACATATCAGTGAATAATTTACTGTATATGAAAGGTAAAGAAAGTATGTAAGTAAGTAGTTTGAACATATGTTTTATTTACCATACACACAAAAAGCGTTAAGCGGTAAGTAGTGTTGCGTGATCAAGTTATTTCTTCATTAAGAAGGTTTGGAATAATCAGTAGTCATTCAATAAGAGTAAGAATATGAAGCCTGGGACCGCTTGTGTTCATCATCGTTTAAAGCGTTTTTATTTTTAACACAAACTTCGTAAACGCATGGATACTACTTTATTTGTTTCAATCTTTGCATTTCTAGATCGGAAGGCAGAGTACGGTGGAAGTGCAACTAACGCACCCCGATAATGTCGGCGTACTTAACTACTTCGTAAGTTTTTTGGGTCACCATATACCTCTTATTATCTGTTATGTCATTTAACCGTACACCTAATGATTTGAACGTTTCACATTGAGCAAACTCATATTAAAATGACTTTGACTTTTTTCTCACATGCTGTTTGACGGCCCTGCGTAAGTAGTAACTTATGATTCACTTATGTGAAGAGCAAACCGATATCAAAACAAACTCTGCGTAAATTACTTCTTTAATAAGCGTGAATTAATACACTCGAAATTCTCACGTGGTCCATGGTGTACATTGCACCAAAAAAAGCACACTCCTTACTTATATTTATTTGGAAAACTTTTATTTTCCAAAGGTCATTGCTGGGGGACGAATAGTGCACAAAGGGGCGAAAAACCAGGTCAACTTGAACACCGCCCTCGGTTTCGAAGTCACCCACGAGATGGCGCCCTCTTCGCGAGTCGTTGCCTACTACACTGATGCAAACGGCAACGTCGTTGCTGATGCACTCCTGATCGATGTAGAGGAGAAATGCAAGAATCCTGTAAGCACGTTAACCCGTAGGACTACACACCTCGTTAATTTCCAGAATACACAGGCTTTGATGTGATTTCAACAGAGTTGCATATTAAACACTGTATTGGGACCAACTTCATTGTGCGGATAGGCATGGACATGTGCCAAACACGGGAAACAGCATGAATCCAAAACCCAGTGAAAAGTCCATGCACTGTACGTTGCCCGTGACTTGTTATTCTGTTGATTTTTTTTTCTAAGCACATCGATTTGCTCAACTGTGAAATTGTGTTAATTACACGTGTTTCGAGCGTATTGTTTTCGTCTTTTTAGCTAGATTACCAATATAGTGTAAATGGTATTACCATCTTTTATTTTTTCATCTAAACCGACTACAGATAAAGAAGGCATTGTATGAATAAGCAAACCACCATAATGACGTTGCCAAATCCTGCTTTATCTTTGTTTAGAGGATCGTAATTGAAATTGAAAGTATTTCATCATAATCAATTAACAATGCAGTTTGCTACCCAAAACGTAAGTCTAAATAGCTACACAACAGACGTGACAGATATAGGAAGTACATTGCATTATCTTTAACATTATGTTAATTAATTCCTCATATGAATTTGCCAATGTGTTTGCCAAGATCGGACTAAGTTTCCTGGGCCTGCCAAGCGAGGGCAGCACGTACAAGTCCGAACGCAGCGGCCAGAACGTTCAGTTGGAGATCCTTGCTAAAGAGGACACAAACGTCGGCCTCGTGGCTGTGGACGAAGCCGTCTTCAAGCTTCGTAACTATCATCGACTCACACAGAAGAAGGTACAGAAAAGGAAAGTTCTTCAGTTTTATGATGTACTCTATGATTGAAGGAAATTCCAAGTTGTTTATTGGACTGAGATCGGAATACTAGTGATATGTACATTTTTAGCACATATACATTGTTGAGTCCTTCATATTCTTGATTGATGTGTCTGCAAAAGGAGGCAAGCGTTTGCCTTTTTTGACTTTACGGTCGACGTAGCTATTGCAAATTGGCATTGCCAAGAAAATGTATTTTTTGACTACCCAACAGTGAACCTGCATGTTCCTTGCTTCTTACAGTAAAGTAGAAGCTGTTTGGTAACAGCGAGAAACATGTTGGTCGACCTTTCCCAGAATGCACTGCAAAGGTCTCTCTGCACAATTATGATTTGCTCTTTACATGAAATTGGAGCTATATGGCCCCTTTTATTTCTATTTCATGACAAATTCACAATTATTGTACTGATACATTTACTTTACGACAGACAAACACTATTTTACAGTTAAAAGAGACACATCACTAGACAAAAAACTTACAAAGTTTATAATCTCTTAGACAAATAAACGATTGCAAGTAAATAGACATACACAACTTTACCAACTCTTAATTAACACGAAGCAAATAAACAAGAGTCTTAAAAGACTGATGGATCAACGAATATTAGAAGACAAATCTCAGTGCATTTTCTTCGAGGACACATAAGGCTGAGTTTTTAGTATAAATTAAACAAAATATGCTGTTGTCTAATTTAATTCTTTCAAGACGGATGACATTTTTCAAATTCGCTTTGAACACGTGCAGGGTGTTACAGTAATCTATACAATTGCAAAGGGTAACGTATTTACATGTGGTCTGACACATCACTCTGTGAAGGCGCCCAGTAAGAAATAAACACAAGAAATTCTTGATTCCGTCTTGTCAGATAGACAACAATTGCAATCATTCGTGTATTTGCGAATAATATTCTCGACAAACAATTAGGTGTCAAATATGACTAATATACAATTAATAAAGAGATGCTCTAAATTTTCACTGTGAGTGTTACATAATGAACAGGTGTCGGCGTCTAATGAGCTGTACCGTTTTAATCTACTTTTGGTAGGAAGGATTCTGTGCTTCAATAAACACAAGATATTTGTATCATCAGCATCGAGAATATTACATTTTCCGTGGGGCCAAATGTAACCTCAATCCAAGTTGTTTGTTTAAAACAATTTTTCCCAATGATTCTGAGCGCTGGGGGGAGGGGGGGGGCTGGAATTATCTAAAACCATGCTACCATGAATAAGTTTAACAGTAACACATGATTGTTCTTGTCTTTGAGGGTGACATTATAAAAAAAAAAATGGTTCAGAGGCCCTTCAAAGGGTTGATCCGGGGGAAGAACAAGGGCCATGGTTCCTCCCCTCCCCCAATAAAAAAAATGAACCCATTTTTTAAAATATTTTTTATTTTAAGCGACATCGCAGTAAAGGCAGGCACTGTGTACACCACCATCTTTTTCTCAAAAAATTCTGGTTAAAGTGGTCAAAATTGCCTCAGATCGCACCACAGAGCATCTAGAAACCCTTGAGCGGGCCCCGAACCCCACTACGTTATTTTTTGATCCACTTTTTGGGGAACCAAATTATTTTGGGCCACCCAAAAGAATGTGTTCTGAATCCGCCCTTCGACCCTTCACGTGCTTCACTGATATAATCATCTTTGATATTTCTTCTAAGACTCGCTGTGATACGACCAGCGTTAATGCGCAAAATGTTACAAAGACTCGCTAATCTGGTGAAGGAAATAATTTGGCCATTATCTGAAATTTTCTCGAGGTAAACAATGCCCTGATGTTTAAGAACCGATATACTGTCCATGAAAGTGTCGCCAATGCTGGTATTTTTCCGAAGGGGTAACTTACGAGTTAAACACAAGAAAACAATGGCTGACCTTGGCAAAGAGAAATTTACCCGATTGTTTTGTTTTTGTTTTGTTTTGTGTTTGTATGGTGTGATGAAAATTAGATCAAAATTGCCAATGGCGGTTTCTACTCCTCAAGTTACTTTTAATTTCATTTTTTTTGCGCAGGTGTTTAAAAGAATGGCCGGGTATGATTTGGGCTGTGGACCCGGTGGTGGACAGACGTCTGCAACCATCTTCAAGGTACGGCTTGTTAATCCCTGAAATGTCCACTCGTTTCTTGTCACAATTCGGGCCTAATAATTATCACAGTGAAAAATACGTTCCTGGGAATTCATGGCTAAACAGCAAAAATGTTTGTGTAATAAAACAACTCAACAGGAATGGGAATAGGCTTGCTTGGTGTAAGCAGTTTCTGTAGAACGTTATGTTATGAATTGATGTAAACTGCTTCCCTGTATGTAAAGTCTATCGACTATGTACTGAGTTTGATGCCGTCCAAATGAAATCGTCTTAATTATTACGTCAAAATGAATGGTGGGGCTTTCAGCGATAAGTAATATATACATACAATGAGTCCACACTCATTGGAGGGGTCTTAATTTGAATCGGATCATCTTATGGCGACGTCATGTATATAAACTCATGGGAAATTTTGTTAGCTACATTTTGATACCCTGTTTGCTACCAAATACTGTAAGTCAGCTGAGATTGAAAAGGGTTTATGAAAAATGATGCAGTTTGAAAAGTTGCAAATTTAAAGATACGCCAGGAGAATTTGCTAAGCGCAAACCCATGCACATGCCCTATCGACTGCACAGTGCCCGTACAAAGTGCAGCATATTTAATTTCATGTGCTCCCATGCATGTGTGGCAGGGCCAAATTTAACTTGTATTTTTCCAATGTATTTTGTAGTGTTTTAGGATAGGAGTAGACCCCCTGAGAAGATCCAGTGTTTTTATTAGATGTCCCCAACCCTTTCATAGTAGTGTTTCCCCCTGATTAGCTTTCCCCAGTAACAGTCCACATTGTATGTAAATTGTTCCCATGCCATTGGTTCCCCCTGTCTCAAGACCATGTGCCCTGCCACCCTGTAAGACCACAGACCCCCCATGATCAGTAGCAGACCAGCGGCAGTAGAGAGAGGTGCATTATATTTCCTCTCTTTCCCCCTTGATTTTCTTGGGTGCGATTTGCCCTGTGTGAGAGTTTATCTGCTCGAGTTATTGATTTCTGCCAGAAGTGTCTTTAAGGTCCACTTTATATACAACACTGTGTTGGTTTGAGTCTTTGGTTTTTAGCTCGGTTTAGGTCTTTGGTTTAAGTTGGTTTTTAAGTTTCTTCAAGTCTTTGGTTTTTTTAGGTTTAAGTTTTGGTTTTTAGTCTTTGCTCTTACTTGATTTTCGTGGTCTTGGTTTTATAATTATCTGGTCATTTTGAAAGTTCTTGTAAATAAATTCTTTTTGTTTGTTTTTTGTTCCAAATCTAGAATTTGTGTCCCTTGTCTCTATTTATTCAATCTCCTCGCGCCTTTTCCCTTCAAAGATCCTGAGTTTAGTTTGTTTGTTAGTCAATCCCCATTGAGTCTTAAGTTTTTGCGAGTTCCCCAAGTGTGTCATTTTTCCAGGTTACACATGCAAGCACGGTGCGATCGACATTCCCTGCTGTTTGTTTCGGGCAGTGTCACATTGTCACGCAGCAATTTCCACTCGACTTGCATCATTTTTCATAAACCGTTGTCAGTGTTGGACAATTTACAGTCTTTGGTAGCAAACAGGGTATCAAAATATAGCTAACAACATTCCCCAAAGGTGTATATAAATGATATTATCAAAAGACGATCAGATTCAAAATTGTGGCCCCTCCAATGCAATGAGTGTGGACCTTTCTTTTGGGGTATACATTTGTATTTATATACATTGATGTTGATGCATGGGCTGAATGATTGTCAAATTTTGAAGTCTCAGGGTTCATTCTAAAGTCTACTACGTTAGCCGTTACAATCAAATAGCAACCTTTTGACCAAATAATAAATAAACAAAATAAAAAACTTTGTGTCCACTTGAGATTTTTGTATATATTTTCTTACTCCCCTCAGAACGCAGGAGTTACTGTGATGACAAACGCCCAACTTGATGTTCCGCATAGAGAAGGTGTAATATTGTGCTTGCTTTATTGGCGCAATCAACTTATTTTCTAAACTTTTTCAAACTGTTAAATGTAGCAGGCCAATTCATATTCTGCAAGTTGATCAAGCTTTTGCCGTATACTTTTTCGCAATAACTGACTTCAGATACCCATGCATGTAGACTTAGTACTGTTGTATTTCTATTGAATGAAAATTCTCTCTACGCGAGTAAACATTCACTCCAACCGACTGAAACAAGAGACAAGATGAGTGAAATGCTGTCAATGGAACATATCCAGTTTTTGACTGGACTGACACTTTAATATTTCAATTGATAACGACAGTTTATTTAACGTAATCGTATTCCGATGGTTCCTAGTTCGAAATAAGAGATTGAATAGAGTACAGAGTATTTCATGAGTCTATACGAATTGTCATTTAACACATCATGAGGGAAAACCTGAGATAATCTTTGCACTGTCTCTTCTGCTTTTCTTTTTCGATGAAGCTCTTGGATGTCCCGAGCCTGTGAGGAGAGCCCGAAGATCAGCAAACGACACCGAAAGAGAACAAATCCGTAAGAATTTGTTATCATGGGCATCACGAGGGGGGGAGGGTGGGGTTGGCAAGAGGGGTGCTTGCCCCCTCCCCCCCCCAAAAAAAACCCAAAGGCGCGAAATCATATTGTTGTTAATTTAATGGGTTGGAAGGGGGAAATGTCCCTGCCACCCTCGGAAAAAATGATCAATCGGGAAAATGCTGGAAAATATAATGATTTGGGGGGAATGTGCTTTGCCCCGGCCCCCTCTAAAAAAATCCTGGCGTAACCCATGTTTGTTATTATTACATTTTCGTATCCATTGTGTCTCCTTACTATAACTACACCCCCCAAAACAAGAAATAAATGTCCACTATATCCCAAAACAGCAGAACCGCAGATAACGCCGGTGTAGCGTGAATATCCGACTCCATGAAATGTGGACTCATTGGTAGTACTGCGCACGCGTGAGTACGATACTATGCTATTTTTAGGATCGTTTGGGGAGAGTGACCTGTCACGTGTGAGGGATCAACCAATAATAGGGAAATAGGGGTCCGATTTTCATAGGAGTCGGATTTCCATGTGACACCGGGATTCCAACACATTTCCGGTTCCTGTAAGAGTGTAATGAGTACAGTGTATGTTAATGATTAATTCCTAAGATGGAATTTGCATCAAGGTGGTGCTCATTCAATATCGCCCTCCACCGAAATATTTTAATATACACTGTAAACTTCGGTGAAGGGCAAAACCAAATATTGAATTTACATCACCCCGACGCAAATTCCATCTTATGAATAGTTTGATTGCGGTACCCGCTGCTATATCAGATTGGAACCAGCCAGCCGACCCAGCCAAACACTCGGGACAACACTGAGTATACAGTGTTTATACAAACTCGTCAGTGAAGGGCAAAACCCAATTTTGAAATTCTGTATTTATCAACTTTCTAATTGTTATATAATTGCGAATCATTTGTATTGGTGTCAGCACTGCTCAATATTTGATGGATTGGAGTGGCTAGCCTATATTCCTGTGACTGACAGTGTCACTGAGTATAAAATATTTTTCAACCGAGTATAAATAACGGACACCATGGCCAAAGACCATTCACAGATAGCGCCATATCTTTGTGGTCACGTGGTCATCTTTGGGGGCAATTGATTGAAAATATGTCCCATCATGTACAATATTAGTTATCTTGCGAGCGGAACACGGAATAATGTAGTGCGTCTGTGTCCCACATACCACGAGGCCGAAGGCCGAGTGGTATGTGGGACACAGACGCACTACATTTTCCGTGTTCCACGAGCGCAAGCGCGATAACGAATTTATCTTCAAGCAAACTTGACGCGCAGTACAGTTTGGAACTAGCACGCTTTACACGGACATTCAGCAGCTTAGCGTATGCAGCTGGAATGTCGCTCGCATCTTGGAATAGCGCAATACGCAGAGTGCGGTATGGACCGTGGCCGTGCGGTATGGTTATATGTAGCACGGCTTGTTGCCATGGATCGACCAATCAGGATCGAGGATTCAAGTTTGCTTGAAGATAAGATACAATGCCGTGATGGGACGTATTTTCGGTTACAGCCCGATAGTCCGAAGGTTCTTTAGTCCAAAGGTTCAATAGTCCGAAGGTTCGATAATCCGAAGGTTCGATAGTCCGAAGGGCCCATTAGTCCGAAAATAGATTTAGGTTAATTAATCCGAAGGTTCGATAGTCCGAATAGACGATAGGGTTCGATAGTCCGATTTGTCAATAAGGTTCGATTGTCCGAATAGATGATAAGGTTCGATAGTCCTAATGTACGGTAGGGTTTGATAGTCCTAATTGACAATAAGGTTCAGTAGTCAGAATTGAGAATAAGGTTCGATAGTCAGAATGGGCAATACGGTTCGTCAGTATGATACCTTGGACCATCGGACCTTACTGTTGATTCGGACTTTTGGGCCTTATTGTCGATTCGGACTATTGTCGATTCGGACTATCGGAACTTATAGTCTTTTCGGACTATCGGAACTTATAGTCTTTTCGGACTATCGAACCTTATTGTCAATTCGGAATAATGAACCTTCACACTATTGAACCTTCAGACTGATTAACCTTATTCTAAATTCCGACTATCGAACCTTCGGATAAATGAAGCTTTGGACTAATGAACCTTCGGATTAATGAACCTTCAGACTATTACATCAAATGTTCGGATTAACAAACCTTATTTCATTTTCGGACTAACGAACCCCCTCTTATGGAAATTTTGTGCATTCGGACTATCGAACCTTCGGACTAAAGAACCTTCGGACTATCGGACCTTTGGACTATCGGGCGGCCCCGGTATTTTCAATGAAATAAACACTAAAGATTACCGCATGATCACCAAGTTGTATCCGTAACTGTCTATATACAAAGCCGTTCCTATACACGCATTTCGAATTGGAACTGAAACCGAGAGCCCAACACTCTCCTGTGTTGAGAGGATAACCAAGGTCCTAAACTCATACAAGTAAAATTTGAGGCTTTGCATGGTGGAGATACTAAATAATGAAAGGTTTGCGGAGACACCATGTAGGAATAATTTCTCAACTAAGAGAATGGTTCTGAATAGAACCAGAGGTATAAACTGGACGTTCCGGTCGGTATGCTCTGACCGTCTTCAGTGACTTAACACTCAGACCCTCGGTTTCAATGCTCATTTGAAATTCATCTATTAACTGAGACTTCTGGGTTCAGCTCGATTAGGCAAGCCTCGTCTTATCTTATCTTGGTGTTTGTATGTTTCAGTGAGTAATTACGAGGGCGTTAACCGAGAGTACTGTGAGAAGGGCATGAGGGAATTGTCCGGGTCGGTGCAGCTGACCTGCGCCCAGCGGGCCAAGCTCATGGCTGGAAGGAAGGGCCTGCAGGTAGACTCGCCGGAGATCAGGGCATTTTTCGACTGCTGCAGTGTGCTAGAGAGTTCTTCCGACCGGGGACGGGTCGACGCCGGCGCCGGGGGCGTCAACCTTGAGGACATCTTGGTGCGATCTAACTTCCCGGAGAGCTGGCTGTTCGACAATGTCATAACTCAGTAAGCTGTAACCTAAATCAAGTCTAACCTAACAGCCAAACAAGTCACCAAAAAAGGGCTCAGTAAAGTTTGAGAAAACTTTGGTACCATCTAATATATTAACCACTCAAAGGCTTCTAGCGTTTTGCAATTTGATGTTGTTACAGCCGTCTTTATTTATATCTGAAACAAGAATAATGAATGCATACTTCTTTTTTAGTAAATGTATCCGTGGCAACCTAAAGGCCCATCTAAAATCTAGGAAAGTAGGAAACAGATTGCACAGCAAATCGCTTGTTTCGTTTGAAGGATAGATACATCGAGAAGGCAGACTTACTTCTTTAATTTCTGTGCATCATTCTTGCAATCAATTGCCACTTACTGTCACACCGTCACTGTTGGTGACTCCATCGGACAAAATAGAATTGTAAAACATGCCATACACTCCCACTTCTCACTATTCTATATACAATATATATATATATACAAGCAAATTTATTTACACAAAATCCCAAAACAATCCGAAATGTCGTAAAATTACAAATGTATAAATCCACACAATTTCTACGGAATCACTTATACAATTTCACTTACAAATGTCCTCCAATTCCAATCAATTCCCAGTCTGCCAAATTCTTCAAAAAACGGGTATTTCTCAAAGCTTCAATAAATTATCAATCTCCAGAACAAAATCACTTCCAACTTCAGCTATGAGAATTTCCAATTTCAGTCAATGCTCAACTAATTCTCTATTTCTAAAATTGTCAAAATTTGGAAATTTCTCAAACCTTCAATAAATTCACAATCTCCAAAATCAGGTGTTCTCAAAACATCCAATAACTCCAAAATTTACCAAATTCACTTGCAAATCACATGCATTAGAACAAATCCCATCTATGGATTCTGTTCTGTATCCTGCCAGAGCTGGATCTGTCTCATTCAATGTTGAAATGAAGCTTATACTTTTAGTTGGTACCATCTCCAAATGCAACACAAATGCAACATCTCCTTTTGAACTCTACTTTGCATTTTGTCAATCCATAGATCACTCCGTAGTGATGACGATGATGGTAGAGTGCTGTACCCAACTACCCTTCCCGATAGTGTCACTACATGGGTTATTGAGGCCGTAGGCGTGCATATGAGGGAAGTCCACGAGATGTGCGTGGCTGAGCCCATCAAGCTGGAAGTCCGCCCGCCATTCTTCCTGGATATTGGTATGCCGTATTCGGTGCAACGATTCGAGCAGATCGAAATCGTCGCCTCCGTGTTCAACTATGGCGACGATGAGTTAGAGGCAAGCAAATCTTCTTTGATAACCTTTTGAGAGAGATAGAAAGAAAGCAGGAGCTCACAGTGTTGTTGTCCACAGCATAAGAAAACTCGGATAGATCCAGACTACACTTCAGAGTTGCGCCAAAACAAACAAGAACCTTTTGAGAGAGATAGAAAGAAAGCATAAGCTCGATTCCACAGAATCAGAAAACGCAGACCGATTCAGACTACGTTTCAGAGTTGCGCCAAAACAAACTAGAAATTTGGCAGTCTGAAAAAAAATAACGAAATCATGATTAGCGGGTTTAACATCAAGTTCCTTTTTTGCACATTTTACATTTATTTTTTGCGAAAACCCTGTTTTTCGCAACTGCTGTTTATTTGATCGTCCCGTGGAACGCGTATAGCAATACCTATTGTCTGACAATTACCATGAATTCAGTTTTGAACAGCGCCCCCATTAAAAGATGGTGTCCAGTCGCCCCCCCCCCCCCACCACTATTTGACCTTATGCCGGCTGCTTGTCCCATAAAAATAAATCAACCGTAGAGCACGGAGAAATTGGGCGCCCATCCACTGTATCATCCAGCCTCCCCCCCCCCCCCCCACCACCACTCCCTAGGATGAGAACCCTGGCTATGCTGCAGAAGCCAGGTCCACTCAAGGTTTCATAGGCATTTGCGGGGCTAGGGGTATTTGTCGAAATGGAGAGGAACACTCAAGGAGATCATGATAAATAATTTGGGTTGAAAGAGTGTTCACAGCACGGGTAAAATTAGTTTTCCCCCCACGGTTCTCTTAACTACGCAAAAACAAAGAAATGTCCAATTTAGGTATGTAAGGTATAGGCCTGTGTGTGTGTTAGAGTGATTCTAAACACCACTTTGAAACAAAATGATGTAACTTTACCTATTGTTGACGATGTACATGTAGGTGACTGTCTACTTGAGGGGAAAGGAGGGGCTCTGCTCAATTGCACAACCCGGGGAATACTCGGAAGGAATAACCATCCAGGTTGAAGCCAAGAAGCCTGCCTCCGTCAAGTTTGTCATTGTTCCTCTTGAAGTTAAGAACATACCGATAGAGATTGTTGCCATGGATGCGTCGGGACAGCACAGGGATGCAATCGAAAAGGACTTGACTGTTCGCGTGAGTTGAATTTGTCAGTACTTTTTGTTCGCTTGTGTTACCTCTTTAGAATGCTTGTAGGACAGTGCGGCAAGTTTTGAATAATTGCAATATTATTTTAGTATTGAAAGTGACGAAATCTGAAGAAAAATAGGACACTTGCAACAGGAATACATAGAGAGGAGAAATAATCCAGGAGAAAATCCTTTGTAAAGGTTGATTTATATTAAAAATGATGTAACCAAAATTGGCCCTTTGTGTGCATCCCCATGCTTGGGATCTACATTGAAGCCTTTTGAAAACGTGTCCCAAATAATATTTTGTCAAGACAATTCGGAATTTAACTGCTTATTCCATTTGGCTCGGTTGTGTGATCAACACACTCCTTTTGCAGAGCTTCAAATGATATCTAAAATTCATTTTATTTGATTCATGTCACAGCCAGAAGGATACGAGAAAAAGATTTCTGTGCCGGTAACGCTGGATCCTGCAAACTACCGGGGCTCGCCAGCAAAACAGGATGGAGGCGCGGATCAGTTCTATTTTCATAGCCGTAAGATATATCGCTACACTTTACAAACATTTACGAGGCTAACAATGATATAAAGTGTTACAGTTGTCGATCTTAGTTTTACAACATGTTCCAGAACAGTCCGTGTGTATAGAACTTAAATTGTCTATTTATGAAAACTCTCTAACTCCCGGACGCGCGACGAGCCGAAAGCGGTCGGTCGAAGAAATTGCTGAACTCGCACCAAAGACACTGTTGGTTGTTGCGCATTCGGATGGTCTTACATTCTTTGTTTCATACACGTGTGAGCTATAGTGCCTCGCGGTTTGTGCAGCATGGAGCTCTTGAGAGTGGCGTCATCTACTGCTTGCATGCTGAACATACCTAATCGCGGACACGTGCATAGAAGTGAAACCAGATTCGGTACCATATCCACAATTGAAACCAACTCCAGTGTATCACAAACATTTCAGTGAAAATGTCATCAAGAAGATATTGAGCTTCAGAAAGATCAATTTGAAGAGTGGATGGTCGGTTTGGTCAATTCGGGTGATTCACAATGCAGTGCGCCACCAAGAGTTTGCCACGGAGAGTTCATTTTCCCCAGTGCATTTTTGGAGATGGTCGACAAATTCACAGCGCGGGGCATTTGAAATTGTTAGTTTTTCTGGTCAGAAAGTTTGTAAGCATATGATTCGAGTATATGTTTGAACTTTTCTTTTTATCAAAATGGAGGTTTTTTGTTAGGCGGCAGAATGCTATGTCCTAATCTATAACATATTAGCTCAAGTTGTCTAGTAACACCAATTCAAATGGACCATGCTTTGTCGACCGTAAACTTGAAAAATGGACTCTCCATGGCAAACTCTTAGTGGCGCACTGCACTGTGAATTGCCTGAATTAAATTTCATTCATGGTCTCTATTTTTTAAAGAAAATTGGGGCGACCAAGGCGAGGAGAAGCAAATAGATTTCATCCGATACTCAGTCAACAGAAATGCAATTCCAGGCAGCCACAAAGCTCGAATGAGTCTCGTGGGTAAGTAAATCGTTCTTGTAATTGCACCCAACCAACTCTCATCACCTGCACCCACAACATTCTTTCTCTGCATTTCCCCCAAAGACACGGTATGTAACACCACATAATCAAAAAGAAATCCAAGTGATGTGAGTAAAACGTGCTTCGTTACTTGAACACGGAATTTTTGATATAGGCCATGCAATCTTTGCATTTCAAGCTTTCAATTGCTGCTAGCTTCAAAGTTACATGGCTGGAATGGGAATTTGCAACCATCTTTCCCATAGGAAGTTGGGTTATTTTCAAGGAACTGCTATGCAAAAGAATACTTATTTTGTCCAAAACTAGTTATGTTTAAAAGGCTAGGAATTCATGCAATTGTCATTGCGTCTGACAATTTATATTTTGATTTATATATTTGATAAGCAAACAATTCTGCTCAGCAGCCCATAGGCCCAGTTAATCAAATGTCTACTCGGGGGCGGATCCAGAAATTTTTGCAGGGGGTGGGGTTTCATCAGCTAAAAATTCTGAAAATGTAGACAAGTTTTTTTTCCAGTATTATTTTTTAGGAATTCCTATGGAAAAAAAATTACAGAGCTGCTGGGTTTTGTACCCCCAAAGCCCCCCCCCCCCCCTCCGGATCCGCGCCAGCTACTATACATGTATTACTTTGTAGGCAATGTGCTGGGAAGCGTCATCGACACAGTACTTGGAGGCCTTGATAAGCTGTTGAGAATCCCTGGAGGTTGCGGGGAGCAAACCATGCTGGGTTTGGCACCGAATGTCTACGTCTACACATATCTCAAGCACACTGATCAGTTCACGGCTGCCTTGGAGACCTCTTCAGAGCGGTACGTCTTTAATGGTGAGTATGCTCCATTCGTTCCTAACTGGCAAAATGCAATATGTTTATATGAACATGTTGCATTATATGATGAGACAGTTTTTTTAGGCGGTAAGGCTGTATTGTTCTTCGTTTCAGGCGTCAAACATGAGCTGACGTTCCGTAAGAATGATGGATCGTATGCTGCATTTACGAGCCGGCCAAGCAGCACATGGTGAGTCCAGTTTTAAAGCTATTGTAAGTTAAAACATCTTTTTTTTTACATTATGTGGGTAAGCATGAGTTCAGTTTTCCTCTTGGAAACTCCTCATTTGCGTGTCAGTGATGTGCCGGTTGTTTAGCTTAGCAGTTTTTAGTTAATTTCTGTCGGTGTTCTGCCTGGCTGCTGTCGTGATATAGCATGAATTCGCGAATATTTCAGGAGACACCACACTGCTGTGATATTAGATCTTAAGTGTGGTTTACCCAATCCTGATAAACCTGTGTCAGCTAATATAATATCCCTGTCAACAAGCGCGTGAGTAGGGCTGAACCCAACCTCGTCCCCAGTGCTTACTTTATTTCCAACCTTGTTTCCTTGGTGTTGTTATTTCAAACGTGCATTACGTGTTTTTACGATCATTGTAATTATACGTCCAAGCATTCTAAAAAAATACTCCAATCCGTTTCAATTCGTTCATATTAATATGAAATGTGATACTGCATATTGTCGGGATAAGATTGTAACATTTCAATTTGTTCGTATTACTCTGGGTGCAATGCATTGATTCTGTGTTTACCCCAGGCACCGTATACAAAAACAAATGCTAATGTAACGCACATGCAGGCACCAGACTTTTTCTCATTTGCATTCGTGTTTAAAAATTGTGCACGTATGCAAATGATGGAATACCAGGTTGAGAGAGCAGGTGATACTGCTCGAAACCCTGGGGACGAGATTGGGCCGATCAAAACTATTCTGAAGATTTGAATTAACTACATAAAAACAGCGAAATCCTGTCCAAAACCAACTTCAATTGAACCAGCATGATTCGTTCCTAGTACGGTTTTGTTCAGCATCACTCCAAAATGCCTGTCTTAAACGGGTGTTATCTTCAGTCAAAGTCAGATTTGTGTTTTTATTTCGTTCACTCTCACTGTCCGGTTTACTAATATGCTTTTTCTTTTCGTTTCTGTTTTTTTGGGAGGAAGGTTGACGGCTTTTGTCGCGAAGATATTCTGTAAGGCTAAGGACTTTGCCTTTGTTGATGACTCCAATATATGCAAGGCAATGGAATGGCTTATAACTCAGAGACAGAGCCAAGACGATGGTTCGTTCACAGAACGTAATGCGGTAATCCACAAAGAAATGTCGGTGAGTAGAAAATTACTCTCAAAAAGTCTCTGTTTTGGATTAGACTGATGACCTTTCTCATTGACTGAATCTCATTTGCGAAAATGGATTTCTCATTTCCACCATGTTACCACCAACGCTTATTCTCAAATATTTAAGTCACTCTGAATCAGTTAACTATACTAGGGTAATGACAGAAGCCTCCTCGTTACAATCCCTGGAAACGACGGCACGGTGCTTTTTGTAACGCGTCGGGCGACTGATTCTGTCAACATGTTAGACGACGATAATTGTCAACAGCGAGCTACAGCTTAGACAAAGGAAGACAGACGGCGGAGGAGACCCCATATCCTATATTGACCACAATCGCAGATTGACCTTTGTCAAGACCGCCCTCTCCGTCTTGTCATGGAACAGTGAAGGCATATCCGGTGCCAAGGCAACGTTAATTGGAGCGATAGTTTCTGAAGGAAAGTGGGATGTTCTGTGTCTACAGGAAACCCACCATACCAGGCATGCTACTTGTAGCAGAACGCAAACATGAGAAACATGGAAGTGCTGTCTACATCAGCCCAGACCTTAAAGGGAAAATACAACATTTGCAAACATCAAAAAATAAAACTACCAAATCATTTTGAAATACCTTGCTGGACTGTTAGTGAATGACAGTGTAAAGCATCCTGTAAAATCATGGCACCTGGTATACTGTCATTTTCAAGAAAAGTGGTATTTTTGTATCAATTTCCAAGACTGATCGGCCGACCAGCGTTGGAAAAAACTGGGTTTTTTTTCAAATACTGGCCCCAGTTGACCATCGCACTTGTTTGCAATCGATTACACACCTATGAACGGGTACAAGCCAGCTAGACTGGTTCCCTGACCTTACAATTCCCCAATGTATGTAAACTGCTCTGTTTCTTCTTAAATGGAGTCAGGGAACCAGACTACAGGAAAATGATTGTTTTTCTTGGTTTTTATAGCATTTTCGAACCCAAAACCTCAAAAAAGTCAGTGTAACTATATTTGCTATATATTTCCAACCCCCCAATTCCATCTATTTCTGAAAATTACAGCAAAAGCAAATGATGTATATTCCCTTTAATCCTGAGCTAAAAAGTAAGCACCGGTCCCTCTGTCTCTGACGATGAAGGTATTGAGACCATCACTGTCAGCTTTACACCAGTGGCCATTACATGAGTATATAAGTCACCACAAACGCCACTGCATTTGCCATCCCCAATGCAAGTCACATCTGCTGCATCCCACATCTGGATTGGTGATTTCAACTGACATCACACCCAATGGGGCTACAATGAAAGCAACGATGATGGTGAGGCCGCATGTGGGCGGAAACCTGCGAACTGAAGCTGCTTCATGATGCAAAACTTCCAAAATCCTGCAACAGCTGCAGATGGAAGAAAAGCTACAACCCTGACCTGATCTTTACAAGAAATGTCACCAACTTCCACAAAATGATTGAACAACCAATCCCAAGCTCTCAGCATCGACCAATCGGAATCCACGTCACAGCCGCAGTTACTCCAAAACGCCCTCCCGTATTTCAACGGCGATATAATTTCAGAAAGGCAGACTGGGAAACTTTTGCCAGGTCTACTGATGAACTTGTGCAGGAAATAGAAAGCTCTCCACACAACGACAAATTTGTTGATGCAATCGATCCACACAGCAGCACGCAAGACCATTCTGCGGGGCTGCTCTACCTATGAAGAACTGTAAGATAAAGTCCATTTCGCTGACAATACAGTTGAGATTGGGAAACAGCTCACAGACGCGCTCAATGTGGCAAAACGCAGACAATGGCAGGAGCTGATAGAAACAACAGACACAGCAGTAGGAAGGCATGGGCCACGCTGCGACGCCTCGGTAATGACCCTACCTAAAGTAAACCACGAGGTTACGTCACTGCTAACCAGGCTGCTCACCAACTGTTGCTAAACGGCAAGAGCAGTGGTAAGAGACGCTCACCCTCAAAGGCTGCTGGCGACAACCGAAACAACAGATGTTAAAATCAACCATTCTCCATGGAGGTGATGAAACCTAACAAAGCAGCGGGCCTGGATAACAGCAGAACTGAGATGCTGCAACACCTCAGAGTAAGAGAATGGCTACTAGAGAGATGTTGAACATCTGCATGACAACCAACACCATCCCACGAGAATGGCGGAAATCAAAGGTTATTGCTGTACCGAAACCAGGCAAAGATGCAAATCTTCCCAGCAGCTACCGACCTATATCCTTGCTATGCCATACTGAATCGCATCATGCTGGATGTAGACGATGTACTGATGTACCTGAACAGGCTGGGTTCCATTGCAGAAAGTCAACAACAGGCCAACTGATGAACCTGACACAGCATATTGAAGATGGTTTTGAGCAAAACCTGATCACAGGCGCAGTCTTTGTAGACTTGTCTGCAGCGTATGACACTGTTCACCATATCGTACCATGAAAGTCAAACTGCAACAAACGCTACAGGACTCTCATCTTGTCCAGTTCATCATGACAATGATGGAAAATCGCTGTTTTTTTTCGTCAACTTGAATGGTCAGAACAGCCAATGGAGACGCCACAAGAATGGTTTACCACTGGGCAGTGTCCTTGTCCCATACGTTGTTCAACATATACACCAATGACCAACCCATTACCCCGCAAACTAGGTCATTCCTGTACGCCGATGACTTGTGCATTACAACACAATCCTCAGACTTAAGGCAAATTGAGACTGTACTAGAGGCTGCTCTGCAGAATATGACGGCATATTATCAACAGAACTCCCTGCGTCAAAACCCAACAAAAACGCAGAGTGCAGCTTTCCACCTCCGGAATCGGGATGCAAAACGCCAACTGCAGGTGCGGTGGAATGATGTCCTGTTGGAACACTGCGAAGCCCCGAAATACCTAGGTGTGGTCCTCGATCGCACATTATCATATCGCCGACATGCTGAGAAAACCAAGGCAAAGGTCAACACTTGGAACAATGTCATTGACAAATTGGCATACAGCTCATTTGGAAGTGACCCAGCGACAATCCACACTGCAGCCCTGGCACTCTGTTTCTCAGCGGCGGAATATGCAAGCCCTGTCTGGAACCGCTCTACACATGCCTGCAAGGTGGATACTGCGTTGAACACTGCCTGCCGGAAAATCACAGGATGCCTTAAACCAACAAAGGTTGAACATCTCTATGAGCTGGCAGGCATCCATGCACCAACTCAAAAATGTGACCAGGCAGCTGCAGTAGAACGTTTCAAGGATGATACAGACCTCTGACACCCCTTGCACAATCATCAGCATGCCAAACAGCATAGCTTCATGGAACTAGAGCCAACTGTGCCAGTCATGAAAGCCAAACAACAGATGGCACAAAGACACCGTCTACCATCACCTGGAGAGCCCTAAACCGCCTTCACACTGGTCTAGGACGTTGCAAATCCAACCTCAAGAAGCGGGGCTTCTCAGATTCTGACAAATGCAGCTGTGGAGAAGTCCAGACAATGGCCCACCTGCTGACATGTGGTGGAGATACATGCATCGTTGACGACCTCTGCGAGGGCAGTGATGTGGCAATAGCTGTGGCAAAGCGATGGTAGAACGTCGTCTGGCACACGAGCGAGCGAGTTGACTATATATTTTTGGGGGGGGGGCAATGCACTCCCAAAGTTGTACTCCCAAAGTGTATATAATTTGTTGCACTTTAGTATAAATAACCAGAGCATCAGAAGAAGGCTGTTACTAATTCTGATACTTTGTGGGCATTGAGGAAAATGTTGATTCAATCTTTGTTACAAAACAAAACACTGATGTTATCCGTTTCGAAGTTAAAAATTCATCAATAGATCATTCGGTTGTTCATAAGCAAAGCATAATGAAATGTATTTTCTTTTCATTAACTTTGATCCCCTTTTTGTCATCTTGTCTACAGGGGGGAGTCCAAGGCAAAGCTTCGATGACTGCGTTTGTCCTGATTTCCCTCTTAGAATGCGAATGCGATGCCATTGTAAGTAGCAAAGTCTTTTCTCATTTCACGTAGTAGCAGTAGTGTAGGGGGTGGGGCTGAAACAATCACAATGACAAACTAGAGATTCGCGTTTGTTGAGTTACAAACGCAGAGTGGTCGGGCTCCCATCTATTTTATATGTCATAAACTTTGCCACAATAATCAACTGAAAATTCATTTTAAACATTTTTCACCCTGCCACTAGAGGGCGCTCAATCTGATACTTGATGACGTCATCGTGACGTAATTACCAGAAAGCTCGAGTGCTATGTTAAGTGTGCTATTTGAATAAAAAACTCAGCAATTTTTTTTAGAGTTTAACGGACTTTTCATTGTAACTTCCGGTCAGGTGACGTCACTAATCTTTCTCCCCCTCAACTTGTTCTTAGCATGAAGCTGATGATGTACATCCATTGTAAAGTGATTTCAGCAAAGTTTGCCACACGCATCAACTGATTATTCACTTTTAACATGTTTCGACCTGCCGCTAGAGGGTGCTCTAACAATTTTTCAATGAAAAAAACAAACACGATACTCCATTGTGTTCAAAAGATAAAGTTCAAACTATTTTGTTAAATTTGCCCTTGTAATAACTTGTAATTTGATACCCGATGATGTCATCATGACGTCAGAGTAATGTGCACCACTCGGGATGAGTGTCGATATATGCTGAAAGTTACCATTAACCGTTTAGGGGAAAACCAGCGGAGAAGTATAATCCGAAAAAAAGAAAAGAAAAAAAACACAATGACTAAATCGGAACAATTCTAAACAGTGGTCGGGTTGTGGCTGACCACTCAAAAAATAACCTGACCACTCAACAAAGAAGATTGATCAGAACAATTCTAAACAGGACAGTGGTTGGGTCAAAAAGTAGGGGGAAGCTGGAGCAAAGGAGAGGGGAACAGCCACGCATTTGATCACCACGCTGAATGCGATCTTTGCACATAGCTTGTGTGGACGTGGTATACAAGAAACAACATGGCCGTCGTGTATATTGAAACATCCATGGAAAGATCTGGTAAATCCCAGCCCCTGTGAAGCATTTCGTGGGTGTTAACATAAATGTGGAGGCAAGTGTGTGACATTAGGGTCAAATTTTCAAAATAACCAAATTAAATTCAGCTTCACATGGTTTTGCAGTCTAGGGTCTATATTTTGTCAAAAACAAAACCATTTTTCTGTAACATGACCCTTTTTAGAGTAGCAACATGATGAACTGGCATATGGGACACAAATTTCACCTGTAACAGTGACACCAAATTGTTAATTTCTTTTAGAGCTTTCACCAGGTGAGGTAATGGTCAGGTATGGTAAAGACATGTTGCTTTTTAAGCAATTATTTGCAACACTATATAAGTTAAAAAAAAACTTTAACACTATCCTTGTTCAACATTTGTTGAAAATCAAATATCAAGTTTTAGGAAATTTGACATAGGCCTATTATGATGATTACAAAAATGTAGCTCTCACTTGACATGAAATTATATTATTTTAAGACAAACACTCACTTGTTCTCTAAAAGCAAGTTTGACAGCCAAAACTGCAACTATGAAGAACAATGAAGATTTACAAACACTACTAGAAAGCATGTTATTGTAAGTAAAGCCTGGTGTTAACCAACATTTCACCTGTAACGCTGACACCAAATAGTCACTGTTACAGAGTGACAATCCTACAACTAACTAATAATAATAGTAATAAATGGTATCAAACCATTTAAACCTTTCTATTTAGTGATAAGTTTGATGGTTTCTACATCAGATACTTGTTTCTGAGACTGGAAGACTGTGGATTGTGTTTTTTCCTTGTCAGTTCAAGCTTTGAAGGCATTTCCTAACATCTGAAACTTCTCCACTTTAATAAATGACTGACAACACCTGATTTTTTTCTTTAATATGATTAGAATAAAGATGATTCTGTGGCCGCTGCAACTGCTCTCCTTGAGGATGAGTTGCCCGATTTGACCCGACCCTATGCCATTGCCATCACAGCATATGCCTTGGCCCTCGCCAACAGCATCAGAGCACAGGAAGCCATACAAATGCTCAAAGATATTGCCGCATACAATGCAGGTAATAGGACATTACATATAAATATAAAAGCTGTATAGTACTTTCTAAGTATGAATGTTTTATAAACAGCCTTACGACAGGTCTGTATACAGGGTGAGTAAAAATATATATTAATGGGGACCATTTTGTTAGTGAAGTTCTGCATATAGCACTTTCAACAATTCACATAGGGATGTGACTGTGTCAATTGTTTTCGTTTTGTTGAAAGAACACTTACCTTTTTTGTGATCAGTGGACAGAAGTTTAAAACAGTGTTTGTGTTTAAAATTTAACATGAAAAGTAAATGAGTGATTTGCATGATTATTTTACTAAAAAAACTTATGAAATGGTCTTGCATATCCTAAATATTGAAAGTGCTACATGTAGAACTTCACTAAAAATGGTCCCGACATTTGGGTTTCGTTTTTTACTCACCCTGTACTTTTGACGAGAATTGTACGACCCGAAATATTCGCTGCTTATTTCGCTAGAGTTGAAACGTTCAGCTTAATAGCAGATTCGCAGCGCCAAAACTTGCCTGGACAAACATATTCTGACTAGTATAAGAAATAGACAATCGTGGATTGTTTCAACACCCAGCTTTTTGGTTTATACCACATTCAGCATAATCCTATGCTTTTTGTACAGTTTCAGATTCTCGATACTGGGCAGCAGATGACTCTTCTTTTGGTGGAGGTCAGAAACCATACTGGTACAGCGCCCGACCCAAAGCCATTGAGGTTGAGACGACCAGCTACGCTTTGCTCGCACTGCTGCAGATGGAGGAAATCCAGTACACGCACGCCATTGTGAACTGGCTGACAAATCAGGAGAACTACAATGGAGGCTTTGTGTCCACACAGGTATTGATATCAGTAATTATGCGCAGCGGCCATCTTAGGGGCCATCTTTGTTACTTTTACAATGAAGTTACGCAAAAAATTCATTCGTTCATATTCCAGTTAAACAAAGATTTTTCCCTCTAATATGGCAGCCACGCATAAGGTCTATATAAAGTGTCTATAAAAAAGGTAAATTGAACGTAACAGGTTAGAAGTTGTGAATGGAAAACGCTGTACTGTCAAAGTGGTTTCACCATAAATGAAGGTCGTTTCATCAGGTTTCATCAGGTGTGTTGCAGATATTGCATTAGTGATACATAATAATGCTGCGGATGTCCATGATAAGGCATAAATAATCATTCCAAGCATTTTGTTAAGCATCTCAAAATAATTAGCTATCCTGTGTCAAAATGCTTTCAATTGATGCCCAAGCTACGTTTTGAGTCATTTTGTTTTGTTTTGCATATAGGGTAGTTATTGTTTTAATGAAATAACAACACCCCATTGAAATGTTAATTTTAATCATGAATATCATATTCCATTTATGCTTAAACACCTTCAACGTGTCTTCTGACTTTCCATTCAGCACAAAAGGTATTCCAACATCGAAGTTTTTGTAGTTTTAGGGCCCTTGGTTTTAAATTCACGGTAGGGTTAAGCCATTTTGACAGTTTTACCAGCAATGTCATAACTCAGTGAAAACTGAGATGTAACACAACCTCTTTTTGGAGTAATTAAGACATGTACATCAAGTAAATTACGGCATTCACTGAGAGACGCTTACATACAGGGTGAGTCAAAAAAAGCGGAACCCAAACCCCAAACAATATATTTCATCTTTAAATAAGTATGTAGCACCAAAAATAATAATGACTGGAAAACCAATTTCATAAGCTACTTTTAGATGGAAAAATTAATGAAATCGCTCAATCCGTTCAAAGAATATCACCATTTAAACCCAATGACCCCAAAACCTGTCTCGTCCAAAAAATGTGATTTCAACAATCGTCGTCACAATTGTCTTCAAACATCACCAGTGGTGAAATCTTAGTTTAAACGTCAAGAATATGCAACAAAGTCCTTTTGAAGGCCCGTCTTTTCAAAAAGTAGATTTTATACATCATATTGTTTGCCTAACCAGGGTTTGTTAATCAAAATATTATGTACTACAGTTTGTGACAGTTGTTGAAACAAGTATTCTGTGTCATTTTCTTTGTTGATCCAAACAGTCAAAACACACAATGAATTGCTTATTTTGGACGAGACAGGTTTTAGGGTTGTTGCGTTTAAATGGTGATATTCTTTGAACGGATTAAGCAATTTCAGTAATTTTTCATCTAAAAGTAGCTTTTGAAATTGGCTTTCCAGTCATTATTATTTTTGGTGCAACATATTTTTTTAAATATGAAATATATTGTTTGGGGTTTGGGTTCCGCTTTTTTTTACTCACCCTGTATGTAAGCGTCTCACAGTGAATGCCATAATTTACTTGATGTACATGTCTTAATTACTCCAAAAAGAGGTTGTGTTACATCTCAGTTTTCACTGTATGACCAGTTTCCTATGGTTGAGATAATTCGTGTACAATTTTGCGATCAGAAAACGTGCAATAACCACTTAAACCCCTAGCACTCCCAAGATATAAACCAAGTAAAACACTTCAATCATTCATGCAAAAAGTCTGAATTTAATTATTTTTCTTGAATGGAACTTACTTTCTGGCTAATAGTGAAATATTTTTCCAATCTGTTTGGCTGTTTTTAAGCAGTCTCCGTTGATTAAGTTTGAGGCAGCCGAGTTCTCTAAGATTTATAATGGTTAAAATTTAGTCACCGTCAAACATGTCTATTGTCCGTCATGCCCTTAAAGCTACAGTCCATCATTTGTAATTTGTGCATTTTGTTCGTTTGAAGCAACAAAAGAGTTCAAAATCTAATGAAGGATACTGAGCAACTAACCTGATGAAGTTTCAGCTAAGCTTCAGCTGTACATTCCGAGAAAAACAGCATTCTAAGATCTCAATTTCAAATCAAAAGTTACTGAATCATGTTTTGAATTGCAGCTATACGCAACGTAGCGCACTGATCCGACGAATTATAACAACCGCGCACGGATGTGCGTCGTTCCAATACTTGTGCGCGCTGCGCTGAATAACAAAACGAACTACTAATTTAAATTTTCCTACGGTGCTTCTTAAGAATCACCATTGGAAATGCCTTCTTTCGTTGATTACTTCAAAATGACAGCTTCCCAGAAAGAATAATTTCACAGGGATTTTAGTTCCCTTACTATCTTTCAACCAAGTTTGTTTTTCAACAATAATTACGCCAGTTACTTTTTGGATGGCTGCAAATGATGGACTATAGCTTTAAGTTATTGTCTGTAATAGGGAAAATATAAAATATTGCTACTTGCACTTAATTAAAATGGGAAAGCTGTTGCTATAGCAAACGGACCGGACAAGAACATCTTGTGATATTTTTTACGCGAAAAGGGGATCATTGTGTATTTTGTTTTGTGATTTCAGGACACAGTTATGGCGCTACAGGCCTTGTCTGAATACGCATATAAAGTGCAGCAATACGACATTGATATTAACTGTGAGGTCAAGTGTGATGAGAGTGAGTTCGATGAAGACTTCTCACTCAACCCTGCAAATGCGCTCGTGCGTGAACAAAGGAACATTGACGTGAGTTTTGTTCCCGGTCTCTCTTTCTTTCTTTTGCATTTGTATATTTTTTTTTTTTATTATTCTTACTAATTTATATTTATTAATAATTTATATTTTGATTTAATGTATGTATTATTTTTGTTCATGTCTTTTATTCATAAATCATAAATCAACAACAACAACAAAAAGACATGGAGAACTTAGAACATCATGAACATGAAAGATGAATAAAAAAAAGTCTTAATGTCAATGAAGCAAGGAACTAGAACTTATTATAACTACATGTATAATAAAATTACCCTTGATTGGACATTTGGGAGACATCCCATAGACGTGTGCACAAAATTTTTCAAACTTCAATGTGCCCTAACCCAATATTCCCTTGTTCTTTTTCCACGAATTTCGGTATGTTTACTGATTAGACCCTGAGCAACAAATATGATCTACATGTAAATGCGACACTGAAATTGTGCCTAGAAAGGGGGGGCTGTGACATTAGGGAGACATGAAAATGTCTCCCTAATGACCGATATCTCCTATCGTGCAAAGAAATTACGATAACGTGTCTCCTTTAACCATTACACATATTCTTTGTGAAAGGGGCCGACCTAGTACAAGGTTCGGCTTCTTGTCTGACCTCTCCCAAGTGACCCAGTATCGGTAATCTACGTTTGCGTCCATGATCTTCATTTTCTTTTAGGTTCCAGATATGAGCCAAGAGATGAATGTGTTCATCAGTACAGAAGGGGCGGGCATGGGTCAGTTCAAGGTAAGTTTCTTTTCGAGACTACATCTCTGTGACTGTTTGTAATTCCGCAGTAAAACCGTTAAATTATACTTTCTTTAAACTCTGAGGGAAAGATGCAAGTGCATGAACTTCGCAAGACAACTTTGAATTCAGGGGGTTGTGACAACAATTTTGTTGACAGATCATTCGTGCTAAAAGGTAGACCGGATTTGTTTCCGGCAACCCGCCTCCACATAATCAAAAAGGGAGCCCGCCTCCACATAATCAAAAAGGGAGGAGGTGGGGGGGGGGGATGCTATCTTCCTTTACGCTCTAAAAGCTTCGGGTCAGAATACCTGTAATCTGGGAGCTATGGCTTGACCCTCTGCCATTTTTGACGTGGAAAAGTGTCATTAAATTTGACACAGAAAAGTGTCCATTTTGACGCGCTAAAGGGTTAGGCCAACTAAATAGAACCCTGTCTCTGTGTCAATCGGACCCAAGAGTTTGTAGAGTGCAAACAGTAAACTGTATCAACAATCCAGTTTGTAGTGTGCACTGGTGCAGGTCAACGTCGATGGAACATTCCTTCTTTTTTAAGAGTTGCTTGAAGCATCTTTTGTAAGGAAAATTGTATAATAGGCCTATCAAATTGTTTTGAACTTGAAATGTGTGTTCTAACTGTAAACGTAGGCCCCTATATGTAAACAATGTTTGACTATTGAATAGTTCATAATGGTTTGGGGTACTGGTGAAATAGATATAAAACTTTTGACTTAAGTAACGTTTCCTCAAACATTGCACAGGCAATAGCTCCTTGGCCAATGAAACCCCAAAAAGAAGGAATGTATATAGAAGGACTGAAAGACCGACCCACGTGTTGACTTAAGGATACCCGAACCTCAGCCGCTGATTGTAGGAAGGCGAGGAAGCTATAATACAATGCTAAAGTTACTTCCTTGCATATGTTAATTCCATTTTACAGTTCGAGGCTACGTACTACATCCCTGAGCCCGACGTAACTGAGTGTGACTTCGACCTCTTAATAAATGAGGACGAGAATCTTCAGTTGGATCGGCCTGAGGACGACAACAAGGAGTATTTATCTTATGACATCCAAGTCAGGTGTGGATATTGTAAAGTCTTTCAAAATTGTACTAAAATTAATGGCAATGTTTCGTGCGTGGTATCGGCAATATTAAATGCAAAACAAAACGAGAAAGATATTCAAAAGTTGCTATTTAATATCATTTTAGGCGTTCTCAGAATATTTGGGGGTTTCCGTGGATAAGTGAACTTCACGTTTAAATTCATGTATAAATGCCAGTTTTTTGGTCCAAAATTTAATGAAACACTGATTAACTCTGATACGTGTTTTCGTGCCGAGCCTTAATTAGTATTTCTAATTTTGACAGAAAGTGCATGACTTTCGGTCCTTAAAATCCCAAATCCGACTAATAGAGGGGAAAAAAGGGGTTTTTTTCGTGAAATTAAATTAAGATTTTGCACTCTGTTGGTTACATTATTGATTCAGAAATCCTATACACAATTTTGACTTCATATAAACAGAAGTGGTAAATTTACAACAATCTGAGAAAGATCCTGTGTATTTTCTCATTAACTCTCCTACACTAGTAACAAGTATAAAGTTTTCCTCAAATCATGTTGGTGGGGAACAAATCCGAGTATTAAATTTGCTTCTAAACAGGTACTTGCGGGGTGAGAAAACCGGCATGGCTATATTGGATGTGGGACTGTACACCGGCTACAAAGCTGTTCAGGAGGATCTGCAAACCGTAAGCAATTTATTTTTGGTTTTTAAGTCTTCACACGATAAGCACTCCTGGTCTTATGATCAAAATTAGTTTTAGGTTTTTTTTGTCTCAGTGATAGTGGTTAGCAAATTGTTTGGGACAGAAATTGTACATGTCAGTGTCATGCATTTTCTCTCCTCCAAACAGGATTGCAGAGTTCAGATATTTTCAGAAGTGAATAGGCTTAGAAAATAGAAAATAGAATGGTCCATGGATCACCGAGGGAGGCTAGTTTTACTTCACCACGAGATAAAGCATTCAATATTTGTTTTATAACACTTAACCCACAGATTCTGCTTGATTTTAATATTTAAAATTATTTAAATCTGAACACAGTTGAAATAAACTTTAATTCTAATACAAAATTGGTGGAAAATGTATTTCTCTCTTCCCAACTACCCCTTCACGAAATGTTTGAACCCAAGTCTGCGGCGCGCTCTCTTTGGAACAATACGCGCAACGCGCACACCAGCATCCATTTGCACACAAATACCGCGCCGTGGAAATAGTACTGTGGTTGCTCATGGCATAGTACTTTGGTTGCTACGGGTATAGTACTTTTGGCCGTGCACAGAAAGATAGCAAAATTAGAAAGTAACATGTGACTCGCTCTCGGCCAATCAAGACACAGAATCTGTGGGTGAGGTGTTATAAAACAAAATATATTTTAAGGGGTGCCTTTAGGCAAATATGTATACCATTGATTCTGCGTTATTCTGGGCCCTCTGCGATCCCCAAATCCTGTGGCAATTATTTTGTGGATGTTTGTTTTTCATTTCCTCCAATCTCACTTCTGGGAATGTCTAAACTCGATTTGGTTCTGATTCTGTACCAACAGGTAATGGATAACAGTGGTGGGCGGGTGGAGCGGTATGAAGAGACGGATCACTCGGTGGTGTTCTACTTCGAAGACGTAAGTCAAAGATCGGGAACCTTATTCGCAGATGCATCATCACAACAATTGGCGCGGTTGTTATAACCACACCAAACTCTGATACAATACGGTGGAATAAACTATAACAAGGTTTCTCACCCTGAAACTTTCAGCCCACCTGATGCAAAACAGTGGGCCGTAGGCTCGACATTATTTTTAATACACCAAGCCGCGCTTTATAATTTAAGGTTGCAGGCCAGTAAATAGGCCCGAAATTGCCTACTTCGGCCTAATCACAATTGAAATGCCCTCAATAATTTTGCTATTAGAGCATTTTTCAAAATGGCGATGGGCTTGGGGCCTACTTTTAGGGGTGATCATCTTTGGATGGAATTTTCTCCAGTCATATGTTAACTTCAAAAGGATTGAACAGAAAATCAAAGATGATGAAGTAAGCTATAATTTGCTGTGTGTCTTAAACACTTTGGACAGTTGTTAGTATTTCAGAAGTGGGTGTATTTAACACTGGGGTCTATGGCAGTTTATATAGTAGTCTGCAACCTTTTGGACTAAACACCAGCTGACTCGAGGTGGCGTTGTTCCTGATGTCCCTTTCTGTCATCGGATACGTCCCTGGCCCTCTACCGACGCCTCTTTGTCCCCCTTTCCACATTCAATGTAGAGCTCAAGGAATGATGTAAAATTTATTTTAGATTAGTTGTTTTGAAAACAATTTGAAATCGTTAATCTCATAGTTTGAAAACAATTATGATCACAAGGCAAATGGGTGAAATGTGGGAAAAAAGCCATTCTTACGTACAAATAATATGCGAAGTGAAAATACAAGTGCTTATGCCGGCCTCTTAATATGTTCCCTGCCAGACATATTCAAGATGAATTTCGAGGTGCATCCCACCCTCCCCTGGTCATAAACAGGTGGGGTAGGCCACCAAAAGAAACTAGTTGGTGCCAAACAACATCGTGTAGATTCTTTATTGGATGATGCTTTATTGGATGATTGAACACTGCAGGTTTATTCAATGCAGTCTAGGTTTATATTGGAAAACATTTCAACTGTGTCTTGATTAATTACTTTTTTGTATTGATCAGATTCCTGGATTGGAAGCAATACGCATTCAATTCCGCGCCGAACGTGAGTTTAACGTCGGGAAGGTCCAACCGGTGGCAGTCCATGTATATGACTACTACAACCCTAGTAAGTGCGAGTCTACAATACCTTCTATTATACAACTATATTTTTTCATGTAATAAATAATGGAAGGTTTGCGGAAACACCATGCACGAATAATTTCTCAACTAAGAGAATGGTTCTGAAAAGAACCAGAGGTATAAACTCAACGTTCCGGTCAGTATGCTCTGACCGTCTTCAGGAGAGTGCCTAAACTCTAAGAAAGTGGATGCTTAAGTATCAAAAGGAGAAATCAATGAAGTGCCAAGTTGCATCCTGTGAGGATGCCAAGTAGACAGGATCCTAGAGCAAGCTTGTTGCCCACTGAAGTGGAACAGTAGGGTTGCAGTGTCAGTAGAGGGAGGACCTAGGGTATAGGAGACCCATCAGTCTAAGGTGGTAGCTGAGGACCTAGGATATAGGAGACCCATCAGTCTGGAGAGGTGGGAGCCAGATGTCGTTGAGGTGAAACCTGATGTCTTGCGGAACTGTGTTGTGCTCGCGGATCTCGATGGCTTCCCGTATGCGTCTTGGATGCCAGAACTGGATCGGTTCGATGAGTTCGGCCGCATCCCAATCAACTTGGTGGTCGTTGATGTGGGAATGTTTGACAATGGTCGATTTGTCAAAATCCCCTCGCCGTCACATTGAGACGGCGAGGGGATTTTTTTTTTAAGGCACTCTCCTGAAGACGGTCAGAGCATACTGACCGGAACGTCGAGTTTATACCTCTGGTTCTTTTCAGAACCATTCTCTTAGTTGAGAAATTATTCGCACATGGTGTTTCCGCAAACCTTCCATTATTTAGTATCTTCACCATGCAAAGCCTCAAATTTTATTCATGTAATTAGTGTAAATTTTTCGGTTGAACAAAGAAAATTGACGTCTCAGTAGATATTCTCTTCTCATTAATGATCCAGTAAGGTAGGCTTGCGGTCTGCTGTTCGCGTGTAGCTATAATTATTTATTTTTTTATTTGTTAGCTTTTTTGTCGTTCAACCGAAATTTGACGATAAATAAAGCGCATCGGCTTTTGTCAGTTGCCGACTCCTTCCTCAGCCTCGAAGCTCTCGGTGGAGTGATGAATACTTACAAATTCCTATGGGCTTTGCATATTTAATTTTGAATACAGGGTGAGTCAAAAAAAGCAGAACCCAAACCCCCAAAAATATATTTCATATTTTTATAAAATATGTAACACTAAAAATAATAATGACTGGAAAGCCAATTTCATAACCTACACTTAGATGAAAAAATTACTGAAATTGGTCAATTCGTCAAAGAATATCACCATTTAAATGCAATGACCCTAAAACCTGTCTCGTCCAAAAGAAACATTTTAGTGTGTGTTTTGACTGTTTGAAACAACACAGAAAATGACACAGAACACTTGTTTCAACAACTATCACCAACTGTAGTAGACAATATCTGAATTAACAACCCTGGTTAGGTTAGGTTTAAACAGTATGATTTATAAAATTGACTTTTTTTTAAAGACGGGTCTTCAAAAGGACTTTGTTGCAAAACTAAGATGTTATCACTAGTGATGCTTGAAGACAATTGTGACGATGATTCTTGAAATCGCATGTTTGGATGAGACAGGTTTTAGCGTTGTTGTGTTTAAATGGTGATATTCTTATGAGTGGATTGACAAATTTCATTTTTTTCATCTAAAAGTAGCTTATGAAACTAGCTTTCCAGTCATTATTATTGTTGGTGCTACGTATTTGTTTAAATATGAAAATTAATTTTTTGCGTTTGCATTCCGCTTTTTTTTACTCACCCTGTATTAGTACTAGCTCCTATGGACCATGTGAGGACAAATCCTGGTATTTGTGTCAGTTAGGAATGTACATTTAATATATTCCTTTATTTCACCCACCATTATGATCGATTAAAAACGGGTTGGTAGGACAGTGCAGGCATGCCTATGTGTATCGTATCTAAGTCTCTCTATTGCTAGAACTTACGATACTGTGGCCGTGCTAGAACTTGTCATTAGTTTACTTCAACAAACCTTTTGATAAAGAACAAAAAGGGGAACAATCATCAATTGCAGATTATGTCTTTAGTTCTGCACTGAACAATTCAGTCGTCCCAGATCATGCGTTTGTGCATATTTGGAGTAATTGTTCAGTTTACATATTTTTATTTTGTTTCCGTACTTCATAGCGGAGGAGTGTGTGAAGTTCATCAGTCCCAAGGAGGGCTCCAACTTGCTTGGGAAGCTGTGTGTGGAAGACACCTGCGTATGTGCTGCAGGCAAGTATTACTTTCTCTCTCCCCAATTGGCGTTAATTTTAGCTTAGTTTATGGTTTACACACCTCAGTTTCGTACTGCCAGATATGATATTGCGTGTCTCAATTGTTTTCTTACAGACCCAATTTAGTTAGAAGTTTTGATAGTTCAGCATTTTCTAATCGTTCCACATGCAGTACATTTTTGGTTGCACTTGGCTTAGACCTTTCGGGGCTTTACCTCCAGACTCCGAATACAATATTGTCAAGCTTGGCATGTGACACTGAAATTTCATCTTCACCTTTAAACTTTTGTTTCTCATTAGGAAAATGTGCCGTGGATCCGATCAAAAAAGGGCGCGATTATAAAGTTTACGACATGACTCAAATGGCCTGTGCATCGAAAGCGCACTTTGGTAAGTTTTGCCATTTACTGACGCCACAGTGCAGTGTTGAAAACGTGATTGGAGGAAAAGAGAAAGAAGTGGTAGTAGTCCTGTTTATTTCAGTATACAGTTATCTTATGGTTAGGTAAACATGGATATTACTAGGCAGCACTCAATGACACGGAGCATAGCCTCATTACTACTTTTGTATCGCCTTTAAATGTTATATGATTTCAATCCATCACTCAGCTTACGAGGTGACCGTTACCGATGTGGAGGACAAAGGCAATTTCCAGTTCTACACTATGACAATCGACGCCCCTCTCAAGCAAGGTAGGATTACAGAGTTGTAGGAGTCATGCATAGGCATATGTAATGTTTACATTGGATTAATATACAGGGTCACCAAGTGCCAGACGATGCCTTATCTGCTTTTTTATCCCCCTAGCTGCAAGCCGGACCTGATACACTGTACCCTCTGGAGACGTGTGTACAAAAGGGAACAAAAAATTGTATGCGTCTCTACAGGGCAATTTCTATAGATGAATACGTCTCTACAAGGTTTTCACGAAATAGATATATGGATTTTACTCAAAACTAGGAATTTCCAGGCCATGTTTTTGCGAATGGAAGAGTTTTAGAAAAGGGATATTAAGTCCAAACTTCAGCCAAGGAAATTAATTCCGGTTAAAATAAGAGCATTTTTAAACTACACTTTCAAACTCGAAAACTTTAGTACACGAGAACAAAGGAATGTCTCCACAAGGATACAAATTCCAGTATTGGGGTGATTAGCCTTAAGCCTATCGCTTTTGGGGCCGACAGGTCATGGTCAGGGTCACTTTTGCTAAAACAATAGAAATATTGTCAGCAGGAATGCTAGAGAAATACTTTACGTAGGAACTTACAAATTTGGTTCGTGGGTTGCTCTTGGTAGTCTTATCAAACCTATTGATTTTGGGGCTGACAGGTCAAAGGTCAAGGTCACTATTGCTATAACAATAGAAATTGTCCGTCTTGGTTAGGAACACTAGCTTTATAAAGTGCTAGGGGGATTGCGCAAGTGTCACTTGCAGTATTATTATAGTATTAATTGGCTATAAATTATCTATAACTAACTCAATTGAGAGGCCCTTTGCAAAGCGTGAAATTTTATAAACATGTAGGTAGAAACTAGTTTCTAATTGACACGAGTTCACGTGCTGAATGAAACAACCCGGCAGAGAACCAGTCACATATGCAATAATAAGGGAATAAATGTGTGCTTGGCCGGTTTTAAACACCATATTTAAGACCGGTTGAAGTCTGCATGGACCCTGATAATGACTCGAGCTAATGGTGGTCATTATTAACAAGTTGGCCTCAAACAGCTGCGAGATTTTACGAGAATACAGCACATCCGGGCACCGTCTCCCACGTATGTAACGTACATCCTACTTTTATTCAGTTAATTTGTGCCTTGACTGGGCCCATCCAACTAAGGGCAATAAGTGGGTATTTCAAAAGCATCACAATCATTACAGCATACTAAAATGTTACAAATTGATGACTATTATGAAGTTAAAAATGTTATAATTGAACTTCCGTTCAATCGATCACACTGATAACAATTGGGTTAATCCAAATACGGGAGTATGTGATTAGACTAGTCGTTGTTTGGCACCAAGACGTTTACAGAAAACGTGAACGTGGACTTGCATTGACTGCCAGCATTCATTGTGGTTGGTCAAGTGAGCATTATAGTTTTCTGTCTTAAGTGGGGTGATAGGTTCAGGCAAAGACACTATGGATTTGACTCACAAGATCCATATATGTCAATTCTATATACACATTTTTTTAAAGTTACGATGACTAGCGGTTTTAAAACGGTTGCCATGGCAACCTTGGAAATTCTACAGAATTTATTTCGGTATGCCGGTACCAAAATTATTAACCCCCGATAACAGTTAGGAAAAGTCACAAAATTTCATGTCAATCGGTCAAAGCGGTCCAGAGCTAAGATGTTGATGGGGAGCCACATTGCCTGCCTGCCCCCCCCCCCCTCCCTCCGCCCGGTCCTGATTTGGTTAAAATGCACTTAAAAAGTAAAAGAGGTGTGATTGTGCGTACAGAACTAGATTTGTGCCAAAATTATAGGTTTCTGTACTGAAAAATATAGTCGATTTATTGACAAGCGCACACGGCTGGCGCTTTACCATGCACTTATGCAGGGTGAATCCGAATGATCATGGCCCAAATTAAAGAAAATGTTAAAAACATATAGCAATTATCAACACTAAGTTCAAATGAAATATGTTCAACAAGTTTTTTGAAATCGCGTATCAGTACGCGATCTCGTTAAATCATTTGGCAAACCATGGAACCGTGAAAAACAGAAAACCAGGCACCACCTTTTGATCACGAAACACGTTTTCTCAATAAAAAAAAACCCACTATTTATTCAAAAAATAAGTCAATTGACAGATCCTTGGAAATCACCCATACATTTCTTGATTTCATCAAAATGACAGCAAGCCAGACTAAATAATTTCACAGGGTGTTCAGTACCAGTGTACAATCTTTCATCAAAATAAGACTTAAAATATGAAAACGCAAATAACATGAATATAAAATTATGCAAAAAACTGAGTTCACATCAGTTCACTTTGGTTGGTAAGATTTGGTGTTTTATTGGCTTTTTATATATAATAATAATGTAACGGTTACTTTTTTGAGGGGGGGGGGTGTGCAAATAATCCTATATCCCTTTGATAACAATGCTTTCAATCTATGTCACATTATCAGGGCTGGATCATGTGGTAAAAGATGCGACACGGGTTTTCGCTAAGAGCAAAAGCTGCGACACTCCAGACCTTCAGATGACGAAGTACCTTGTAATCGGCAGCGGTGGTTTACCAACGAAGGATGACGTGGGACAGGATATGTAAGTAGTCCTACCACCTGTTGGCCTTACAACCTCAATGTGATTGGCCTAAACAAATAATTTATTTCATAAGGCATCATCTTTCCCCTCCTCTCTCTCGCACAAAAAAGTACATTGAGTTATTTATACCGGACTCCCTAAATTTCAGCAACATTGTAAATATAGTTTTTTTTAAATGCAATCTTAAGCCACGTTCGCATTGAACTTAATAATGTAAAAAGTTACCTCGAATAACTATTAGCATTCAATTGTGGTTATTCTACCGTGCTTCTGCACTTGGAACATAATATCGGTCTGCGGAAAGTCTTTCCTTGCATAATAAATCTTTACAGCACCGTGCTCTCTCCGAATTTAATGGCGGCGCCCTGCTATTGATCTTTTAACATTTTAAGCTGACAACAGTCTCCTTTAGTTTAACCCCCAAAAGTCCACTGCGCGCACAGTTTAAGACATAGCCGACTCGATGGCACTTGTGCAAATAGGATAAGGGAATGGTTTCCAGCAGACCTAGTCCTATTGTTTTTTTCTGCGCTTCAAGCTACGACTCACACAATACCAAAAATATGCCGTTGCAAGTCTATTCGTATTACAGTATGTGTTTTCCATATTTTTTACGTCTTATAGTTACAAGTACGTTATCGACGACAGGACATTCTTCTATGAGTACCCCACCATTCTGCAAGTGAACAAGAGTAAAAAATGGCAAAGGATTCATGCAAAACTTACGGAGCTGAAGCAGGAATTGGTCAACGGAGAAGGGTGCGCACTCTAAACGCCATTTCGTTCAATGGTCACATGTAGCTTTTACCACATGAAAAAAGATACAGCATGTATATGCTAAATAAAACGGAAGTGATTTAAAAACTAATATGCTGTAGAGTAAGTACAAAGAGGGCAGAAGATCCCAGCTTTTGTATGTGTTTTAATCAGGAACTATCAGAGCAGTTGCTTGTTCGTTACTGTGAAATCTCGACTGTTACCTTTGAAATCTCGACTATTTTTTTCTCTTCATTTTTTCCATTTCATTTTTTTTACAGAAACATACGTATCTCCAAGGTATAGTTAATTTTATATTCATTTCCAAATATGACCGACCTTTCTTGCTTTATATACGTTGTATCTGTTATTGTTCGTACATTGTATTGGCAAAAATGATCGTGTTTGACTCCTATTACATATAGAGATTGGCTTATTTTAATTTTGCTTAAATTTACGTCGTCGTTTTTTTTCTACAATTGCAGGAAAAAAAATGGCAATTTTAACTGGGCAGTTTATTTTCACCACGTTTGCGCCAAACATGAGGCCAACCACTAACCAACAGCGTTACTATTTTGTAAACAGTAGCACCACCTGAATTCGTTTGATTAGTGGTTACATGTAATTAGTTAGGCGTATGGCGAGACATCCAGGTAACATCCAGTCTGTTTAGTTAAATCTCACAGCATCCTTATATCTGTTTAGACTAGTTATATTTCACAGACACCTAACATCCTTATATCTGTTTAGACTAGTTATATTTCACAGACACCTAACATCCTTATATCTGTTTAGACTAGTTATATTTCACAGACACCTAACATCCTTATATCTGTTTAGACTAGTTAAATTTCACAGACACCTAAAATCCTTATATCTGTTTAGACTAGTTATATTTCACAGGCACCTTTCATCCTTATATCTGTTTAGACTAGTTATATTTCAATGACACCTAACATCCTTGTATCTGTTTAGACTAGTTATATTTCACAGACACCTAACATCCTTATATCTGTTTAGACTAGTTATATTTCACAGGCACCTAACATCCTTGTATCTGTTTAGACTAGTTATATTTCACAGACACCTAACATCCTTATATCTGTTTAGACTAGTTATATTCACTATCTTAGACACGATATTATACTCGCAAGGTCAAGGACAATATAGCAAAGTAATAGATATCATACGGGGTAGAAGTCGGCATGGAAAGATTCCCATAATTATCTGGCCATCACTGATTTTTCCCTTCAATGACCTATCAGCTATCAGAGAGTGATAATATGTCCTAAAAAGTCAAAATTATCAGGGAAAATATTGAAGTATTTACTGAGAAAACACTTAGAAATATTTAGACCAGTCTCATAGGGTTTGTGCTCAGGGTGAAAAGTGATGTCCAGATATGGGAATCTTTCCGTAAGGGAGGCTAATTCTCATGCAAAGACTGTGATTTGTAATGTACTTTTATTATGCTCTTATTGATATGCAATGATTTTAATCCAAAGCTTTTTTTTATTAAAAAAATACTGCAAACTGCAAACAAGCTGAGTATTGTCACCTTTGCCTGTGAAATTACAGATTTTCCGATGGAAGGGCGCGGAGCTATAAATATGGGCGTACTATTAATTAAATTGATACCATAATTTCAAAAGATATAAGAATTCGTAAGCCCCCCCCCCCCCCCCGAGGCCACGCCCGCCACTGAATTAACACAAACCGAAATAAACAAACACGAGACAAGGACTTTTTGTCTCAGGAAAATAAATGATATAATTAATTCTGTTGGCAAACACAATTTGGTTGCGCAAGCCCCAGATATATTCAGCCGCAAAAATATAGTTGCATTATAAAACCAATTTATAGTGCCACGCCCATAGTAAAAATGGAAAGCTAGCATGGCTTCGCGAGAGGGGGGGGGCGGAAAAGAAATTTAAAAAAAGGAAAGAAAAAGAGGCGCGAAGTCATATTGATGTAAATTTAATGGATGGGGGGGGGGCAAAATGTCCATGCCCCCCTCTAAAACTTAAAATCGAGAATATGTTGGGAAATACAGGAATTTTTGAGGAAAAATCTGTTTTTGCTCCCCTCTAGAAAAAATCCTGGCGACGCCCATGAATGCTAGGACATGAGCCCAGGACCAAATGATACACTTGCATAACATGTCGAGGTGATCGACGGACGGCGGGTACAAATTACTCAAAAAAAAGAACTAGCTAAGTACAATCCGGCTTGGGTAGCAAAACTAAATACATATGCCGCCCGCCAAGCTATAAGCAAGTGTCCCCAGCCACTCTGATGTAAGGAATGCCACACCCAAACCAGTGCCCGGGGATCAGGCTTGGCCAATATATTTATAGCATGTTTATTTATTTATTTATTTATTATCCATATCCAACAGCAGAACAAACCGCCAATTACAGGACTGGTTAAAAAATATTATACAATTATTAAATAAAAAAATAAAAAAAAAAAAATAAAAAAATATATACATGTACATGTATATATATATATATACACAAATATGATCAAAAAGAATCATTATAAAAAATATATATTTATGTTATAAAAACAAACTAAAAACAAATTATATGTATATAGGGATGAAAAGAGCATTGTGAATTGTGATAGGAGACGATTTCATTGGATATGCATATATATATAAAATGCTAAAAAGTAATGGATAAAAAAAACCAAAAACAAAAAAACAGAAGACACAACGCACATATACTTGAGACAAACACAAACACAACAACAAAACTAACAAAACAAAATGACAAAAAGAAGAGAAAAAAGGAGAGTAAAACAAAACAACAAACGTAACTAAAAAAAAAAAAAAAAAAAAAGACAAGACAAGGAAAACAAAGTAAAACAAAAAAAACAAACAGAGCAAGACAGAACAAAACAAAACAAAAAACAAAAATCCAAACCAAGCCGAACAGAACAAAACTGAACAAAAGAAAGCAGAACAAAAAAGTAAGAAAAAAATACACTATCTAAGAAAAAACAAGATAGCAAAAATTTTGTTACAGAAATAAAAATAATAAAAACAAATCACATGAAAGAAAATAAATTTGGAGAGAAGTGATGACAGTAAAAATATTAAAAGGAGTTGCAAAAAACCGGATGGTAATACATATATTTGAAGTAATCGATGACAATTCATTCAAGTGAGTTAAAAATGAAAGCAACAATGCATTAAAAAAGTAAAACATTCATACATTAACCACTTGTATTTGAAAGAGCACGGGACACCTGTCTACGGAAAGAATGAAGGGACGGCGCACCGAACACATCGCATTTCCCATGGAGCCCATTGTAGGTGGTAGAGATCCTAGAAACAAATCCACGCTTTGTCACTTCAACGCGACTCCATGGGACATGGAAGAGGTGTTCATGTGCATGCCTTGTCCGTCGTGCTGGAGCATGTAACTTGTATGGGTTGGCATCTGTAATATTATAACAGTTATGGAAATGTTTATATAGAAACATACAATCATTGACATCTCTTCTGTGCTTCAGGGTAGGGAGTCTATACAGGTCGCATAAATCAGGATAATCCAGGTTATTAACATCATTGTTATTGTTGAGATTCTTGTACATGAACTTAAGAAAGCGTTGTTGGACTCTTTCAATCCTGTGAGCCTGATAAGCAGATATGGAGTTAAACACTACTGTACAATACTCTAGATGGGGCCTGATAAGTGAACAATACATGGTACGCAAAACATGCTCATTCTTCAGTGAGCGGAAGTTACGCCAAACTAAACCACACATGCGATTAGCCTTTTTGATAACTGAATCAATGTGGGGAACAAAGGTCAGCCTGTTGTCAATAACAATTCCAAGATCCTTCTGCACAGGGACTCTATTAAGCATGTTATCCCCTAGAGTGTAAGTGACAATGATGGGTTTCTTCTTAAGTGACAGGGATAAAACACAACATTTATTGATGTTGAGGGATAGCTTCCAAGTTGAAGACCAAGACATGATTCTGTCTAAGTCACCCTGTAATGAGAATGCATCCTCAGGACAACCAATCCTGCGGAAAACCTTCAAGTCATCAGCAAAAAGTAAACACTTATTGCTTAAGCACTGAGTGATATCATTAACGAATAACGTGAATAGAATAGGCCCTAAAATAGAGCCTTGGGGAACACCAGAGGGCACGGTATTCCAGTTAGAACAATGCCCGTCAACAATAACTCTATGTTTTCTTCCAGAAAGGTAGCTACGTAGCAATAGAAGAATACCTGGATGAACATTGTAGGATGAGAGTTTATACAAGAGAAAATCATGGTTGACACGATCAAAGGCCTTAGAGAAATCAGTGTAGATAACATCCAACTGCTCCCTCCGTTCAACAGCATGGTAAGCCTCCTGCAATAATGATGTTAGATTGGTGGAGCAATCTCTGCCAGAGATGAAACCATGCTGCTGCTCGGAGATGGCTGGTTGGACGTGACACATGATATGCTCACTTAAGATCTTTTCAAAAACCTTGGATACCTGAGGGAGCAAGGAAATGGGTCTGTAGTTAGCAACATTGTGTTTTTTGCCAGATTTATGGATAGGAACAATATTAGCAGCTTTCCAACGAGAGGGAAAGCAACCCTCCAGGGTAGCCCTATTAAACAAATATGTTAAGGGACCACCAAGTACATTGGCACAAGATTTAAGCACAAAGCCTGATAAATTGTCTGGTCCAATGGCTTTGGAGACATCAATATCAGACAACTTGGAGATGACATCAGATTTGGTGATGCTAATGGCTGGCATAGCATCCAAGTTCGAAGATTGAAGCACAGGCATGGTGGCGTCGGATTCATCAGAGGATGCTGGCACATAGACAGACTGGAAACAATCCATCAGGAGAGCTGCCTTACCAGCTGAATCTGCTGCTTCAAATCCTGACGTTTCATTGCGGAGAACTGAAGGCAAGGCGTGTTGACGGGAGCAAGATCGAGTCTTGATAAAACTCCAAAAACGCTTTGGATTTTTACCAATGTCTGCAGCTACAGAGGATAAATAATTGGCATATTTGCCCCTCACAATTTGCTTGAAGTTAGATCGAGCTTCTTTAAAGAGTTCTAAATTGGCAGGAGTTGGACTCTTCTTCTTCCTGCGAAATGTACGCTCCTTGGCTTTCAGGGCATGGCGAACTTCACCATCAAACCATGGAGGAGATGGACGCCGTGGACGGACAACTGGTACAACATCAATCACAGCCGCTTCGATGAAGTCATAGAAAAGTGAGGTAGCTTCATCACAATCGTCGGTGGCTTCTAAAAGACACCAGGGGATGCATTCAATTGTTCTCTGGAGGTCGCATAAGTCAGCTTTGCGATAGTTGAAGATTGGACGACTTGCATCATATGGCTTGGTTTTAGCAGTTACTTGAATGCTAATTCTCACAGAATTATGGTCAGAAGCAAATATGTCGTCACCAGTTTCACAGGAGACTTGCTGCTGGGCAGAGCAGAGGACAAGGTCGAGGATGTTGTCACCTCTCGTTGTGGAAAAATTCACTTGCTGCAGGCTGTGAGCAGCCATGACTGCATCAACGAACACGTCATCGATGATGGAACCACTTGATACTGCAAGTCCACTGTCCGAGTCCCACTGTAGTGAGGGTAAGTTGAAGTCACCAGCAATATAGATGGTGTTGAAGTGACGTGAAGCATTGGTCAATGTGTCAGCAAGATTCTCTAGTGGTTGAACACCACTGTCAGGAGGTCTATAGAACACACCAAATAACATCTTGCTACGATTGGAAAGCCGAACCTCTACCCATAACAGTTCAAGATCGTCATGTTCAAGGTCTGATCTTCTACGGCATTCAAAGGCATTGTGGCAACCTAGGAGTACACCACCACCACGTCGGTTACTTCTGTCATTCCGGAACACGGTGTAGTTTGGGATGTTAATCTCAGCATCTAACACAGCATCGGTAAGCCAAGTTTCAGTTAGAGCGAAGAAATTGAACATACCGCCTGGCTGAAGGTGAGCAACCAGTGAGCTGTGCAGGACATCGAGTTTATTCTTCAAACTTCTCACATTCTGTAGATAAACTTGAAGGCAGGTATCACCAGTGGGTTTCTCTGTAGGAATTGATGGCCCTGAAGATTCTGGCCCTGGGTTGACTTCAATGTCACCGGCTAGTATGATGTTGAAGCATGCTGTGGTGTTGGCATAATGGGTCGCACTAAACAGCGTCAACACAGCGTCAACACAGCGTCAACACATGACAGAAGCGTCAACACACCGTCAACACATCCAAAACACATTCTGAATTGACAAAAAGGGCATATAATTGTGAAACATACAATAAAGGAGAATTTCCATTGGATTGAGTTTCCATTTCGTTGTTAAAAATATCGTATTTTCACGCGAAAAAAATGACCTTAACTTGCACGGCCGTTGTCCGCCATCTTGACTTTGCACAAAGCTTGGACTACACCATTTCAAGTAGGGGTGTGTAGGTAATGACATTATCTTGTCATAAACAACAGAGGGCGCCTTGCAATATTATACAATAATGTAAATACCAACGAACAAGTAAAGAAAATTAAACAACAAAGGCAATTGCAGCGTAAACACAGCATTAAATTGTTAGTCTTTGCAGATATTTTTAACACTGGCGACCCCGGCCGCGTCCCTCTCTGTTGGTTTATTGTACAACGCTATCACCCTTTAGAATAATGGTATGGTCCGCGCTGCCATTGAGGCAACATGGCGGGTGTTCGGTAGCCGATTTCGGAGCGGCACGGAGAGCCAATTTTCTTGAACTAAAAATCGCGATTTTCAGACGTTTAACCTATTGATTTTAAGCACAAATCTTGTTTCTGTCCATACTGTATGGGTTACATACTGCTTTTGTCAATTTTAATGCATTTTGGATGTGTTGACGCTGTGTTGACGCTGTGTTGACGCTTTGGAGTGTGTTGACGCTGTGTTGACGCTGTTTAGTATGACCGGGCATAATAAGGAGTGCTGTTCCTAGAATGCTTGAGTTTACTAACTACAACACTTCATTTCATTGTGTTGCACTCAGCCAGAAACACAGGCCACAGCCACACTGGCTTTGTTTGACTCAAAGACCATGGTGGACAATGGGGTTGTTCAAGTGTGGAAGACAGCATGGTGTACATGGCATCAAATCCTGGTTGAGATTCTTGAAGATCGGCATGAAAAACCCTGCAAAACTGACACTTTCTATCAGTAGATCCATGAGAACTGAGATCAAAGTGATCAGCAACCAGAACTCCATCAGGTGGTATAGAGAATGAACAATCTTGTGAGCTGGAAACAACCAGAATGACTATAAAAAGGAGAGCACAGCACAAGGCATGTTGACTGGCCGCCATGTTGGCATGAAGTGTTCGTTCAAGCATTGAGTATTGACTGTACTGCAGGCCACAGATTCTTTGCTAAAACTTTATTAAGAATGCCCAGGAATTTAGATACAAAACTAAAGGCATACCGAAACCTGGGTGGGGAGCAAAACCCATACTAAACCCATTGCTAAACCCATAAAAAGTTAAATAATGAAACGCATTCCAAAATATCAACAAAAAAATACTTAACATTCTAAAAACTGGCTATTGACAAAAAACAAAAGGAAGAGACCTTAATTTTAGTACACTACAATGTACTTGAGAAATGAAAACGGGTACTTATGAATGCATTCCACTGAATTGACGATACTGAAAGAAAACAAAATTATCTGGAGGTACGGGCGTCGCCAGACCAACTGGAATTTACCGACAGACTACTCCGTGCTGGAAGGTAGCCCAGAACGTCCCCACCTATCGCCTCCAGGTCACCCGGCTCAGAAAATAAGGGGGGGGGGGTGCTATGGATACCGTCTGACTGGGGGCGCTGTTCAACGCGGACGATTCTGGGTGCGTTCGTTTAGCTCACCGGGTCGACATGGGTCAGCCCGGCCCGTGCCGTTCGATATGCTCTGACGTCATTCTCGGGGCTCGACCGGGTCAGCGACCACATCTCGTGAGCATGCACAGTCACTGTTGGAAATATGTCACACGCATGCGTTGTTCAACTTCATTCCTAGAAACCGACAAATATGGCGGCCGGACAGGTTCAAAATGTGCATAAATTGATAAGCAACAACAGCGCCCTCTAGCTTCAAAAAAAGCCCACCCCCGCCTCTTTTCGAATTTGCAGCACTTGCGGTTGCTCGGTTAATTAGGGAAGATATTGTTGTTGGGTCCGCCCTTGGTGCCCTCTCATTATATGCTGGTGCCCTCCTGCCCCCACCCCCCCCCCCCCCCCCCCCCCCACACACACACACACACACTGGAAAAAATCCTGGCTGCGCCACTGCCTATTTCTAACTGGTTTGGAACTACATGTACACGTTTACGACCGTGCTACATCACACCGTAATCCCGTACTACACTTTGCATAAGAGAATGTTTGGCAAATGTTAACGATTCCATTTTATGACCATATTATCTATTAGGTATAACATTAATACAATCGTCAGATAGCATCTTTTCCAACAAGTAGCCAAACACGGACACTACTTAATTCAAATACATGTACATGTAATTGTTTTGAATGTCAATATTTTCGTTGGTTTTCGGCATCAATTTGTTAACGTCAATAAACGTTAATGAATTCATGTATGTAGGCGACCCGTAGGGAGACGTCATCAAAAGACTAAGTAATATTATGGGAAACCCAAATGTTCACCGAATTGCTGAGGGTAGGATAAGGTTATACGGTACTGACCATATAGGGGTCGTGGGGTGGGGATGGATAAGTGGGGGGGGGGGGGGGGGGGCAATTTCTGTTTAACGCGTTAACCATAGTCATTGATAGAACTAAGGAATTGCATTGGGGCGACTGGGGGGACAAATTTGTTATGGAGGCATGCGCCCCCCCCCCCCCCACCCACACACCCACACACACCCACCCACGCACGCACACCGCGACTGCTGCACTTGTTAGGGGTCACTACAGTTAGGATTTTGTTTTGCACAAGTCTATGGGCACCAATTCCCATAATAATAACAATATTGGTTTTCACGGGATGAGTGCTGTATCTTTCCTTGTTTATTATGGAAATCGAACATATAGTTTACTGATCCGTAAAACATGCAAAAATATTCAATAAAAAGAATCCATGTCACTGGAAATAATTAAAATCCTTGTGTGTGGTCACCTGATAACTATGTTACCTATGAAAAGTCTGCTTTAAATTTCGAGATAAACATGCTTTTTCGGGGGGGGGTATGGGTATTATAAACATGTCAAAACAGTTGTATAAAATCAGTTATACATAAGATAATTGTAAAAGATTTAACTGAATGTTAGCTCATAATACGTGTTATTAAAAATATTACCACAGACGTGATGAGTTCAAATCAGTTATCACCACACACAAACATTCCATTAATTAAGTAAAACGTATGGTTAAAAATATCTTTCCCCCGTCTATTTAAACATGTATTATGACAATTAGGATACAAAATCACACAGGTACTGCAATGATTATACACTTCAATTAATATTTTTTATGAACACTTTACGTGCTGATAAAATCCATGAATAATTAGTTTACGTTATATAATGCATGTGCACGTCCTTGGTCTTATATGCCATTTGCATATCTTCGGTTATTACTGTTAAAAAAAAGACGCAGACGGTAAGTAAGGAGTGAGTGACCTAGTGGTCTGGTACTCGATCTCACGGGTCTATCAGTACTTCACGAAATTTACCGCTAGCACAGTAGACATGATCAAGGCAAGGAGACTGGGTGCTAGACCGCTCACACCGCTCTCCTCAGCGTTTAATTCCATCAGGTCCATCAGATTGCCGGGACACCCTTGCCAGATCGGGGCCACGGATTTCGGGTACCCGCGGTCCACCCGGAACCGCCAGTCGTTGAACCTGTAGTACTCTCCGCTCGGGTGGAAGAAATAAGTGCGCCGATTGAGCCACTGCACGGCCGCCCCGATTCGATTCCCCGGTATGCGCCAGACGCTGGATGGGCGAGGGTAGCCACCTTCCACACGACCATTGTAGCGATAGTACTGATCCCCTTTATGACCAAACAGAATATGTTAAGCACTTGTAATCGAAATTAAAGCCTTTAAAACGAATACAAGGTTTGCTTTCTCCAGCTGTAGCAACAAAATTTCAGTTGAAGACATGAAACATACTGAGTAACCTAGCTAGTCTGTCATCAGTCAGTCCGTCAGTCACTCAATTATTAGTTAATTATTCGGTATATCAGAGGACAATGCGCTGATGCTTCGGTTTCAGCAAAAACAACACTCAAATTGCAATAAGACTGCTCAAGGTTGGATCATTTTGCATGTAAAATTCATTAGCGTTAGGACGTAGCTCAGAATCGTTGAAAAGAAAACTCTTTGGGGCAATATTGCAGTAGCTTTTTCAAACATTAAAATGTGTTACTGTTGATACCAAGTGTGGATTGTAAAAATGTAATCTGTGCAAATGGTCTCTTTCGTAAGAATGATTAACTTCATCTTGGGTCCTTTAAGAACAAGCTCGAAATGATTTCGGAAGCTGCGGGCCAATGTATAACAGAGTGACGTGATCATGCCATATAATTTCTGGAAGGAGTAGTGTTTTGAATGCAACAATCAGGTTTTTAACCCAAGCGACCGCCTGATGACGTGTGACGGTCAGTGGAGACCCAGTATTAAAGTGACACCAAAGAGGGCCAGGCCTCAGGAAAGGGTTGATACATACCCTTTGCCAGGGCCTGTGGGACAAGTTGATATATAGCCATGCAAGCCTGCACTGGAACATTTCTTACTAACTAACTAACGGAGACGATTTTTTGAGCTGCTTTCCGCAATTAAAAAATCAATCGGTGTTTTGGAGCTAGCAGAGAGTGCTATTAACGCCAATTTCCGTCTACTATAGGCCTAAGCAGTCCTCAGATGTCACATTGTGATCCATTTCTGTTGAATAGAGTCACCTAGTGCCAGGTGGTGTCCTACCCCATTCACCTGAAACACAATCCCTGGTCTGAACCGATGCTTGGCCCGGCCCAGGCCCCCTCCAGTGCCTCCACCCTTCTCCTACCACCTCCCTCAACCTCCAAAAATCAGTAGAAGAAAACAACTATATAGATCCTTTGCATTGTAGCCATCTTTGTTGTGCGTTCGTTTGTTCCAAAAGATAAGCGTGACTAGACCAGTCTTTTTGTGCATTCTATATTACTGAATTAAAGTCCCCGGCAACGATTGCTGGATAATGTATAAAGTCTATACTTGCACCCAACATATCCAATGTTCTAGCCTAAACGCTCCAAGAAAACACCATGGTTCGTTCTTAGGTCGACACCTTCCCGAGCACTGCATTCTCTTAAAAGTTAGAAATGAAGTGGCCCCGCGAAAGTCCTCACTAAATCAGTACTCACCTTTGAAGAAATAGATGCGGCCATTTCTGCGCCAGATGAAGGCAGCATCGAGGTCATTTGGCAAACCACTCCAGTCGGACGATATATCACGTGGGTACCCGGTATCAACAACTTCATTGTCAGTTCGCCAATACTGACTCCCCTAAAAAAATTACCAAGAATACATAGTACAAGACATTAAATCTTTTTGGTATTTTACGAAAGAAGGTTCAGATAGATGCACCTTTTTAAACAAGACGTCCATTTTTCCCGATTTCGAAATGGCCGCCATTTTAGACCTATTTATCTCAATAACTTGAGCTATGAAGGTCGTATGAAGTTCATTTTTGCGACAAACACCGTGTTTTGTATATATCTGAATATCAAACTGTTAATGACGTACTACCACCGGAGGGCGGCCATTTATGATATTTTAACATGGCCACCATTTTAGATATATTTTCCTCAATAACACTTAGGATATAAAGGTCATATGAAGTTCGTTTTGGTAACAAAACCTTACATTTTTGATACAGTGAAATCTAAATAACACACTATTCATTACGTTCTACCAATTGATAATTGGGACAAATCATCTTACTGAATTAACCCGTTATTTATTAAGGTGTTTTGGTCTATTTTGTTTTGCCATTTTCTTCATCCTTCATTGTGTGTAATTCAGTTTAATTTTAACTGATTTATATTAACATTATCGGGGTGATGTTAATTAATATTACGTCTAGCCTGAGCCACACACACTAGTGAATTAACGCCCAATTCCGAGACCATGAGAGCCAGTCCCATTGAGCAATGCTACAGTTTTATCGTGCAGCATTTGGTATATATACAGGTCATATGAAGTTCATTTTGGTACCAAACGCCACATTTTGGAGACAGTGTGAATATGGGTTCATACTTGCATTAAACATCCAGTGTTCTAGCCTAAATATTAGGTCTAACCTGCGTCTTACCCTATATTTATACTATCATTGCTTTTGAATTCTCGTTCTGGATGCGATTTTTTAAAGCCACATTGTCCAAGGAAAATTCCGTTGACAAAATTGTTAGTGACCTATAGCGTTGTTGCAGAAGTGTACAGCACGGGGCTATGGGCAATCCTAAACCCGTTAGTACTATGTCTTCTATGAACTTTCATCGCTGACAATGCACAACGTCATTTACATGTCGTATGTACTACACATGCAGTTCATACCTTGAAGATATAAGTCTTTCCATAAGGTGGGTAGTACAGTGCTGCGTCTATGTTGTCAGGTAGTCCTGGGAATACCTGGTTGATGGGTTTTGGAAATCCCGTAGCTATTTGGCTAGTCCTTCTCTCAAATTTCCACACTAGATTTCCTGTGGTGAAGTAAACGAATTCATTTATATCATGCTTTACTTTAGGCTAGGGATACGCAATCCCCACTTTAGCGACAATGCAATAAAGTATTTCCCCATCAATATACGTTTTTGCCTAGTTGGATTCATTGCACGCGCAGATTCTACACTTTAACCCTAAAGGGGCCGGGGGGAGGAATCCGCCCCCCCCCTTAACATTTTCCGCGATAGCTTCTAAAAAAAAAAATTTCGCGACCCGAGCTGTTATCACTTTTTAGCCTCGAGCTTTGCGCATCTTTTGATACCAAAAACATAAAAATCGGACCACGGGTTGGCCCGTAGCGAAAAATTTTCCGGCGCTTCGCGCCGTGAAAACTGAATTTTCGCATATACGTCGTGTACACCGAGCAGAAATGCCATTCATATATATGAATAATTAATTAGCCATAATTCCAAAACCCTTTGACCTATAGTCATGAAATTTCTTGGGCATGTTTAGGAAGAGTTGCTCTATGCATATGCTGAGTTTCAAAATTTTTCGTCACTCGATGGCCGAGATCTTAGGGGGGGGGGGCGGAATCCGCACCCCCCCCCCCCCCGGCTGAGAGATGGTCAAAATAACCCGGCCCCTTTAGGGTTAATAGTCCTTTATAGGTTCCTGCCTATCATTCATGAAAAGTGGTCGATCGTAAAGTTGTGCTGGTGTAGTGTGAATTTAGGGGTTGGAAATACTGACTCATAGTATTACGCATGCCTAACCGATGATGGTGAACGTTCTACCGATAACAGGGTATTCAAAGGGGACCGGATTTCATAGGAGTCCAAATTTCATGTGACACTGAAAAAGTGTTTAAGACCAGCCAGCCATGTCTTTAACATCCGTTTAAGACCGGTCACGTAACGGGCTCTCGACCAGTAGGAATGGGTAAACTGTATTAGGTATTTATGAATGCTGTAAAAGTATCGTGACACGTTCTCGATCAGATATTAACAAGGTAACAGGTAGTTACCTACCTTCAAATGTGTAGGTGCTTCGATCTCGTGTGGTGGTGACCGCGTCCACGATGCCAGTACAGCTTCCTGGAATTGGTGACATGTCTTCGTCGGGAGGACCCGAGGTTGCAGATCCGTCGCCTGATTTGGAACATGGAAAAGTACAGTTTGGTTAATTGACGAGATTATAGCGATGCTGATATTTTAATACCGGAGTTTTGCAAAGCAGAAACTGCCGTTGGATGCGCAAATGCAATACTTTACTGCATGGTATATTGGGAACGTTAATATCCGTTTCAAATCACATATACTTTACTAGGCTACAAAAACTGAACTGTTTGAATTGATTTATGACTCATTTTTTATAATACAAACAACGGTGATTTTTATTCCCAAGTCTTTAATACACTGCATATTCCTTGATTGCATGGCATCGCTCGTAAGCGATTTCATCTGTTGGAAATTGCTTTCTATGGATAAGATACATGTTTACAGCAAGTAAAAATAGAATCATTTCGAAGCTGAGCAATCATTGGCTCATCATATCTGATACAACAACGGCTGTTGAACCATTGTATCAATCAAGGGGGACAAGTAAAACCTACTACACTGTACTCTTAAAAACACAGAAGCGTCCAACAGGAATAATGGATTACTGAATGAAGTTGGAGGTAAAAGACAAAAGAGCGAAAGTTTGAATCGTCAGATGATACCAAAGGCGACGATAATTGTCAAAAGTAGTTGACATCTAAAACCTCCATAAAAAGTTCAAGAAGTCGCCTGAATGACCGGATAATACATAGAGCGATCCAAAAGTAAACTCTTAATTAAATAAATAAATCCACGGAAACTTATGAACACATAAGCTTTCCCTTTTTCCCGTAAAAATGATCGGCATATGCCATAGCACGTGTATACGCCTGTTATTGGACTTTTTTTTAATCTTCAGAATGAGTTAAACCTTCACCAGAGGTCATCCGAATTGAACAGGCTGACCTTTTCCGGGCCCAATATAAAAGAGGTACATGTACATGTATATCGAGCAGTGGTATATTAGTTAGTATGTCAGTCAGTGTATGGCGTACTATAGGGGGAGGCTCTACTTGCGCTTGAGTGATCCTCCCCCATTTTGGCACGCTCAGAATTTAAAGAAGGCCAAAATAGGCTTGTATCGTGTAAAATGACCTAACCTATTTTTGTTTTGCAACCTCCAAATAATGAGCCTCCAACCTCCCCCAACCTCCTCACAAAAAGAGGACCGCATGACTCCCGGTAAATGGGATCCCAACCTAGCTTCTGGTGTTGAGGCTGCGTTCGCAAAACTGTTTTAACGGATCTGTACTCTTCTGTCCAAGGGTTTACCATATAGTGCCTGAATGCCGGCAATGTCATCGTCGTTCAGCTGCAGGTTGGAGACATATCCACTGTAGACTGGTGCCATTACTGCTTCATCGACATGGGTGTGGCCAAGGCCAAGGGCGTGGCCAAACTCATGCACCGCAACCCACAGGAGGTCAGTTCCTGCAACAGATAAACAACCATTCAGTAAATCCGAGAGGAAGCAAATTCATCCAACGTGGAAATCATGGAGATTGATAAATTGTTCCTATGAACATTATCTAAAAGTGGTAATCAAGAACTTTTTGTGGCCCCAAAATGTCACCCTGAAATGTTTCCTAACCTTATGCACCTCACCTCTCCTCGCCTCATCTCAGTCAAATCAGCTCATCAAAACCTCACAGAGCCACATCTAAAAGCAAACCTCCTTCATTGTACGTCGCGCTTTGCCTTCGAGACCTCGCTCCACGCTACACCGTAACTCGGTACAAATCACCTCACCTCAAGTTGCGCTGCACAACATCACAACCTCCTTGCGCCTCTTGTCAATGTAAAGCACCACACCACCCTCACTGCCACACGCCGCATTTTAACTAACTGCACTTCACCAACCTCGACCATCATCTCTACACAAAGCTCGTTCACATGGATACGATCTTGTTCATCGTGTTTTTTCAACCATGCTTAATGCGATCGATACACCTTTTTGACACTGAAATATCCACTTAAACGTTACAGTTGGATACTTTACATGAGGACTACAGTCATCCGTTTAAAGCGCGACGTAATGCATTCAGCTTGGAGTGGTAGAATTTTGTTTGAAGCAGTGCCCCGAAGGGATACTTGCTTATGAATTATCTATTAAATGTCATCCAGTTAGAAATCGAACAAGTTAAAAATGTTGTACCTGCACACTACGAAATAACTAGAGAGGTTCGGCAAACGGGAAAAATTGCCCGCATCCGTATACGTATCCGTATGACGTCACACGTAAACGCATACGTTTCGGGAATGCAAAATTCAGTTTCGGCATCGCACAGCCACGTACACGTATTATTTAGGGCCTATCGTATCTTATCAATACATTTTTGTTTTATTACTTACCTTCTCTACTTTCACGTATAAAGTACGTATAAAGAGCTTGCCACTTTCTATTAGGACTTACACTAATTTATCATAATGGGCCTATAGATGTGTTTCTGAAACAAAATTTAATGACCTACATTTAAATTTAAGAGAACTTCTGAGGACCCAAAACATGTCTACAAACAAAAATCCTGATCACCGTCTAGTGTCTGTATCGAATATAGGCCTATAGTAGTACAGTACGTTGTACATCACGCTTCGCTGGCCTCAAGCTTCCATTTTATTTACGCACAAACGGTTTGCATAAACCAGACTACTTTCATGCCTCAAAAATCTACAAAAATCCCTACATTTCCCGCAACGTTTACCCTCAAAATCACTCCAAAAGCAATGCGAGATTAATTATGCGTTATGTATTTTTAAAGTTAGAGGTAATTGGTGACATCATTTTTGGTACAAGTTTGGTGTAAATTCGAGAAACTTTCATACGAGCCGCTCCCGTATCAGCTAGCTTTCACACGTGCTTTTCGTATCACATTTCCCGCATCACGTATGAAAGAGCCCAAAAAGTGATGACGTCATGCACACAATCCGTACGGATACGTGATAGGGGCCTGCATTTTGAGCTTGCCGACCCTCTTTAACGCCGTGATCGCATCACGTACGATACATATTCATTCTTAACACTGTTTCCCGGCCCCTTAAATGTATGGGGACTGGTAATTAGCACCCATTTAAAGGTATCTGATTGGATAGCCTATGCGCACGTGCATCGCGATTGTTTATTTTTGAATCGCAGTTAAACCTTTGTGCATGTACGCCGGTTATTGAACTCACGATCATCAAGAGACTCACGATTGTCTTACCCAAAAAAGTACACAATATCAGCAGTGTCTCCATTATGGCAACTTTAAAGCATTTCAACTACATATTACCGCACAAAACCTCACAGACATGAAATGACCTCATCCCACATCACTTCACCATCACCTCACTGCACTACACTGCATCGCACATCACTTCACAAAACCTCACAGACATAAAATGACCTCATCCCACATCACCTTACTCTCACCTCACTGCACTGTACTGCATCGCACATCACTTCACAAAACCTCACAGACATAAAATGACCTCATCCCACATCACTTTACCATCACCTCACTGCACTGCATTGCACATCACTTCACAAAACCTCACAGACATAAAATGATCTCATCCCACATCACTTTACCATCACCTCACTGCACTGCATTGCACATCACTTCACAAAACCTCACAGACATAAAATGACCTCATCCCACATCACTTTACCATCACCTCACTGCACTGCATTGCACATCACTTCACAAAACCTCACAGACATAAAATGATCTCATCCCACATCACTTTACCATCACCTCACTGCACTGCATTGCACATCACTTTACAAAACCTCACAGACATAAAATGACCTCATCCCACATCACCTTACCCTCACCTCACTGCACTGTACTGCATCGCACATCACTTCACAAAACCTCACAGACATAAAATGACCTCATCCCACATCACTTTTCCATCACCTGACTGCACTGCACTGCATCGCACATCACTTCACAAAACCTTATGGACTTGAAATAACCTCATCCCACATCACTTTACCCTCGCAAAACTTCACCTCCCTTCCCTCGGTATTCCTCAAAAACGAATGAAAACTCACCCGGGTCGCCGTCGATGGTCCAATATTCGTCCTCGTCTAAATGCACTCGACCGTCCAAGGGGAAATAGGCGTGCGCTAGAACACCTCCCCGTCCATCGAAACGGGCACCGTCCCCGTGCGCCCTCTTAAAAAAGTTGATGACGATGTTGGCCGGCGTGTCGCCAAACACACGCGTGAATGTGAGTGAGGAGGCATTCGACCAAAACTGTTAAGCAAAATAAGACAGGAACGATTACGTTACGGATTATACACGAGAAGCGCGCCGTTCGTGGCTGTTAAACCATTGCTATGACGTCACACTATTGTTAAAAGTGTGGATTCGGAACGACGAATCTTTAGTAAAGTGTGGGTTCGGAATTTCAGTCCACACTTTAAAAAGGCGGGCAATTGTTCTCCATAATGAGCATTAATAGGACCGTCTGCGTGAAAACATTCCTTCTGAAATTTACCAATGCATTTTCACTGTCGGATTCTCCGCCGACACTGTAAATCTACTTTGAGTCCGAACGAAATGTCGTCTGGACTATCCATGTTGACGGAAGGAGCCTACACACACAAATGGTTGTTGGTGTGTGGCGATATACACATGCTAAACACACCATAATACTTGATTACGCATAAAAGCCTCGGAAAAAAACTTCCTTGTAAATACCCTAATGGCCACGACTCGACACGAGATGCGCAAGTCTTTTCATCTTCACTCTTCCTTCACTGAGAAGATCCAGAAGATTCGCCAAGGTTTCAAGCGTGTTACTACTGATTTGCCGCATGAGGAAGAGCTCTGTGCCTCACATCACCTCACATCATTTCAGCCAGTTACAGAAAATGATGTGTCTAACATTCTCAGTAAATCATCATCTAAATCCTGCGAATTAGATCCAATTCCATCATCCCTGTTTAAGAAATGCTCAGCTTCCCTTGTGCCGGTTTTCACTGGCATCATTAATGACAGTTTACTGTTTGGTGATGTACCGGATGATATGAAAGTTGCTCAGATACGACCTCTTTTAAAGAAGCCACATCTAAACAAAGAGGAAATGAAGAATTACAGACCAGTCTCGAATCTTTCCCTTTTTGAGTAAAACCCTTGAGAGGGTAGTCTTAATGCAACTCTCATCTTTCTTAATTGAGAACAATCTACATGACCCGCAACAATCTGCCTTCCGTGCTAATCACAGCGTCGAGTCTGCCACCCTCAAAATCCAAAATGACCTGTTGCAGGCTATTGACAAGCGCAAGATATCATTGCTCGTGTTGCTCGACCTATCAGCAGCTTTTGATACAGTTGACCATCCCACATTATTCAGCCGCCTCAACACTCGTATTAGGATAGATGGAGTTGCATTAGACTGGTTTAAATCATACCTTAATGACCGATCTCAATTTGTCCGGGTCAATGATTCAAGTTCATCAACTGTCTCTCTTGATTTTGGGCTACCTCAAGGATCAGTCCTAGGGCCCGTCTTGTTCTCTCTGTATACAATGCCACTTGGTGAAATCATTCGAAAGCATGGTATATCCTATCATTGTTTTGCAGATGATACCCAATTATATATGTCAGTAGACCCTCAACAACACAAGGTTGATTCAGCAATCCAGCAGATGGAAGCATGCATTGATGACGTACGTTCTTGGATGACTCACAACTGGCTCAAATTCAACGATGAAAAGACCGAATTTATCATCATAGGTTCAAAGCAGCAATCGTGCAAAGTTCATGTTTCATCCATAAGGGGTGGTGATTCAACCATCATGCCATCAAATCAAGTCAGAAATCTTGGTATTATCTTTGATTCATCTCTATCCATGGAACCCCACCTTACATCAATTTCTAGATCAGTCTGCATGTCGATCCGTAACAACGGACACATACGAAAATATCTTGACAAACACACAACTGAAATACTTGTTCACGCTTTCATCACATCCAAAATTGACATGGGCAATTCACTATTGTATGGCATTAACCTAAATCAACTAAACCGTTTGCAGCGACTACAAAACATCAGTGCCAGACTAATCTCTCTCACTAGTAAACATTCTCACATCACTCCTGTACTAGCAGATCTCCACTGGCTTCCAGTATCATACAGAATTAAATACAAACTTGGCCTATTCGTGTTCAAAATCCTCCACAACAATGCGCCGGAGTATCTCATCGACCTCATCCACCCGTACTCAACAGCACGCACCGGACTCCGCTCCAGTGAGCTCATGATGCTTCACGAGCCCAGAAAAAAATGGAAAATTCGACGAGGATTTTCTGCTTACACAACCCACTGCATTGTTCAGCAAAGCGCCTTGGGCGTCACGGTTGACCGATTTCGGCCAAGCAACACAATAACGTATGGTTGATAAGCATAATATTCATTAGCGTCACTCGGCGTGTTTCGGCGTGGGTCTCGGTGTCGACCAATGGAAGCCGGCAAAAAGGGTGATATTTATCAATTAATAATTTGCGAATGAGGTTTTTTTCCTCAATTTTTTACTGCACACCATAATGGATAGGAACCTTATTATTATTCGTGAGACTCTTAAAAGATTGACAGATATTGCAAAGGCCAGTGTTACAACTTTCAAAAATGCATGTAGCCAGGCCTATTTTTTTCCAATTTCAATGAAAAGTAATGAACATGTCACAACGATATTGGGCACATACTTGGGATCATCTTAAGGGGAAAAAATCCTAAGAGTGGCATGAAGATAAGGTCGTCCAAACTGGAGAAATTAATTTTCAAAGATTTCACCCGCCAACGTGAACATGTCTGTGTACATGTAGTTTCATTCAAAATAAACTGTTACGTATAAACCTTTAGAAATCGCCCTTCGCAAGCACATGACTGTTTTCACTTTGTGTACCGTACTTTACATAATCCGACAAGTACAAATGTGGCAAGTCTACAAAGAATCGAGTACGGGCCAAGTCCAAATAATTGTCGAGTAATGAAAGTTGAGTACGGGCCGAGTACTTGTGCGTACTCGAGTAATGTACTCGAGCACGAGCACTCCAACACTGCAATGTGTTACTTCAGTGCTGGATTTTGGTTGACCAAATTAGCCTCATAATTATTACCTCCGCCAAGGAAGTTATGTTTTCGTTGGATTGTGTATAGTTGTTCGTCTGTTAACAAAATAACTCATTGTCAAAAAAGTTTTGGACGAATTTGCACGAAAAATGTTGGGGGGGGGGTCATAATCGGTACAAGTACTAATCGATTACATTTTGGAAGTAGTCTAATCCGGATTTGGATCTGGGTCCAGGATTTGTGTTCATTATTCTTCACATTTACGCGAGTATATCGTTTGGATATACTGACAATATGTCGGGAAATTAGCCCTAGGCGGAGGTTTGCGCTCTCTGAGTGCTTTCCAGTTTTTATTGTAGGGGTGAGTGGAGGCCAGAAAAGATTTGTTTTCCAACCTGAAGGGCACGGACGAATGTTTCTTCTACGTCCTCTCTGCGGGGGATGTCAGATGTCACGGAGTCGATGCGGAAGGTCACGGCACTAGTGGGCCATGCCCTCACATATGAATAGCGCTTCGCACGTCTAGGATCCGGACCGTTTTCAATGATGTCTGGCATACCACATCGGGGTTTGTTCATCATAGCGATGGTTGACTCGTCCAGTTCGCCTTTGGATGGAGAGATAGAGAGGTTAGTTAAAATTTCCGTCCGTGCTAAGAATCGTAACTCAGGTTCATTTTGCAATAGGTACGTGTAGGGAGCTTCACAACACAGAAGCAAAGACAAGCAAAGCAAAGTCCTTGTCTTGGGTCTAGACGTCGTTAACAGTAAATTACGATATACCCACCGCACTGCAAACTGGGTGCTGGGCAAATCGCCCTGCAAACTTGGCGCTGGGCCTGGGAAGAGCTGATTAGCTTCACAGAATCTTCACAGAATTTCCATCTGGCTGCAATTGTTCAAGACCGCGTTCGACAATGCGCACAAATGCTATCCGAAAACTTCTCATATAAATGCACACATTCCATACCGGATGTGATTTATTTTTCATTGCGGACCATGTGAACAAAGTTTGAGCGTCGCACAATGCAATCATTGACCCTTCTTGCTTTAGAAACGGAGCCTGAACAATTGCTTAAGTGACGGGAATCACAAATTTACAACACAGATAAGTTGTCCAGATTTTCATACATTACAGCGCTTTTCAACGAAAACAAAAGCATTTATGAATTGGAATAAAAAAGTAATGAATTAGTCTTAACGAATAATATGCATTTCGACCCTTCGTGAATTCGTAACGGAGCCTGAGCAACTGACGGGAGTTGAAAATTTACAAAACAGATAAGTTTTGTAGATTTTCTTACATTATTACTCTTTTCAACGAAATAAAAGGGCATATATGAATGGGAATTAAAGAGTGACGAATGACTCAGTCTTAAACGGCCGTTTAAAACCTCGCTGGATCATGAGGGTCGTGGCCGTGATGACTTGCCGGTCACATGTCACGCAAAATCTATCCGATCAGAGCATGAATTCTTCAGCCCTTCCCAACGTCCTGTTTGCAGGGGGCGGGGGGGGGGGGGGGGGGGGGGGGTACGAGCGAATAAATTGGATATGCAAACAACTGCCGCCAGAGGGCGTTATCACAATGATTCGTTATCACCCACAAACCACTATCACAACAACGTCTTAGGTTGTAGACCAGTAAATAAACTGCCATGGACCCCAATGATAAAAATTCAGGAAAAATACTCACAACTCTCCAAGGTATTCCAGACACACGTCAAATTAAAGCTAATTTCATCATCTTTCATTTTTCTTTTCAATTTTTGGGGGTTAACTGGTGACTTTTAGGAGAAATTTCCAGCCGAAGATGATCCTCCCTTAAAATAGTCCTGAAACCCATCGCCATTTTTTAAAACGACGCCTACAGTCCATTGCAAAATAGAGTGCTATTAGGGCTCCAATTTCTTCCAAATTGCACAGAACTACAAGCTCACGGTCCTGTGCACGGCTTCCACCCATATATTTTTACAAATCCTCAAGTTCACGGCCCACAATATGCTCAAATAGCAAAGAATTTGAGGGCATGCAAATCGTGAGTTGGCCGGCGTAGGCGATTTCGGACCGATTTACTGGCCTGCAACCCTTCGGAATCGTGTAAAACCCGCTGCTGAAAAATGGGGGAAACTAGAGCGGATGCGCCACATCTGCAGGCATATAGGGTCCGTTTTCGGTTGCACGAGTACTAAATACAATAAAAGTGCTGACATGCAGTTATACACGAATCTGGTAACATCTTGTATGCGATACTGGCTCGAATTTCGAAGTGTGGTTCGAAGTTTCTGAATAGGAGTTCGAGCATGACACGACCGCCACAAGATCCCGAAGATGTTACTGTTTCGTATAGCTCATAGCGGTTCGTGGTTGACAGCGCTGGAGGAGCTGGTTGAGATGATGCACACTTTCCGTGGGTGATCGCGTACCCAATAAACAACAACTTCTTGAAGCTAGGTCCTTGAGCTGGGAACTATAAGTGTAGCCTCAATACTACCTGCAGCCTTCTTAGTTTTGTCACTTTTGCTGGTTGTGAGAATTTAAATATTAATGACAAAAGAAACCTTCAACAATACTCTCATCAAAATCAACACATTTACTGGTAACAAACCCCGACATACAGAAATTTGGCCAGTATCTTTTTCATTGGTACATGAATTTCCTCATTTCTTTAATGGAATTTTGTGCATAACATTTCTTCAGTGAACAAAACCAAGCTGTAGGCCATCATTCATTTTCGCCAAAGAAAAATAGTTCAAATAATCGGCATATGAGATACATGCTTGGCAAACGCTTCCTTGCACACAAGGTATTCTATAAATGTTCATGAAAGGCACCCCCGATGTTTTTGTTTTTCACTTTTGTAATCAAACACGTAGAGTTACACTTTTAAAATAATTTCACGATCATAATTCAATTCAATTAAATTCAATTCAAATTATTTATTCATCATGAGACCCACATGAAATGTTTTCCTTTGTTCAGCAGTAAAAATTCATGTTATTATAGGATGATTACGCGCAGGTCACAATGACGTAAAACACGTAATCTTCGTTGGAAATAAAATCACGAAGACGACATAATAACATAACTCGCTACAGACCTTTGGCGTGGCAGCCTTTGGTTTGCTGGGATAGGTATGAGTGACACCCTTGTGCACTTATTGCTACTGAATTAATATAAAAGATGTCATCTAAGATTGCCGCGATAAAGTCTATTGCGGGATCGAATCATAATACAGGAAGCAAGTCTCTCTCATAGGACTTTTGTCGTTTTGACGTTAATAGTAGACCCTGTGAAGAGGCTGGTTTGATAACATTGCATAGAGTACTTACATGTTTGGTTGAGACCAGCCATATACTGGAAATGGCAAATGCCCCTGTTCAAATCTCCGCTCCCTACGGGTTTCCCTGGTTGCAAATAGCCGTATTTAGTCAGGTAACTCTGCAAGAACAAGAAAAGGAAAATCAATGGACCCTCGTCACTTCTGTCCCTTTTCATGGCTTTGTTTTTAAGAGCAGGGAGCCGCTTCTCTGCCTCCAGTAATTAGTTGTTTAATGAGGAGGGACACACTATCTGGGGAAAACAATTTGGAATGCCCTAAATTCGTCGCTAAGTTACTTTTCTACTCCGTAACATGGATGGCGCATCCGCCGTAAAGCGGCCAAGGCAGAGCTTGGTAATGAAAAGAAGGTAAAGCTCGCCAGTGGCGCACCCAAGGGGGGGGGGGCGGAGGTGCTCGGGGGGCTTGAGCCCCAAGAGGTTGTTAATTTTTAATTTTTCTTAATTTTTCTTATTGGACCTTGGTGAAGTATGTATGTGGCCTATTTTCGAGTAGTAGGCTATATTAGGGATGTAAGTGGCTCCACCAACGTGAAAAAAATCTGTCCCCCCCCCAAAAAAAAAAAATCCTGGGTGCGCCACTGAAGCCCGCGCGCCGCTCACGAAATCTACGTGCTGAGCTAAAAGTCATTCGATGCCGTTTGTTCAGCACATAATATAGGTCACAAAATATCCCCGTTGCGGTGAATTTTTGGTGCGTTTTCTGTCTCGAGGCTAATTTCTATCCTGCCTCGCGAGGCGAAAATCTTACCTTGCGAAGATAAATAGATCCAAGTCGATTTTAGGCCTACATGTATACTGTTAATTTATGTTTAACTCTTGAATTTGTCGGAAAGAAGCCTAGCAGGTAGCTCTACTTACAGTACGAAGCTACATACCCAAGCATCGAATGTCAAGCAACCTCCCGCTCTTTTCTTTTAAATTCGTCGGTAAATTTTCACATCGCTTTGGTGAGCAGCTTTCCTTCCCCAGGGACAGTATCCTAGGCGCGGGTATGATCACGAGGTCTAATTGCTATCTTAATAAGGCTTAATGTCTAACCACTACACCACCCTGAACACTCAAAATGTTGCAAATGATGACTTAATTTTAATCGTCCAATTGTTGTTTAAAATCCAGTGCAAATGCCAAGCTTTCCTGATAATAGGTTTCAAAAAAGTGATTTCTAGGTTGGCCGCCAGCGATTATTTTTCCCAAACGAGATCACTGCGTTGTGCATATTCATGATGTCCAGGGCTTTAGGGAACACGTTATTTAACCAGGAATAATGGTGTTTCAATCACCGACGATTGGCAGCTGATTCGTGGACTGGCTGGAAGTAGTCGGTGATTCTAATCAGGTAATCCGAGTTCGAATTTCAGTTTCACTTCTTCTCATTTTACCTTTTAAATAACTAAATGAAAAAGGAACATTACTCATAAGACGTAATGCCTATCTTGGGTTAGTGTTGTGGAGAACAAGGCATTAGATAAACATGTATTGGACCAATCAGAAGATAGGAAACGGATGTCGTTTTGGAAAAAAAGATTCACTGGCTGCCAGGTGAACAGCTCAAACACCCTTTAGCCTGGTTCATACTTCACGCGAATGCTAATGCGAAGCGAATTTGACGTCACGAAGCATTCACTATGAAATTCGCCCGAGTTGAAATATGTTCAACTTTTACGAATTCGCGGCGCGAATACTTACCACGACGTCACAAATTCGCGTTCGCTTTCGCGTCGAGTATGAACCAGGCTTTTCGCGTTTTTATAATCATCAGCTCATTCCTTTTTAGTGGGGGCTTATTAATGGCACAGCTGCCAACAGAACGAATTAAGACTTACCACTGCATCGTCTGAGGAATCCACAATAGCAGTTTCGGTCACTGCGGCGGCTGCGCTGACCATCAGCAAAGATAACAGCAACATGCTGGCTGTTTATTCCTGCGTGTTTAGCGATGCCACTCTCAAGACGATTCGAAAGCGATTGTCTAAAGAAATTTGGCAGGCACGTCGCAAATCAAACTTTCCTTAGCTTCGTCTTTCACCAGACAGTGTAGATGCGTGATACTTTCTTGCCGTGATGTTTTCGCGGTCATACTAAAAAGCGTCAAACAGTTTCAACACACTCCAAAGCGTCAACACGGCGTCAACACAGCGTCAACACATCCAAAATGCATTAAAAGTGACAAAAGCAGTATGTAGCCCATATGGTATGGACAGAAACAAGATTTTGGCTTAAAATCAATAGGTTAAACGTCTGAAAATTGCGATTTTCAGTTCAAGAAAATTGGCTCTCCGTGCCGCTCCGAGATCGGCTGCCATGTTGCCTCAGTGGCAGCGCGGACCATACCATTATGCTAAAGGGTGATAGCGTTGTACAATAAACCTCAGTCCCTCACAGATCAGAGTGCACTGGTGTCCCTCTCTGCAGCAAGACACCCTCTGTTGTTTATGACAAGATTACTTGCACACCCCTACTTGAAATGGTGTAGTCCAAGCTTTTATTCTATGCTTTACAATTATATACCTTTTCTGTTAATTCAGAATGTGTTTTGGATGTGTTGACGGTGTGTTGACGCTTCTGTCATGTGTTGACGTTGTGTTGACGCTGTGTTGACGCTTTTTAGTGCGACCCTGTTTTCATCATACTATGTAACGTGTCCTGGTACTCTGTGAACCGTTAAAGGCCGCCACCAGTCATTGTCTGAGTTTATTCTAGCTTTTGTTGAATAGGCGATTATACCCAAATCCGACTGTTCGCTCAGTATAAAACGCGTCCTTGCTTACGTAAGACGCGTTGGCTGGAAACTTGCATTATCCGGTCCACTCTTATTTAAGGGGTCCTTGATCGTTTGAAAGCATACATGACGAACAAAAGCCGTAAAGTTTTGTATAATTGAGGGTTTGTATCTGACATCAAACCCCAGGCTACCCCGATGTTTAGGGAGTAGGCCTTACTCTGATATTTTCAAAGGGAAACTAGCACAGGCGTCGATGTAGCATCTCAAAAGTGGAGGGCATGTCCCCGCTGTGCCCCATCGATTGACGCCCACGGGGACTCTGTAAAATTTACTGCTTCAATTCAGTGCACTGACAAATCACGTCTTGAAAAAAAAGTTATAACTTGAATTTTCTGCGGAATCGACTTCACCAGAGTGTCACGCTACACTCAACCAAAAAAGAAAGTCCCCCCTTCCAATACTTTTTTTTGTCTAACTCAAAAACTACTGTGCACATCTTGCTCAAATAACAACCACTCAGAACAGACACTCCTTAGCAACCCAGCCATAGTCTTTTTCGGCCCAAAACAGTGATAATGAGTACGAATTTATTCCATTCATGACAAATGATACCAAAAACAGTTGCACTTTTGTAGACGTGCAAGTTGTGGTTCGCCCTCACCTTGCACGTATGCAAAAGTGCAACTTTCTTTTCGGTACCATTAGTCATGAATTGCATAATTGTGTACACATTATCACTGTTTTAGGCTACACAAAGAGTATGGCTGGATTGCTAAGGAATTTCTGTGCTGATTAGTTGTTATTTAACCAAGATGTGCCCAGTAGTTCTTGAGTTAGACTAAAAAAGTATTAAGGGGGACCTTCTTTTTCGGTTGAGTGTACTTCACTTCAATCATACGCATGAAACGCAGTTTGACTCTTGAGTAACCAGACAATGATTCAAATATACACAAGAGTTAATTGGATTATTTATATATTACAGCATTGGTGGAGGTCTTGCAGTAGTAAGTGTTTCTTTCAAACACAAATACACATGAATGTAATCAAGCACATCAAACAGCTTGTTGTAAGCGGATTCGACATTAGCACAATCCTTCAAAAATATTACAGGCTTGATACACGTATAAGAGTCTTTCCATTTGTATAAAAGAAATTTGGTCTGAGGAGAAAATCTTGTAAATAATGATAAATACGGTATACAAAGGTCATTGACCTTAACCATAAAGGGGCCGGGTTATTTTGACGATCTCTCAGCCGGGGGGGGGAGGGATCTCGGCCATCGAGTGACGAAAAATTTTGAAACTCGGCACATGCATAGAGCAACTCTTCCTAAACATACCCAAGAAATTTCATTACTATAGGTCAAAGGGTTTATGAATTATGGCTAATTAATTATTCATATGTACGAATGGCAATTCTGCTCTGTGTACATGACGTATATGCGAAAATTCAGTTTTCACGGCGCGTAGCGCCGGAAAATCTTTCGCTACGCGGCAACCCGTAGTCCGATTTTTATGTTTTTGGTATCAAAAGATGCGCAAAGCTCGCGGCTAAAAAGTCATAACAGCTCGGGTCGCGAATTTTTTTTTTTTAGAGGCTATCACGGAAAATGTTGAGGGGGGAGGGCGGATTCCGCCCCCCGCCCCTTTAGGGTTAAGAAGCTCATCAGAGTTCAAATATGATTTTTGTTTCACACCTTCATTATAATCATGACTTGAAGACGTATGACAAAGGTCATCAGAGGTCAAATTTGAAATGCCTCCACATCTGAAAACTGTCTTGAAGTCGTGAACAAATAACATGCGAAGTTTTATGCTTTAGTTCCACATGTGCACAAATCTGTCACCTAACAACCCGACTATAATATTTTATTACACAAAGCAGCAATACTTTACAAGAAAATGTCAATTTTATAAAGAGATGAAGGGGCGGGGCATGGGGGAAGGGGAAAATAATGTCCGTTCACCACTGGACTTTTTCAGTGATACAACTTGCACCTTTTTGTCTTTGAGAAGGGCTTTAGAAACAGTCAGAGCATCATTGTTTGTGAATTTGACTCAAAATAAAGGAAAAACGCTAAGACTTTTGTCCCCTTTTTCTTTTACAAAAATGACCATATTTGGAACAATTCTACGCCAAAAGTATACAATACTCCAAAGGTTTCTCACCGGATATGAGAAGACCAATGTTCATTCTACTTGTACCCCAAGAGAAATTATTCTGAGTGGCCTGAAAAGTTTATTCTGTTTGAGGTTAAAAAAAATTAAAAGTTCCAATTTCCAGCTGTATGGAAGTGTTTAAAATCAATACAAGGAGGTGTTCCAAAAGGTAAAGGACAGTGCCGTGCAGTGATTTAAGTAGTTAAGTGAAATTATTTTCCATTTTGGCTGGATAGCCTTTTACAAAATCACCAAAAGTCAGTTTTTTGCAGCCCCCAAAATGGCCCAAAACTAGCCAAAGACACATAATGCAAAATATTAATTTAAAAAGGATATTATGGTTTCTTACTCCCCAAGTACTTTCGTCCCACAAAGAATAGAAAAGATTTTTTTCTAACCTTAGACATTTATATGAAGTATTTACACAAAATGACTCTTAACATACCTTACACTACGTTCCATCTTAATTACCTTATATACACCGCGCTGCATATAAATGTTATCATGTACACCGCGTTGCTTATTGCGCTTGCGTGGAGGTGAGTGTGTTGGGCCGCGCGCCTCTCAACTTGTCAGTCTCAGGTGTGGTAAGAAAGCTGACAGTATAATAATGGGTTATACAGTAGTGATGTAATTCATTTCTTGAATAGTGAGTATATTATTGCTACGATATTCAATAATATTAAAACGACTGCAGCCATCCGGCGGATGTTCCGTAAGTATCTCAAAAGGCTACCGCAAACACTGTTGCTGAGGATTAACTACTGGGTATCCAGCCCTCTCCCGCGCTCTCCAATGAGTTCAGCGTAAGGTGTCTGTATGGCAGGTAGCAAGGACGCGTTCTCTTGGGTGCTGTATTGCTCGCTGTGTACGGTTGCCCCGCGCGGTCGTTGATGGAACCTGCGAAGCCCTGCTAGCACGCGACCGCAACATCCCAGCTGCCACAAAGTCTTTACTCCGCTCCAGACAAGGCTCGCTGTGAAGATGCAAAACGTTTCTGTTCATGCAATTCAGTAACTATTACCTCTGGGCACTTTCGAATCCAAACATTATTTTCAAGAGGGGATGCAGGTGGGGTGTTAAAAAGAGAAGAGGCTTAACCGGGTGGTGGTGACCTCCTTCAACACTAGGGGCTTTATTTTTAATAGAGATATTCCTTTCTGAAACTGAGATGTTATTCTGGATTGAACGGTAACTTGCCACGTCTGGCAATACAAGGTACAGATATCTCTTTAAATTAATAATACCTATACCTTTATTTCAGGATTAAATGTAACATGTGCACGCCCTAGCATATCTCTCTCCGGTTTCTTAGCAAAACATCAACTACCATCATATCTGTTTTCCTTTACGGAATGTCACATTGTCTGTCGTAGGCTAATACCCTGCAGCCAACCTCGGTACCTGCTTTCTAAGGAGATACAAGAGAAGTGGCTTGCCCGCGGACAAAACACATGTCAAGCAGCTGGATTCTTAACATAGAGCTACATTAATTTTAGCCTAGGTATCCTGCTAATCTACGAGGAAATTAAACCCAATGAGCTTTGATTGCTTTCTGATGCGAATGTATCGGTTAATATAATTTGGTGTATTTATTTATGTATTTTGATTTCATTGGTGTGTTTGCAAGTGGATTAAATGTGACCTTCTTCAAATCTGGTTAATTTTAACGTTTTTAATACGTGGAAAAGAATTATAACAGAGGTTTTAATGTAATACTGTTTTGAATTGACCAGTCGCGTCAGTCGCAGCTTGCGATATATTGTCCAATTACATGATACAAAACGCGGAACGCGCAAAATCTGAGACAAACAAAACTTAACGTAAAGAATTCCATGGCGATTTATCAAATTATTACAAACGGAACGTTAATGTAAAACAATGAACCTGGGGAGTTAGTAAACATATGAATTATTAGATTTTCAAGATCAACAAGTTCAGTCTATTACTGACTGAGATCTCACACCTCATCAGGGAATTAACGTAATATGATGCATTGTAATAAAGATGCGACTGTCTTACATGCATGAGATCTTACCTGCTACAAAAACAACGATGCTGAGGTTCAACAGTACAAGGAAGACGGCGAGAGCACTTATCCTCTTTTCTCTTGATTGGCTGTGCTCGTCGCTAGGTAGCAGAAGCATTGAAGCCGTCAACAGGTTCAAGAAGATGGCCCCCAGAGAAAACATCTGTAGCCGGTGCTCTGCTGCGTTTTTCATGGGCTTGACGTAGGCATGGATGAGCAGGAAACCAACAGAGATGGCGATGGTTGCAAACATGGTGAAGTGGTCGTCAGGACCATACAGCAACACAAAGAGCGTTTGGACGATCTTGCGGGCGAGCTCGACGATTTCCCAGTACCAGAACTGCGGCTTGTAGTTTTCGCATAGGAAGCTCTTCCAGCTGATCTTGTTGCGGCCTTGTTCTCCGGTAGCGGTAAGTGGTGGGTCGTCTGGTTCCCAAACAACTGAACTGTTATCATCTACGGACTGCCCATTTGTCGCATTGATGCTGCGATACCTCGGAACCTGCCCGGACAAATGTAGCGGGCTGTGCTCATCACCGCGTTCAAATCCACTTTCAAACGATGCATCCCACCGACTTCCACAGCCCAGGTGCCATGCCTCCGTGTTCTGTTTTCGTCGTTTGCCCCACAATAGCAGAAGCAATAACACGAGTGGAAAGCCAACAACATAGCAAAGGCTAGCTTCGGCTGCATGGATAAAGTGAACATGCTGCTGCGTCTCACAGTTGATAGAGTAATCGGATCGAAGTCTGGTGACGTTAAATGCGTCGTTCTCATCCAGGTAGAAAAGGTTGCAACCTGAGGGAAGGAGCGTGAACACAACACTAGACAACCCAGGATAAGAAACAAATAGCAGAATGACAACAAATAGGTAGCAATTCTGCCTTGTACTCGACAGAACCTCCCTGCGCCTTACAACGGGTGTTTTCTTCACCAGCAAATAGCAGGCGGCGACGATGTAGAAGCACCATGCCAACAACACGACCCCCATCACGAAGCCAAGTCCAGCTATAAACTCAATGTATATGTTAGGGTAAGTGAAATCAGGAAAGTAGCAGCGTGGACTGATGATCAACTGCATGATGTTAACCTCCAGGAGTTTCACAAAAGAACCGACATCCTTCAAGGAATCCGGCCAAGGAATTTCGTCCAGGTCAGAAAATATCTCGCCCATGACCTGATAGAAACCCAACATAATTTTACCTCTGGCAAGAAAGAGACTGGTGGCAGAGCGTCCGCTCTCTCGGTTTCTGTGTAAGTCCCAAGCGATCAGAGCTATGACTAGAACGATGAGCAAGATGACTCCTACCACTTCAAGCAGGAAAAACCACAACGTCGGGCACTGAAAGCACCGATCGAACCAGGAGTAGTACGCCTTACTGCATTCGGAGCACAGCCAGCCCTCATAGCCATTGTCACAAGTGGCATTGATGCCGTCTCCAGCATTCAAGCACGACTCCTTTCTAGGGCAAGAGTGCGCTCTCGGAAAACTCTCCAGAAACGACTCTGTCCCGTGGTGATATGAGTCCGAGTGCGTGCGCACGTTGCGGACAAAGTCCTTGTAAGACTGGAAGGTGTCGGACGATCCCCAGTCCCAGGTCCACCAGAAGCCAGGCAGGAGGTGTTGATACTCTCCTGAGCAGTTGATTCCCGCCACTGGACACTGGTAACACTCACCAAACCGATCTCTACGGTAGTAGTTATCCACACACGGACAGGCGCGGAAACCTGCATGGAGACTTTTATTAGTGCCTGTAGGACACACCGTGCAATCTGCAGGACTGATACCTGGGTGAGCAGCCGGGGTGACGAAGGTTCCATTGTTGCACGTTTGACAATTCATCGACTGAGTACCGACAACAACCTGCCCGGTCTTGTTTTGGTAAAATCCACCTAAGTATTGAAAAAGAATATTTGTTTTATCCTGACAAACCTTGACAAACTCATTTGATATGTCATATCGGTTTGTATGCCATTAATCAGCACATCTCAAGATACTGAAAGCAAAATACTTTTCATCGTTTTGGTAAGTTTTGGGCTTTTTCTGAAAGTTGCGTGAAGGGTGTGGTAAACAAATTAAGTGTTAGAAAATCGTTACGTGTTCCAATCGAGTGAAATACAAAAGGACATGTTGGTTTGATGGACACCATCTGAAATTATTGGTCTTATTTATGGTAGAAACGCACAGGTCTATATATTACCAACGTGTTGGTGTTTTTTTCACCTACCCTGCCCTGATGAGGTTAAAGTTAAATTCGCATGACAAGTTTTGTTACGGTTGATCCCCATAATTCCTCGTCATTTTTATCAGACTATTATTATTGTCTTTTTACATTCATCAATCGCTATTTTACCTGCAGGGCAGGCAATGCATCTGTTGCCATCGGGATCTGTGAACCATTTAGTCCCGTAGTGACCTCGTGGGCATGGTGTGCATTGCCACGTGTGGCCCTTGAGCTGGCAATTGAATCCCGACTTGGCTAGTTGTTTCGCTACATCTTTCGGCACATCGATAGGCTGGGCGAAACCTTCACCAACCAATTCTCTGAGAGAAAACAATCAAAACTAATAATATAGGTTTCCCCGACTATTTTTAAACATTTTCCATTCAAATTTACCAAATCGAACATTTAATTTAGTCTGAGAAAAAAACTTGGCGCCCATTTACCAAAGCGATTTAGTCATTTACCATTCAATTTCAAAGTTTGTTCACCACATTTAGTAAACACAGTGTCGAGAATATTCGTCATTGCAGATCAAATTCGTCTAAGCTGTTGCCGAATGGCAGCATTCAGAGATTGTATTCGTCTTATGCCAATCAATTTAAAACTGTTGTTAAGTAAATTAGTCTGGCGTGTGCTATCAACCATTTTCCCTTGTGTCCTTAAGCACAATTCGACACATTCGTTCGCGTGCTATGAGCTCAGAGAACTGCATGAGAGAAAATGGCTGCTAGAGGTAATGCTGGGCCCGAGGACCATACAACAAAGTTTCTAACCATGACAGGAATAAGAATTATCTAATCCTTTGAACATGATGCCACGGACTACATCCAAGAGGCTGCAACTTTGGGCATTAAACGCCAAGCAGCTCACTCAATCGTTTCGGTCTACATAGACGTGAGTAACTTCCACGCGGAGGCCCTCATCATTCAAAGGTAGATCGAGAGATGTGTGATGCTATTCAACAGATTCTGGATGAAAACCCTTTACTGACACTTGATCAAAAGATCAAGAGTCTCAGAAGACAGCTTCCAAACAAACTCCAACACTTAGCCAGAACACTTGATGGGATGTTCATGACCCTTAAGCAAGCTGAGATGTTCCGGAAGGCCGCATCGAAGATATCATCCTTCAACAACGCTTGGATTATGCACAATTGTTTTTCAGACTTTGTGTGGTGCATCATGGCATTTACATCGACGAATGTGGCTTCAACATTTGGACACTGAGGAGGTCTTATGTAAGAGCCGCTAGAGGACAACCTGTCAGGAGAGTTGTCAACAACCAACGTGGTAGAAACTGTATTATACGTTGGTAGTGCACTAAATCGATGTTGATGGACGAATTTGAATATTACAAACGGTGAAGTCGAATGATAAATGCTTTTAAATAGCCGGGAAAACCTATATTATTATACAGTTGTTAAATTTATAAGTTTTCCCCACGTTTTTAAAACATTTTTCATTCAAATTCACGAACTATAACATTCTTTTTCGTCCGAGAAAAACTTCACACGCTTTAACCCTCAAAGGGCCGGGTTATTTTGACCACCTCTCAGCCGGGAGGCCCCCTAAGATCTCAGCCATCGAGTGACGACAAATTTGAAACTCGGTACATGCATAGCTCAACTCCTCATGAACATACCCAAGAAATGTCATGACTATAGGTCAAAGGGTTTTGGAATTATTGCTAATTAATTATTCATATGTACCAATGGTAATTCTGCTCTGTGTACAGGACGTATATGGGAAAAATTAGTTTTCACGGCGCATCGTGCCGGAAAATGTTTATGTTTTTGGTATCAAAAGATGCACAAAGCTCGAGGCTAAAAAGTCATAACAGCTCGGGTCGCGAAAAAAAAAATCAAGGCTATCGCGGAAAAAAACTGAGAGGGGCGGATTCCGCCAACCCCCCCCCCCCCGGCCCTTTTAGGGTTAACAAAACCAATTTAGTCATTTAGTACTCAATTTCAAAGTTTGGTCGCCCTCTTTAGTCACCAGGTCGAGAATATTCGTCATTACAGATCAAAGTGTCTCCGTTGTTGCTGAATGGCAGCATTTAGAGATCGAACTCGTATTATATAAATCAATTAGACGAATTATATTTGTGAATAACAGGGTTTGCCATGGACGAGACAAAATCGAATATTCCGGGACGAAACCGTTTGCTAATTGTTTGAATTTGCTAGAGCTGAATGTTAAATTGTCCGACAAAGGACGAAACTAAACATTGGAAGTGCACTAACTCGATGTTGCTGGACGAAAATGAATACAAAAAATGGTAAATTGGAGTGAAAAACGTTTGGAAACAGCTGGGACAACTTATATTGAAGTTACCATAGGAGAATTGATTTCAAAAACATGATTTGTTTACCAGTTTGAACAATTCGTTCTCCCCCCCCCCTCCCCGCCATCTCATTGGTGCGTTCGTTGTGGCTAATCGCAAGTATATAAATATGTACGGAAACCAAATGTATTCTGAGAAACCCAATGTATACTATGGGAGAGTGCATGCTGCCTGGACAAGGGCGAAAAGCTATACATCCTGTGTGAAAGGGTCATGCACATACTGGAAATCTGACCCGCGTCAGCGGGAAAACAGCTGAGAGTTCAATAAGATTTGAGGCTTTGCATGGTGAAGATATTAAATAATGAAAGGTTTGCAGAAACACCATGTGCGAACAATTTCTCAAGTAAGAGAATGGTTCTGAAAAAAAAACAGAGGTATAAACTCGACGTTCCGGTCAGAATGCTATAACCGTCATGAAGATGGTCAGAGCATACTGACCGGAACGTCGAGTTTATACCTCTGGTTCTTTTCAGAACCATTCTCTTAGTTGAAAAATTATTCGCACATGGTGTTTCCGTAAACCTTTCATTATTTAGCTGAGAGTTCAATGACAGTTCAATGCGATTAGCCCCTACCAGCCTAAGCATCCTTGGATAGAGCAATGGGGACAAGCAGACGTTAACCCCCCCCCCCCCCCCCCCCCCCCCCCCCCCCCCATAATCGTTTTTTTTATAGCGCTATGGCGCCCCGCTTTGCTTCAAAAGTTTAAATGTGGACGTAAAAGGAAAACAATCAGCCAACTGCCCCCACTTATCCTTATTTATCCAGAAGGGAAATATATGAGATTATACATAATAAGAACGTAACTGACATGATACCACCATGTCATTGATGTCAATCGAGGTGAATTAAAATGTCTCTGGGGGCGACGATAAAAATTTAACAAAAAAAATACCATACTCACATGTTTAGGTCGGTGCGATTTATTCTTGGTGCAAACTTCAAACTGTTGTCGATGGCTCTGTCAAGCATATGTTCATGTACAAATGTGCATTATTACAGAGAAATAGTTTGTGTTTGTTTTGTTTTGAAGGCTTTGCATCCTTGAGCATTCTCGTCACAGGTTATGTCATCGATTATGTTTACCGTTGGAGAAATGCCTGATTGGCCTACACCAAAACACTCACCTCATCTACAGGGCGAGTAAAAAAAACGAAACCCAAATGTCGGGACTATTGTTTTAGGGGAGTTCTCCATTTAGCAATTTCAAAATCTAGTATATGAAAGCCCAATTCATAAGCTTTCTTTTAGTACAAGAATTATTCACATCACTCAATTCACACACATCCCTGAAAGAACATTTTTGCTGAAAGAACACTTACCTTTTTGTGATCCGTGGACAGAACCTTAAATTGTGTTTAAAATTTAGTAACTTGAAAATTACATGAGTGATTTGAATGATTCCTGTACTAAAAAAAGCTTACGGACTGGGCCTTTGTATCCTCGATTTTGAAAGTGCTACATGCAATAAACATAACATAAAAAATGGTCCCGACATTTGGGTTTCGTTTTTTTACTCACCCTGTATTCTGTTCTCATAGAGAATCCAAAATTCTACTGATAGTTAAATCGTTGAAAAATTGTGTGTGATAGGTGAAAATAACAAACCGGACTTTCGCACCAATAGCGGCCATATTGGATTCTCAGCGTGCAATGCTGTTAGTCAGGTGACCGTGAATTGGTCTTAAGCGAATTCTTGGATGCTTTGGGTAAAGACATGTTTTTTTGAACTGAAAGTGTTTCCATGCTTTTCATTAAAATGGCCAAGATTTATGATAAACATTTCAAAATCGGTAGCCGTAGCAACCATCGACAATTTACAGGATTTATCAAGATTTTATGGAAAAGTCACTTAATGTTTATGCCATTCGGAAGAATTGTTCGTAGTTATGACGAGGAAGTTTCTTGGGAGAACACTGTTCCCCTCTCTTGAGGTTCCAATTCATTTATCTTTTTTTTCGCATTCTCACGTGTAACAGTCGGTACCCAGGTCTTGCCACACTGAATCTGAAATCTCCTCCAGTTTACTGTCATACAACGATCTAAGAAAAAATAACAATAAGGTTTATTCACTTATTACGTTTAAATGTCGAGCAAGGTGCTATAAAAGGTAAAGGGTAAAGGAGGACGAACCTGTGTTCACAGGAACGGAGTGCCCATCTCTCTTTCATTAGCGATTGGGACAGACTCATATGCTGCTGTGGGGGATCGCCACACCTCCTCCACAGCGAGTCTGATACCTTCCCAGCATTGAATAATGATGGTACCCATTTAGCACCTGGGTTGAGAGGAGTAATTGAGGTAAAGCGCCTTACTCAAGGGCACAACATGGCCACGGCGGGGCTTACGATCACGAATCCCGTGCTCTACCGCTAGACCACACGTGCCCAGGTGCTATACGTAACAACAAATATTGGTCAGGGACAACATTATGTTTTTATTATGGAAACATTGGAACAAACATTTATATTTTCTCTCGGAAAATTAACGTACTTTTGGTCATTGCATCCTGACAGGTTAGTTTGCAGAAAACGTGCATACAAAGAACATGGGCTTACATTTGTGTCAGGGTGTTACCTGCGGTTGCAAAAGATCTAGATCCGACCGATGACAGATTCGTCTGAAACATATATCTGGTGGAGACAAAGAAAGGAAACATTAAGACGTTTTATCACTATATCTAAAAGAAGATTCTAAAGTGTGCAGATATAGTTATTCAAAAATAGAAAGCTAGTACATATATAGAGAAATTAATTACCGATGATGTGTCACTTGGGAGATATTCCATCAGACTTGTGAACAATTTGTTTTCCCACTTTAAGGTCGCCTAACCCGAATTTCACTCTATCCTATCCACGAACTGTAGCACGTTTATTTTTTTGGACCACGAGCAAGCCTATTTGCGACGGTAGCAGTTTGCCTTTAGATAGGTGCTGTGAAATGTCTCCCAATGTCCGGTGTCTCCCTAAGGTACACTTTATAACTGCAGAATGTCTCCTTAAACATGTGTATATGTTCTGAAAATAACAAACAATAATGTCTAGCAGTTATATCTCCATTTTGAGATTAAATGCTTTAATATTCTGCATGCCTTTGTGTGAATTATTTTCGACTTTGAACTTATTATGTACTCACAGGTTCATCAGATTTGTTTCATAGAAGACCCAGTTCGGCAAATAGGTTACTGGATTGTCAAACATCATTCTAAAAGAAACAGCACATAAGGCCAAAAAAAAAAAGTCTCCGGTTTCTGGTATGGAGCTTGCCCCAAAAGTGGTGCGGCGACGCGGCTTTTTTTTTTTTTTTTTATCTGGTTTTTTTTTTTTTTTGCTTCAAATGTCGGCTGATGACTGCAAATGGTGCCCGACTACACTTAGTGCAAATATATGGGAGTCCAGAGAGGCCACATAAATCTTATTCTCGATCATAACCCCTTCTAAAAACACGTTAAAATTGTGCAGCAGCAGAATTCCAGTCAAACCAGTGAGTTTGGCGGTTTGAAACATCATCTTGTATTGAAAAAAAAACTTTTTCATTTTGCCGACGCGCATGGCTACGGCGACGCGCGCGCATACCAGAAACCGGAGACTTTTTTTTTTGGCCTAAGGTGTATTTTAGCTAAAGCAGATAAAATGTATTTAGCAGATATCAAATCGATAATATTAATTACCTTAATGCTAATTTTGTTGTAAGTTTTTTACCTGAACTTTTGAAAAAGCGTAGGGACGAATGCAGGGAAAGGGTTTAAATGAAAATGGTTAAAATGGACAGCAATTAACGCCAAACTAGTTTTGTCATTTTGACCGTAGTTAGTCAAGTCTTCATCCTATAAATTACCGTCTGGATGTATTTTTGCAAAACATTGAGACATTTGGCTTATTATCAATCAAACCATTGGCCAAAAGAGAAACGTCAAGTTGTTCAGAAGCATGATATTATAACCGAATCTCTTACAGTTCTACGAGTGCTGTCATCCCCTGGAAAGCTTCCCTGTTGAGAGTACTGATCTGGTTGCGATATAAGTAGAGGTGTTTGAGCTCGGACTGCGACCGAAACAGTCTGCTTGGGATAGTTGTCAGCTGATTAGATGAAAGATCCCTTTGGATAACCACAGGAATCAACATAAAAGGATGATTATTTTTGATGAAATGAAAACAAATCTCGGAATGCATGGACATCACGTTTAAAAAAAAACACATGTCTTTCGTGGACAATGGCAAAGACGATTATAAATAGAGACTTTTATAGCTTTTAAATAGTATAGTTTTGTTAATACTATGCAACACTTATGGCGTTTCTCCATAAACCATGAATCCGCATGAAACTAGATGCCTTTTTCTCAGTTTTGTCGCGGTGTCATTATGGTAAAAAAGCTATTCTTATGGTATGCTTGTCTTGCACATTGCCGTTAAAGCAATTTCCTATACTTGGTAACGAAATCAATTCCAACGGCATTCTGGGAATCCAATATGGCCGCCGTTGACAACAATAGTGAATTGTAATGGCAGATCAAAGTATACAAATATTGAATGCTTCAACTGTTGTAGTAAAACTAGCTTCCCGAGGTGATCCATGGACATTCTATTTTTCCCGAGGCGAAGCCGAGGGAAAATAAAATGCTCCATGGATCACCGTCCGAAGGAGGCTAGTTTTACTCACGAGATAAAACAGTCAGTATATGTTTTATAACACCTGTCCCACAGATTGTGCTTGGTTTTAATATTTTAACATTATTTAAATCTAAATGCAGTTACAGTGAACTTCTATTTTAATACAAAATTGGTGAAAAATGTGTTTCTCTCTTCCAAACCAGTACCCCTTGTACGAAATGTTTGAGCCCAAGTCTATAGCGCCACGCTCAAGGCTAGCACACCAGCATTCATTTGCGCACAAATACCGCGTCACGGAATAGGGTTGCTAATGGTGTAGTACTTTGGTAGCTACGGGTCTATGGCCGTGCACAGAAATATAGCAAATATAGATAGTACCACGTGACTCACTCTTGACCTATCAAGACACAGAATCTGCGAGTGAAGTGTTATAATTGCATACACATTACATCTTAATAACACAATAAACTCAGTGTTCGAGCCGATTAAATTGGTGACTCGAAAAGAAAACTTAAGATCTGAAATAAACTGTTTTGAACTTCTTATATTATGTGTTGTGATAAATAAAATAAAAAAAAATTAAAACGCCAACAGTGGGCTGGATAGCTCAGTTTGTAGAACAATTGAACGGTTACCGTAGGTCACAGATTCAGTCAGTGTATTTGCTCAACTTTGAGAATTTTGTTTCCTACAGTTTCGAATTTACTATTTTTAAAAAAATCGAATCCTACATTAAACTGCAGAATACTTCATCCTTTGCTGCTAATTCGCGGCCCTGACTTATTAAAGGTATAAATAAAATTTGAAATTACACTGAATCTGATTCACGTCCTCTTTAAATTAAAATGATCGAAGTCACAACGACAATTTAAGCGCGGCATCAGACAGCACATAGGGCACCCTGGCGTGCAGTGTCGCGTTAATGTTTCTGCACGATTTCATGGAAAGGCTGCGCGTGTTTCATGATACGACTACACGTGCATCGAACCAGGAAGAAAATCTGAAACTGACGACCTTACAGTAATCCATATATGGACGTGTTGACGAACAGTTCCTCCGGTAGACCGCCAGAAACGAGCCGGTTGCTGGACAATTGTCTGAAAACAAAACATCAGTCTTGGAGTTTAAAAGTAAGATTTTTTTCTGCCATAATGCAAATCATCAAAAATCCAAAGTAATTATTTTGCTAAAAAATGACGCCATAAAGCCCTAGCATGCTTTGTGTTGCTGTACTTGAACGCTTCATCCGGGTCCCTAGGTTTTCTTTTAAGAGTAAATGGGTACCTGTGAGGGCAGAAATGATTATTTGATTGATTGTAGCTGCTTTGGGCCGAATGGCCCCATCGAGCTGTATACTTCTCAGGGAGCTGACATTGTATTTGGAATGCTTAAATGGCTCAATGAGCAGGAGTAATAATGATGTTAAGCGATTTGATCTTAGTTAACCGCGCAATAATAACCCGTTATTGTTACCATTATAAGATACATTAAAGTGTCGATGATATATAAGCTTACAATTGATCGATCCGTGTCGAGGCTGCAAACATATCTCCCGGAAGGCCTACAAGGTTGTTGGAAAACAATTGCCTACACCAAACAGGATACAGCACGGCGTCAAAAAGGCACATTCAATGTATTTTGCATGCAACTAGGAAAATCTCGAGTTCGTATTATATTTCGGCAGGTGATCAAGGGGGTGGCGTTAAATGTGAACAAAAGCTCATCCTTGGTGAAAGGCGGGAGCTGCCAGTACATATTAGCGCTGTTCATATTGGACGATTCGCTCGTACCCACGGTCCTTACAGGGGGCCAGGAAGGGCTATAATTTCATTATAATGCCATGATGATGTAATCATTATCCATAAGTAAAAGGTCAAGCGGCGAGCTTTGGGACCCTTCGCGCGCCACGCCTATGGGCGTTTGACCGTCCGGGTTGCCCTTTCAGCTGCTATAATTTGTGCCGGTTATAATATTCTCCTACCCGAGGGGTCGGGAAGCGCAACTCCAGGGGTGGACTTTCAGGCTTTTTCTAGACTGGTTCCCGGTTACTCCATTGTTCTTCGGTCCTTGTAGGGACAGTAGCTATGCTAGCAATGAATCCCGAATGCATTTGGAGGTTCCTTCTAAATGTGTGCAAATTATTATGCTGACTAGACTAGGTCTGATTCCCGCAATGTTGTGGTGATCAGCTTCGATTTTCGCAGAATTAGAAAGTGTCTCGGGCATCTATCAGCAAAGAGAGGGAAACTATTTTCATTATTTTGAAACCTATGCAGTTGAAATGTGAAAACACTGGCGATTTTGTCTGATTAATGCTGTATGGAAAGAGTCAGTTTTTTGCCGTGTGTTCAATGTCATTCATGAGCGAAGCTGTAATCATCTTATTCAAAAATAAACATATCAAATTGCTCACGCGAAGACGTAGGCCAATCAATGACCTTAAATGCGAACTAGCTACCCGTCTCCGTATTTTATAGGGGGACCAGTTTATTTCTTCGCGCGACCCCATTGAATGGACTTTGTTTGACCAATAACACGGGTCAACTCTTCCGCCGGCGCATGGAACGTGCAAACATATTGCACGTGCATTGGTTGACGCAGTAATAAGGTGTCCACAATGCTTTTGCGCACCTGAGCTTCCTTCGAAAGATTGTGTGCAAGAGATCAGCCCTTCCCAGTGCCCCGTTTAAATTTAATGGCGGTGGGTACGAGCAAAAGCTGGCGCTTTTATCGGTGCAATTGCGCGACGTTAAAAATGGCACTCTTGAAAAAGGCGCTTGTGAAAAAAGGCACTAGCTCATAATACCCACTCAACCGGTCTACGGACAGGGGCGCACCCACGATTTGGTTGGGGGCCTCACAATTTTTTTTTAACAAATCGTGTTTTTCTTTTGGTCGGGGGGGGGGACTATTTTTGACGTTGGTGGCGCCACTTACACCCATATTGCGCCACTTAAACCGCTTTTATACTACTCAAAAATAGGCCACATAGATATCACCAAGGTCAAATCGTGGAACCAAAAAAAAAAAAAAAAAAAATTTACAACCTGGGGGGGGGGGGCTCAAGCCCCCCGAGGGGACCCCCCCCCCCTCCTTGGGTGCACCACTGCCGTCGGATGCTACGCCACTGCGGTGCAAATTCAGGAAAAGCATGAGATAAACTCCTTTTTTATCGAGGTCATGTGTCAAGGACATCTTCGAAGTTGGAAACCGTGTACAAACCAATATTAAGTAGAGTTGCAAAAATAGTTCGTACAATAGGATATGGGGCTATCCTCGGTTTACATGTTCATCATTATCAAAGCAATGTCAATGAATACATGGTTCTGGGCAGCCTCATGTGCCAACAACCTTATTTGTAGTTTGCAAGTTATGTAACAAAGAATACTGGACGGAATCTCTTAAAATCAAATCATTAGGCCTACTTACACTGAACGGAATGTTTTCACGCCTTGAAATGCCCCAGAAGCGACGAACCTTATCCTATTGCTTGCCAGATCGCTAAGGGGGAAAAGGTTTGACATTGCAAAAAAAAGGTAAGGATATTTGTTTTTTTAAGAATAACTCAAATTTGAAACTGACTGACCGTCCGTATTTGAGAGCTTGAATTTTTTTATGACTCTTTAATCGACTACATCATTATTGCTTTTATAAATTCTGGCATGAGATTCACACAATGACACATACAGAATATCAATTTCCAAGTCAGAACGCTGTAACGAAGGGTCAGTGAACAGTCCGGTCGGTATCTCTTCCAGCTCGTTGCCGCCAAGCCGTCTAGTTGAAATACAAAAGGGGAAAAAAAGCCGGGTTAGTTAAAAAATGTGCTGTGCTTCGTGCATAATGCGAGAATAATTAGTTTTGGAAGAGTCGATATTTCGTTTTGCGCTATTCGGAATTAGTTATTCACACACGCTTCGGAAATCGTTTACAACGGTCGATGCATGAAAATAAGGACTAGAACAGGGGTATCCGCTCCGTTCAAAAGTACCCTCTCACCGGCAAAGAAAGTACAGTTGGGGGTGACCGACCGACGCCATCTTGCCTGACTGCAATTTTTCCGCGACGCGCGGCCACCACTAGCACTACGCGTACATACTGGTCTAACCATTGATCTCCATTAGTAAGACCAATGGGTACGACTGAATCCCCAGGTGTACGTGTTTCACACACAAGGAACGTTGCGCGTCAACCAGCGGAATGTCCCGCCCGCGCTTATTTTGTCCGTACCACACGCTGTTAGTTCGAAGTACGTTGTGTTGCAAGTCAGGTTCTCGGACTTTAATTTCCCTTGAAAAAAAAATCCTCCAAACCACATATCGGTAAAAAATAAAGTTCCAAATGAATAACAAACCTTTTTAAGAGAAAAAAAAAGTAAAGAAGAAGAAATTAAAAAAAAAAGCATCCATTGGAAATCGAACTCGCACCACAAGGTTCGTAATTCAACGTAGTATCCACTGCACTACAGCAGTACCTCAATCGGTTGGTTGTTTTGAACATTATAGTATTGCATATATAGCGCCCTCCAGCATAGTTCTACAAATGTATATATACTAGAGAGCGTGTGGTATGGGGGAAAAAATCGTGTCCCGCCCATGGGACGTCGTTGCTAGGTAAAAGGGCGCCCTCTTTCGTTGGCGCACGGAGCCCATATATAGAGTTGTATGATCAACCCAAAATGGAAACGGACGCAGCTTGTAATTTGTAATGGAATCTCACTAAAACATGACTTTTTTTTTACAAAACGAAGTGAGTATATCTCGGTGATGTACTCTGCGTTATACCAAAGATCCTATATAGGGGAAGATACGGCACTGGATACGTATATTTTGGTACGGTGACCTGTGGATCACGATGACGTCATCAAATTGGGCCACGGGGAATGACGCCCCGTGCGGTAGGTAAGTAAACGCGCGTGCGGCTAAGGTGAATTAACAAGTGAATTTTAGGACATCGAGTGTAAAATGCGAGCGGGATTTGCATTGATTAAGAAAACAAGTTCGATCGAATCTCGGAATTAAGCTGAGGGCCAACGAATTCATGTTCACCTTATTTGACCTTTGACCCTAAAGCTGTAGGTCAGATGAAGAGGTCACCATGGACTTTTGTTGATGGTTGACCAAGGCCAACATGCTGACAGCACTAGTTTTGTCATTTGAGCTTATTTAAAAATTTGATGTAATTTTGACCTTGACCCCATGATCACCTTTGACCCTAGTTTGGTCATGTGACATGTTGGGGCTGGGCTACTGATACTTTCGACAAAGTTTGGTTGAAATCGGTCAACATAATTATGTAGGAGCAATAGACAATATCAACTAACTAACGAACTAGCCAACTATAACGAACGGAGAGCCATGATGATTTGTTGAGCTGATACCCGCAGCTAATAAAAAAGACGAATACACCGAGAAAGGAATTTAAAAGTGAACGAATAAATAAATAAAAGGGGATTAAAGTAGACCTGTCAGTAATATAAATAGTAATTTGAGATTTAGCAGTGCTTATTTATAATTATCAGAGAATACAATAATTATGTAAGTTAGCAGCGATTGTTCAATAGTCTACAACTTTCCTGAATTTGCTCAAATATGGAAACCAGCTTCAAGTGTTGTGCCTTGAAAAGAGGCTGCGCATTTTATTTGTATTATTAATTATGAATAAATAGTTTACTATCAAAACATGAAGAGAATTGTGATCCCCTTCATTTTTTGACGGTACAATAATTCATATTATTTTTAAAACGATTTACATTACATTAAAAACGCTTTACATTTAAACCAAAACATCAATTGTTAAAACTGAAAAATAACCATTAATACTTTAATATATTTGTTTAGCGATTAATACAAAAATATATTGCTTACTTTAAAAAAAACCTGTTGAGAGTAAGCCATAAACAATAATGCAAATGATGCAAAGTGGGAAGAATGGGGAAAAAAAGGTTCCCACCACCCCTTTCTCTGAATGCATACATGTTCCTGTAAAGCTCATTAGCAGAATGTTAATGTACTCAGGCATTTTCCATGAAGCACAAGAGTTGAGATATTAATCAGAGAATCAACTGCTCTAAAATTACATTATCTGCCCTTTTTCACCAAAGAAAAAATAGTTTAGCAACTTTGCACAACTAAGTTATCACGCTTTTTACCTACCTACCGCCAGGGGCGCCCTTCCCCACCACGACCTCTGAGAAAGTACTTCCTGTGTCACTGTTTTTTCAGCGGAATGTCCCATCTTCCCCTATATAAGATCATTGGTTATACTCACATGTATCCCTGGCCAAAGACATTTGCAAAGGTATGCGGTTTCAAAGTTTGCAAACGGTTTTCGGAAATTTCCCTGAAAGAAAAAGAACTGGTCATTTTAGTAACATTATTGTGTCTCTCTTTCGATTGCGTTTCCCACCGAATACACAAAAACATGCAATTTGATTGTCTTAAAATTCCCGGGTCGGATTGAACCGAGACCCGGGTCTATTTGTTCAACCGTTTTCCGGGACGAAAAAATTACACTGACAAAAGCACCGAACAAAAATTGACCCAAAAAGGTCAGTTTTGACCCTGACAAACGTAAAGCCAATTTGGACCCGGGTTAATTGTGGGTCAATCCGACTCGGGAATGTGACAAAGAATTTGACATAAAAACTTGCCATAAACATATTGCTTTTGAAGGACCTCTGTAAATAAGCTTAAAACGAGGAATGGTCATTGATAAGAAAACCTCTGAAAACGGAGGTTATGTATAGGTTTTCCAGGCCAGTTTCGCAAAAATGGCATTCAAATTCATCTTTAGTGGCCAATTTGAAGCAAATTAGCTCCCTGCTGTCATTTCCATGTTTCGTATTAGTTTTCAGACGTTCAAATTGGTTGTTAGACCTGACAATTTCATGTTTAACACATCCTAAGTTGAAGTTATGTCGTTCGGTTTAAATGATCATTCAAAAAATTAGCAGTCTGTTTGGTTTAGGGTTATTTGCATAAGAATCTTATTTTCGTTTTCATCTCCACGCATTCTATACTTAGTACTTTCTGCATTCAAAATAATGGGAAACAAAGGCAAGATGCGAGTTTGTGATCTGATATACCAAACCCTCCGGAGACATGTGTACAATAGGGAACAAAAGATTGTATACGTCTCCACGGGGCAATTTCTATAGATGAAAACGTCTCCACAAGGTTTACAGGAAAACTAGGAATTTCCAAGGTGGGTTAATTGATCTGTCGCAAATGGAAGAGTTTGAGAAAAGGGATATTAAGTCCAAATTTCAGCCAAGGAAAGTAATTCTGGTTAAAACAAAAGCATTTGATGTGCAAAAAAGAGGGGGCTGATCAGTTTGGTTATTTTCTTGCTGCTGCTTTGTGGAAGAATCCTGTGAGAAAAGTTCTCATGTACATTCCAATTGGAACAAAGCAACTCTGTTGAATTCTAACGAACAAATGAATGTTATCTACCGTTTTCGAATCCCTTTGCTTACATTTGACAATGCTTGCTTCTTGGTGAATTCGAACGCCAAAACTGTCGCGACTGGAAGCTCGAACGAATTTGAATGACCCAGTGTGACCCAAGTTTTATTTTTATTTCCTTTTTTGAAACTGATTCCTTGAAAAGTGCAATCGCATGCTTTTGGATTTAAATTGAACGATTTATTTATTTATTTGAATGTTGATCTAAATTTGCATCCAAATTCGCGCAAAAATGGGTGATTCGTCAAAGGAATCTGACAAGGAAACTGACAAGGAAAACCTATATTGTAACACGTTAAATTTGTCTGGCAACTGTTTCCACTTTCTAAGACAGCGACTCCAATTTGGTGTATCTGTATATCTTAACAGGCAATAAAACGAAAATGCCACCGTCTTCAGTGTGATCTCTTAATCACTATGTCGACTATAGTGTTTAGAACAGAAATCAAAACCCCGTAAAACAAAAAAATCATGTTTCCCAGTGACTTACATTTTGTTGCAATGCAAACCTTCTATGGAGTCCGGCCTCAGCTCTGTCAGTTTATTATCGTTTAAACGACTTGGATACGGTAATTAAAATAAAGACGATAGATTAATTATAAAACTGCTAAGGCTTCGCATGTTTTAATGTGCAAATATTGAAATAGTTGTATTTAGTTGAACACAATGTTCGCATTCGTGTCACACCATATCCGAGCGAGCTTGAAATCTGTACACTATGGTGATTTAATAGTAAGCGAAAACGTTCATCATGATTGAAAAACCAACCTCTCAATAGAGCAACTCATCGCAATTATACTTGTAACCAGTTCTCGGTGAACGAAATAGACCCAATAATGATAGTAATTCTAGAAACTTACATTGAATCAATGTTGGGTGGTCCTGCTAAGCTTCTTGGTTGTAATTCCATGATGTGATTGCTCGATAAATGCCTGTGGATTGAGCAGCAGTTTTCAGTGAAAAACATATATATGTATTAGGTTTTCCGGCCAATTAGGATAAAAGTCGATCAGCTACACTCCCGGCCCAATCAATTTCACGTAAAAAAATTGAATGCTTCCGTACATCAGTAATGTCAATAAATAAATTCATTCAAATTCAAAATGGCTGTTCCTAAATTTTCGATGAGTCAGAAGCAAGAGGATTATTAAGAAATTAATTTCATCAATTGTCAAACAGTTGCAACATTGTGCATTAACATGTGCTTTCATATTCGTGTACAGGTAATTAGATTTGTTTTCATAGAGAAAATATACTGCGAGGTTCGTAGGGTAAACAAGTTTCTGTCAAAGAATGTTTTAATATAAAATGGAAGTCACATGACACTGCAGACTATAGTAGCCATTGTAGAGAGGTAGAAGCTTATATTAAAGCATTAGAAAGCCCAGACTAGCGACAACTAGCAAACACTCCAAGCATCAGGGGACTTCCTCCCAATTTGAAACACAGAGTGAACATCATTGCTGACATTACAATGAAAAGGATGAATTCCGATTAAGACAAACGAAGTGAAATAGGTATAAATCCCTTGAGCGGAAGAATTACTAAAAAGAACACGAAATTGTGTTCAAACCCTTACAATAAAAATCCAATGGTATTACAATGGTAACCAATGGTAACCAATGGTAATTATTGTAACTGAATGGTTTTGAACGGTAAAATCATTGGTACTAATGGTTAACAAATGGTACCTGTATGGTTTCATATGGTAAACCATTGGTTATATATGGTAACCAAACATAACCAATGGTATCCAATGGTAAAATCCACATATTATGCTCAATGGTTGAAACAGTAGCAAATGGTACTCGTATGGTATTGTATAAAAACCAATTGGTGCTGAATGGTACCAATGGTAAATCAGTGGTGCTCAAATGGTATTGTATGAAAACCAATTGGTGCTGAATGGTACGAATGGTAAATCAGTGGTGCTCAATGGTATTGTATGAAAACCAATTGGTGCTGAATGGTACCAATGGTAACTCAGTGGTCAATGGTTGAAATCAATATCAAATGGTACTCGTATGGTTTTTGTATGGCAACCATTGGTGCTAAATGGTACCAATGGTAATGTCAGTGGTGCTCGAATGGCTATACAGTCGTCAAATAAAAACAGTTTTACATGCATAATTAATTATTAATTCCACCAGTATATATTCCATAATCCCAGAGCACTTGGTGGTTATACAACTGCACTCATGCAGTAGCAATTTGTTATATAACAGTTGTGTACACACTGCAAGAAACCACAGTAGGGGAGTATGTATGGGGGACCCCCCCCCCCCCCCCCCGTGCACCCCCCCCCCCCCGAACTAACTTTCACCAATTATTTTAGGTGCCTTTTAGGGTCCTTAAACACATTTTGGATGTTAACAGGGAAAAATCCGATGCGAAGGAGAAATCCAAGATGGCGGCCAAAATGGCTGCTAAAAATGGTAAAAACTGGAAAAAAGGCATAACTCAGCCAAATTATGTGATAAAAGCATAAATAAAATGGTTAGTTATATGTTTTAGACCCTCAAAAACTCATTTCTGGTATCCTTTTTTGCTATTATGCTTCAAATTCAAGATGGCGGCCAATTTGCTGGCTAATATGGCCGCCATATTGGTTAAAAATGGAAAAAGTCACATATCAGCCTAATATTATGATAAAATCCTAAGTGAAATTGTTAGTTATATGTTTTTACCCTCACAAATTAATTTCTGGTATCTCTTTTTTTCTATCATGCTTCAAATGCATGATGGCGGTTAAGATGGCGGCCAATGTGGCCGCCAAAATGGGGAAAAAATGGGGGGAAAATCATATTTTAGCCAAATAGTGTGATAAAAGCATCAATAAAACTGTTACTTATGTTTTTTATCCTCGCAATTTCATTTCTGGTATCCGATTTTTGCTATCATGCTTCAAATTCAAGATGGTGGCTAGGATGGCCGCAAAAATAGCCTCCAAAATCGGTCAAATGTGAGAAAAATGATATATATTAGCCAATTAATTATGATAAATGCATACATTTAATTATTAGATACATGCTCTTAACCCTTACAAATTCATTTCAAGCATTCTTGCCTTTTGCTACCATGAACCAAATTCAAGATGGCTGCCAATATGGCTGCCAAAAATGGTGATATTTAAGAATAGCCTTATATTGGCCATAGATATAAATGAAATGTATGAGTGAAAGTTGAGATTATGTACTTGAGACTTCATTGCATATCTGGATTTGTCTTACTTACAAACATGTTCCAAATTCAAGATGGTGGTCTAAGTGACCGTAGTAAGGCCGGGCTTCCATCATCGGCCGGTTTAAGTACAGGCCATCCGGTAGCTCGGCCGGTTAGTTTAATCCTCTTCAAACCGACCGAGCAACCGGCCAGACACTAGCTGAGGCATCCACCCACTATAGTAGGTGATCTATTGTGTTCACGCCTGAAAATTGCAGGTCCAGCATCTGAGACCCAACAGTGAGGGGTATGTAATCCGCTTAATCCTCCACGTCAACAAAAGGCCTAAGCGCGTGACTGCTATAGAAATGAACTGGCCACTTTCTTCGTGGGGAGGGCTTCCTGCTACTTCTTTTGATAAATTTTCCTTTCATAGAAACCTAACTGTTAGGTAGTGTGCTAAAACAAAATGTAATGAATAAATAAATGCCAGCCCTCCATCTATGGAAAGATAGAGTCTGGAGACTTGTTTACGCCATGAAGACAAAATGTAATGAATAAATAAATGCCAGCCCTCCATCTATGGAAAGATAGAGTCTGGAGACTTGTTTACGCCATGAAGACACAATAGACACTAATCCGCTTAGAACTATTTGTTCAACTTTGGAGGCAGACAGGCTACATACTAGTAGGTTGTTTGTTGAGCGGCTGAGTGGCAAAAAAACCGGCTGAGGATCATACCGGCCTCAAAGGGCCGGTACAGGGCAGCGCAGTGGAAGAGGTCAGATCATAAAGGTAGAATTAGATGTACCCATCCAGGAAATTCTACCTCCTAGAGAGCACATGGCTACATTATTTGGCTGTGTATGACGTTTTTCTATTTTTTTTTTTACCAATGAGGCGGCCATATGGGCCGCCATATTGGCCGCTATATTGGCCGCCATTTTGAATTTGAAGCATGATAGCAAAAACCAGATGCTAAAAATGAATTTGCGAGGGTAAAACATATAACTAACAATTTTATTGATGTTTTTATCACATTTAATGGCTGATATATGCCTTTTTGCGATTTTGTTTACCATTTTGGCGGCCATATTGGCCACCATCCTGGCCATCATCATGAATTTGAAGCATGATAGCAAAACAGAGATACCAAAAATGAATTTGCGAGGGTAAAAAAAACATATAACTAACAATTGTATTGATGCTTGTTTCACATTATTCGGCTGATATATGACTTTAAAAAAAAAAAGTTTTACCAATAAGGCGGCCATATTGGCCGCCTTGTAATAATGACCGGTGTGTTTTCTGCCACCAAAGTCTCAAACGTCTCCCAATGAATTGGTCGTGCGTAGGCTACTTCGCGCCATATGCGCGCGAGCCAGTACGCGAACGCGGTGTGTCCCCCACTGGAGCTCTCAATTATGTTCGAAAAGCGCCCTTTCTTGTTTGCGCACGGAGCCCAGAGTAATGTAGCCTTTCGCCAAGTCCATCGAGGCCTTTTACAACTTGTCAAGAATTTCTTATGTTTTTCTTTATCATTTTTATTTTTATTTGTTTTATTTTTTTTTTATTATTATTATTATTATTATTTTTTTTTTTTTTTAGGTAGCAAAATTCCTACCAATCATTAGCCTTCTAGGGCGCGCGTGGCTTCTACCCGGACGCGCACGCCGTATGCGCGCGCCGGATGCTGGCACAAAATTTAAAAACAAAAAATATGCGAGTGTAGTCCTAATTTTCCACGAGATCGTGACGGCGTAATTGTTCTTTCATTTTCTTATTTTAATTTTACTAATAAAAGTATTTCAAGAAATAATTTCAGTGTATGAACTTATTTTTTTATCTGAACTTATAGTTATTTTCTCTTACGTTTTCCATTACTCACCCGTCTTTCACAAATGGACGCAACTAGGCAAAATCCGCGTTGTGATTGATTAACCTTTCAGCACTCTACTTATTTGCATAAAAAATATGAATAACTCAATAAAATCAAGTTAGAAAAGGCCTCGAGGCTTCGCCACTCGTGCGCGCTGAATTATTCTTCGCTCCAGTCGCCCGTTGCTTCGCAACTTTAAGCCGAGATGTAATGCTGCAGGCGATTTCGCGAGACTCTGCGCAATGGCGCAACATTTTATTGCGCAAGTTGCGCAACATTTCACATTGAGCAACATTTCATTTGACACCATTTTACGAACGGTTTCACAGAGTCAATTCTTTGACCGCGAAGGAAACACACAAAACATCGATTTCGTCATGCAGCACATGCTCCTTTCCTTTTGAGCGTAAACGTTACGTGTCCGTTTCGTCAGTGACCGCTATTTGGAGCGATTTCGACTCACAGGCAAACGTACGCGTAGCGGATCAAAACGTAGGAAAGGCTGGTTTACGCCTCTTTCACCATCATAATAGGTTGCGTAAGTTATGGCATAGCAACTGAAAATTGACAGTGTTACTGACTAATCGTGATTGTTTTTCAAGGTGGGGCAATTCAGAAAACTCCCAGCTTTGGTTCCGAGGTAGAGACGAGCTGATTGGCTATTTTATCTGTAACTAAACTTATTGAGATGCCGCACGATTCCCAAGGTCGGACAACTTTCCAAAATGGCAGGCTGGTAGAGCACGACTGTTTTGTAATCGAATTAACAGAAATCACACACAAACAGACATGGTAAAAGCTGTTATATTATCCTCGTCCACGATGTTTGAATTGTTTAACCCGTTGCGCATCTACGCCGAGTTTTGTTAAATTGATCGTGTTTATATATGTTACTTTTACTTTAATTGATCTATCCCTCTGGGAGCAGTAAAATAGACTAGACCGTTCCATTAAAACTTCCTCACAAAATGAACAGTGTGCTGACGCCAAAAACACGAAGATTTTTGTTCGACTCTATGGCTGATTCCAAATGCATCTAACCTCTATACAGTGCGAGTCAAAAAAAACTATACACTTTTAAAATTGGCCATAGTTTTATTCTGTAGCAATAACGATAAGATATTTTCATATGTACTTTTAAAGTAACTCTTCTTGCTTCTTTTGTTGACATTTTCACTGGTTTAGTTTCCATTTATGACTGCACAGGAGACAATTAAAGGGGTCGGCTGAAATCTGACTTGCGCCAACTGGTCAGGGCTGGATAAGAAAGAAACAATTTAAAAGAACACAACCATTGTCTAACAAAGAGACAAAACAGGATTGTATTAGCTTTTAAACTTCGTGTTTATTTAAAACATTTAAATTAAATTAAAAAGGCAATTAAATTCCACGGTGTATTAGTCCACAACATGGCTACCATCTCGTTCAATACACAAAGCTGAGCTCCCTGCATTATTCCTGCAACAGCACGGCGAATCACCTCCCTGTCTTAATTGTCTGAGAATGTCAATTTCACGAGTTATCCTTTCCTGGAGGTCATCCAGATTTGCCTACTGAAACTCTTGCAAGCAAGATCCACAAATCTGAACTGATTATGCATTCCATGACCAGAACCAAGACAATGGTTGTTTTCTTTAAAATTGTCTCATTCTTATCCAGCCCTGACCAGTTGGCGCAAGTCAGATTTCACACGACCCCTTTAATTGTCTCCTGTACAGTCATGCATGAAAACTAATCCAGTGAAAATTTCACCAAAAGAAGCAGGAAGAGTTACTCTAAAAGAACATATCAAAATATATTATCTATATTACTAAAGAAAAAACTATGGCCAATTTTAAAGTGTATAGTTTTTTTGACTCACACTGTACAGTGATGCTTTGCCTCTCAAATCGAAACAAATGGTAGAGTACTTACAAACTCGTTAATTTTTGGCATCTTTTGAAGGTATCGGTCTCGATGACTCTCAGATTATTGTTAGGAAAATTCCTGAGGGAAGAAAAATATCACCATGGCTTTTGGTCAAGGTACATATTTTTAAATTACTGAAATATGAAGAAGAAAAAACCTTACATGGTCTATTGGGTTGTCCACCATCTTAAACAAAACTTTTATCTTTGCTTCACAACTATTAATTCTCCTTTTTTTATCGAAAAAGCAAATCATAAAATCATGTTGGGGCGTGCCTATTTCCATACAAAGGCACTACGCGGGCAAGGCAGATACCATAGACCAGAGGGGTGTTTCACAAAACATGAAGTAAAATTGTTGAAGAAAATCGTGAGAAATTTGTGGATTTTTGAGTTGGTTTAGTTTTTGACCAAAAAGTATTGATGAATAGGAATAAATATGTGCTTGGTCGGTTTTCTTATGGCCGGTTTTAAACAAATATGTTTGAAATCGCCTAGTGGCCTCGCCTTTGCCTCGCGCCTTTAAAGGTACTTGTTTAAAACCAGCCATTATTTATTCCCTTATGAAAAGTGCTTTAAAATAAAAGAAAAATGATTCTTCCAAAAGTAAAATTGTGAGCACTTTCGCCATACTAAAACAATTCTTATGTTTAATATAAGGAGATATTTAATGAATTACTGATAAATACTTTTAAATGAAACAAATATTTACTATTATATATTTTTAACCTACATAAATTATTATCACTACGTTGTTTCTTTAAAACATAAAGAATATTCATTTACGACAGCTTGATAGCAAACATCCCAAACAATCAAACAGACTAAAAAAGAACAGAACAGATAAGAACACACAACACAACACAACACAACCGAACAGAACAGAAAAGAACAGGCAAGAACGTTAACAGAAAGGAAAGGAAAGGAACAGAACTGAACATAACAGAATAGAGCGGAACAGAACGAACGGAAAGGAACGGAACAGAACAGAACAGAACAGAACAGAACAGAACAGAACAGAACAGAACAGAACAGAACAGAACAGAACACAACACAACACAACACAACACAACACAACACAACACAACACAACACAACAGAACAGAACAGAACAGAACAGAACAGAACAGAACAGAACAGAACAGAACAGAACAGAACAGAACAGAACAGAACAGGACAGGACAGGACAAGACAGGACAGAACAGATCGGATCGGAACGGAACGGAACGGAACGGAACGGAAAGAACCGACCAGAACAGAACGGAACAGAACACAACAGAACAGAATGGCAAAACACAACACAACACAACACACAAACTAGTGGTGCATTTTGACTCACACTGCCTCCAGGTTGATTCCATTTTTCACCATGGGCTTTATGTCTTCCAGCTTATTCCCATTGGCAAAGCTGCGACCAAAACATTTGTTCATGCAGTTATTAAGTTATAACCTGAAATGCGGCCCGTTTTAAGGTCATTTTTCCCCCAGGTAGCTCCCAGTATATTTGAGTCATGAAACCAAAAGAGCAGGGTTTTTTATTTAAAACTTTAGCAATATTGACAGTTCATACCATTTACTTTCGATCTAAACTTAATAATTTTTATTGTGTTTTTTTAATTGCGTTTAAGGTAGCAATTGTGAATATCGTGTGTCACAAAACTTATCTTATACCCAGCTTCTTAATTAATCGAAGTGCGCTGGTTTAAACAACATATTTTTTAAGCTCCGATTGGATTGGAACAAAACCAGTAAATTTCCATGACAACAATGCTGAGTTAAGTCACTTCCAAAATCGGGGGGAAAAACCCTTCCGCAAGTCTCCTAGGTGCTCAATAATTTTTTTTCAAAATTTACCTGAATGTTCGCAATAAAATTTCATTACCCTGCTATAAAAATATAAAATGAAAGGGCAACAGAACTCCCTGTGAAGAAAGAAAATTACAAACCGAGATTTGCACCGCGACGTGGACAATTTCCGTCCTATTTACCAGACCGCGTCCAGACATTATTTCGATACACCGCCTTCAACGGTTTAAGTATTTGTGAAATATATTGTCAGTGGTACTTACAGGAGTCTGAGAGATTCGGGTACCTCAAAGGGCGAAGAAATACGATTGCTTGTCACATTGCTGTGTAAAGAACATAACAGTTATTGTAGGTACTCAGAAGAATTAAAATTGTACAACACTGGGAGGCATGATGTGCGAGAGGGAGAGTTAAGAAATCCACTCAAATCTTAAAATCACTTTTCAAAAACAAAGATAATGATTGGTCTTATAATTGATTGGAAACAGTTACCTCTGAAACCACCAACTGCAGCTAACAGCGAGCTGCATGTCTGTTATGCTATAGGTTCACACATACTCGAATTAGTTTTGAATACAACAAGAATAAACCAAGAATTCAAATTTGTTCCCAAATCACCCCGACAATTTTGAACATGTTCAAATTTGTCAGGGCACTTCCCGATCTTTAACGATCTTTCACCGAACAAACATAATCATTCCGAGGCAGCCAAGAACCATCCCAATTTACTCAAGAATTGCTATTCCTGACGATTAGTTTTAAAAATCGGGAATGCGTGAATCTAGCATTACGCTATGTATTTCCAAAATATATAGTACACAGTTTGTCCTGGAGCGATCTAGATCAATGGGAAGTCTTTTCATGCATGTGTGGTAATCCTATTAGACGTTTTGGGCCAAGGTGGGATCAATGACCCATCAGAGGGACCGATGACCCATCCCTCTGACTAAAAGTGTGTGTGTGTGTTTTCGTAATCAAAAGAAGAACAATAGTATAGGATAGAATAGATGGACAATAGTGGCACCAATAGGCCCTAATGTAAAGATGGTGGTGCCTATACGAGTGTGATATGATTTTTTTTGTTTCAATCAATTTAAGACCATGTGATTTCCAAATTTCAATTGTAATTTTATTTGTTGATACTTGCTACAATGATACAAAAATATCCCAAAGCAGTGAAATGAAAACAACTGAACACACGAGTATATTGTGATAAAATGTACAGACATTGTTATGCGGGTATACATCTTTAGTCTACCTGTCTTGTTACAATACTCACAGCACGATAAGCGATTTCAAATCTAGCAGTGCATCGTATGGTATCATCTGTAGGTCATTTTCCCCCAGATTTCTGTAAGAACGAAAATATTACCAAAAGTCATCGGTGATTGAAACAAGCAGGAAAACAAGAGAAAAGCAGACATTATTGAACATTATGGACAGGTCAAAAAGTGTAAGTTTTTGAAATAAACTGGAACTTTATAAGATTTTCCCACACACGTTATATACCCCGACTTGATGACTCTTGTCTCGGACTCGGACTGGGGTCCGACTCGAGTCCCATTTCCATGACTCGGACTCGGACTCGCGTCACGATGACAAATTACTCGAAATGTCTCGAACTCGCTCCTGCGGACTCGGACTTGCTCCTGCGGACTTGGACTTGGACTCTGTGAGGTTTTAGCAGTACACATGTACCTCAAAATGTTTTCGCAGTATATATTTGATGACTCGTGATTCGGACTCGGACTCGACCTGCATGACTCGGGACTCGGACACGGACAAGACCTGAATGACTCGGGACTCAGACTCGCTTTCGCTTTTTGGTGACTCTAATACAAGTCTGTATTAGTATGAATTATTCATAACTACCAGAATCCAACCAAAAAATGCTCACCACAGGGGCGTAGCAAGGTCATTTTGATTGGAGAGGTAAACATTTCTTGAAAATGGCACTTGCACATCCGTGCTGAAATGTAGACATGTTGTTAAAATCAAATAGTGGTGGTGGGGCCGGGGGGCGGGGCTGGTACCATCCGTCGATGGGGGCGCTGTTCAAAACCGACCAGTATGCACACTGGCAGACAATATATGGCGCTTTTCAGGGCGATACATGCTCACAATTAAATGAAAAGGCGCTCGTTAAGGCCGCTGATATAAAAAGGGCTCTAATTTTGTTTTCAAAAGGGCACTTGTTCAGAAAAAAAGGCATTTGTGAACAAAGGAAGGGCACTCTTTATAAATATTGGGGATAAAAGCTGGTGAAAAAAGGCATTTCAATGGAAAAGGGCAGTCTTTACAAACTATTTGGGTGTAAATAACCCCTTCCCCCAACCCCGCCCCCCCCACCCCCCGCTAGCTATACAAAAAAGTATAACAAAGGGCGCGTAAAGGGCAGTTTGGTAATAATATCATAGACCACAGTCGAAGTGCTCCCAGAATTCATTCGTGCTGTTAGTTCAGCCAGACCGGAATCGCTAATTATTTCTCTGGATTCGGCTGGATAGACATTAGCCTGGTGCTAAGCCGAAACTTTACAGAGATCTTAAAATTGTTTTCTATAGTGTTTCCTCTATGGTTTAATATGTAAATAATAAAATTTTAGTCTGCAATAAACCACTCAATTGTAAGATACTGTTTCTTATCGTCCAGATGTCTTTTTTATTTGATAACGACTCAACAAAAGAGAGACGTTAAAGGGAATATACATCATTTGCTTTTGCTGTCATTTTCAAAAATGGTCATTGGATGGAATTGGGGGGTTGGAAATATATAGCAAATATAGTTACACTGACTTTTGTGAGGTTTTGGGTTCGAAAATGCTATAAAAACCAAGAAAAACAATCATTTTCCTGTAGTCTGGTTCCGTGACTCCATTTAAGAAGAAACAGAGCAGTTTACATATATTGGGGGATTGTAAGGTCAGGGAACCAGTCTAGCTGGCTTGTACCCGTTCATAGGTGTGTAATCGATTGCAAACAAGTGATGGTCAACTGGTGCCAGTATTTGAAAAAAAACTCAGTTTTTTTCCAAAGCTGATCGGCCGATCAGCGTTGGAAATTGATACAAAAATACCACTTTTCTTGAAAATGACAGTATACCAGGTGCCATGATTTTACAGGATGCTTTACACTGTCATTCACTAACAGTCCAGCAAGGTATTTCGAAATGATTTGGTAGTTTTATTTTTTGATGTTTGCAAATGTTGTATTTTCCCTTTAAAACTAAAACTATATTCCTGAGCATTTTTTGTAACTTAGTACTTTTGTTTTTTTATATGAATTTCCTCAACATTGGCCTTGAATGCATGGGCAGTGACTTGCAATGGGATACGCAGTGATTTCCTTCTTCCAATTTGCGCAATAATGCAAGAGCTTCCTCGTTGTCATAACCGGGTTGCAGGTATGGGTTTCTCATATCCTTCACATTTTTGACACCATTCTGCACAAATAAACTCTTTTCCATCCCCTACCCCTAGCTACCCTACCCCTCCGTTCTCCTCTCTTTTTCTTGAATTCGTTTTGGAGGAATGGGTCACCACAGGGATGATTATGGAGATATGAGGTTCGGACATTGGTTGCTTTTGAGTAACTCAGTCGGGTTCCCGAACCTGTTTGTCACCTCGCGTCTCTTTGCAGGTAGGCGTCAATTTAAAAATGCAGCACGACGCAGATTACCCAAATTCTCGTCCGAATATACTTGAGGAACATTGTCTACATAAGAGCGGATCCAGATGTGGATCCCCAAATAATTATATGGAATGCAATAAAGGTCCCAAATATATTTTCAAATTGCGTTAGAAATGCAGGTATGAGAAAGCATAGTTAGATTTCAAAATTTTCCAGGGGCATGCCAGGACCTCCAAGCTTTCGTTCAACCTCTCCCCACCCCACTTCATACCCCCTCCCCCTTCCTGAAAGCTAAGTCAGCTTATGGGGGGACTTTATCTATTTTGAAACCAGGGATGCGCTTCCCTTGTTTTTCTTTCCTTCTACCCACTTTAATTAGCACTTAACAAGTATTCAAGTGTAAGTTTTTGAAATAAACTGGAACTTTATAAGATTTTCCCACACACGTTATATACCCCGACTTGATGACTCTTGTCTCGGACTCGGACTGGGGTCCGACTCGAGTCCCATTTCCATGACTCGGACTCGGACTCGCGTCACGATGACAAATTACTCGAAATGTCTCGAACTCGCTCCTGCGGACTCGGACTTGCTCCTGCGGACTTGGACTTGGACTCTGTGAGGTTTTAGCAGTACACATGAACCTCAAAATGTTTTCGCAGTATATATTTGATGACTCGTGATTCGGACTCGGACTCGACCTGCATGACTCGGGACTCGGACACGGACAAGACCTGAATGACTCGGGACTCAGACTCGCTTTCGCTTTTTGGTGACTCTAATACAAGTCTGTATTAGTATGAATTATTCATAACTACCAGAATCCAACCAAAAAATGCTCACCACAGGGGCGTAGCAAGGTCATTTTGATTGGAGAGGTAAACATTTCTTGAAAATGGCACTTGCACATCCGTGCTGAAATGTAGACATGTTGTTAAAATCAAATAGTGGTGGTGGGGCCGGGGGGCGGGGCTGGTACCATCCGTCGATGGGGGCGCTGTTCAAAACCGACCAGTATGCACACTGGCAGACAATATATGGCGCTTTTCAGGGCGATACATGCTCACAATTAAATGAAAAGGCGCTCGTTAAGGCCGCTGATATAAAAAGGGCTCTAATTTTGTTTTCAAAAGGGCACTTGTTCAGAAAAAAAGGCATTTGTGAACAAAGGAAGGGCACTCTTTATAAATATTGGGGATAAAAGCTGGTGAAAAAAGGCATTTCAATGGAAAAGGGCAGTCTTTACAAACTATTTGGGTGTAAATAACCCCTTCCCCCACCCCCGCCCCCCCCACCCCCCGCTAGCTATACAAAAAAGTATAACAAAGGGCGCGTAAAGGGCAGTTTGGTAATAATATCATAGACCACAGTCGAAGTGCTCCCAGAATTCATTCGTGCTGTTAGTTCAGCCAGACCGGAATCGCTAATTATTTCTCAGGATTCGGCTGGATAGACATTAGCCTGGTGCTAAGCCGAAACTTTACAGAGATCTTAAAATTGTTTTCTATAGTGTTTCCTCTATGGTTTAATATGTAAATAATAAAATTTTAGTCTGCAATAAACCACTCAATTGTAAGATACTGTTTCTTATCGTCCAGATGTCTTTTTTATTTGATAACGACTCAACAAAAGAGAGACGTTAAAGGGAATATACATCATTTGCTTTTGCTGTCATTTTCAAAAATGGTCATTGGATGGAATTGGGGGGTTGGAAATATATAGCAAATATAGTTACACTGACTTTTGTGAGGTTTTGGGTTCGAAAATGCTATAAAAACCAAGAAAAACAATCATTTTCCTGTAGTCTGGTTCCGTGACTCCATTTAAGAAGAAACAGAGCAGTTTACATATATTGGGGGATTGTAAGGTCAGGGAACCAGTCTAGCTGGCTTGTACCCGTTCATAGGTGTGTAATCGATTGCAAACAAGTGATGGTCAACTGGGGCCAGTATTTGAAAAAAAACTCAGTTTTTTTCCAAAGCTGATCGGCCGATCAGCGTTGGAAATTGATACAAAAATACCACTTTTCTTGAAAATGACAGTATACCAGGTGCCATGATTTTACAGGATGCTTTACACTGTCATTCACTAACAGTCCAGCAAGGTATTTCGAAATGATTTGGTAGTTTTATTTTTTGATGTTTGCAAATGTTGTATTTTCCCTTTAAAACTAAAACTATATTCCTGAGCATTTTTTGTAACTTAGTACTTTTGTTTTTTTATATGAATTTCCTCAACATTGGCCTTGAATGCATGGGCAGTGACTTGCAATGGGATACGCAGTGATTTCCTTCTTCCAATTTGCGCAATAATGCAAGAGCTTCCTCGTTGTCATAACCGGGATGCAGGTATGGGTTTCTCATATCCTTCACATTTTTGACACCATTCTGCACAAATAAACTCTTTTCCATCCCCTACCCCTAGCTACCCTACCCCTCCGTTCTCCTCTCTTTTTCTTGAATTCGTTTTGGAGGAATGGGTCACCACAGGGATGATTATGGAGATATGAGGTTCGGACATTGGTTGCTTTTGAGTAACTCAGTCGGGTTCCCGAACCTGTTTGTCACCTCGCGTCTCTTTGCAGGTAGGCGTCAATTTAAAAATGCAGCACGACGCAGATTACCCAAATTCTCGTCCGAATATACTTGAGGAACATTGTCTACATAAGAGCGGATCCAGATGTGGATCCCCAAATAATTATATGGAATGCAATAAAGGTCCCAAATATATTTTCAAATTGCGTTAGAAATGCAGGTATGAGAAAGCATAGTTAGATTTCAAAATTTTCCAGGGGCATGCCAGGACCTCCAAGCTTTCGTTCAACCTCTCCCCACCCCACTTCATACCCCCTCCCCCTTCCTGAAAGCTAAGTCAGCTTATGGGGGGACTTTATCTATTTTGAAACCAGGGATGCGCTTCCCTTGTTTTTCTTTCCTTCTACCCACTTTAATTAGCACTTAACAAGTATTCTTCATTCCACTTCTGATAATTTTTTTTTTTAACAAAATACAACTTAATCAAATTGATGCAACTTGGAGCATCCCTTTGCCTCCGGCAAATCCTGCCACTGGCTAGCGCTGACTTTCCGGGGGGAAGGGGGGACTACGAGGAAAACCTGATTTCTAATGTGCCTTCTTTCTTTTTTGGAGGGTGGGGTGGCCAATCACGTTTTCCTTGATGTTGTTCGTGTAAACCGTTGAGAACTATAACGGTGTGGACTGATGCAATAATTATTTATGCAGTTGTCCTTTCGTATTTGGCTTGATATCCAGAATGCACAGTACAAGGAAAATTGAATACATTGTCGCGTGATATGTGTTGAGTGAACCACAAAGCGAAAGTGAGAGGGAAAGTTGTTTCCTATAGTAACCTATAAAAAATCTGAACAAAACACCTACATAGGCCTATGTAACCGGAAAAGTAAACTCAAAAAGGAAATCAAAAGGCATATGGATGTAGAAATAAAAGATTAAAACGGAAACCATTATGCATGATGTGCGATCGTGTGTGCAAATATAGTGCAGTTCAAGATTGTTTTGGTTTCACTTAAAGGCCCACCGTGCTTCCCTGCACCTCTCTGTTTAAACTAAAATATTGGATTACCTTATTAATTATTGCCATTTGGTGAAAGCAATCAGCATGCGGCACATACCGCTGAAATGGAGTTAAAAAGCCGCCAATATGAGATAAATCATAAATATGCCAAATATTTGTTGACAATCCTTTAACAAAATGTGAATAACTGGCAAACCCTTATGCCCATTCGTTATTTGTTACTACAGGCGCGGATGGGGGGGGGGGGGTCAAACCCCAAACCAGCTCTGTCAAAAAAAAATTAATAGAAATTCCTTACAAATAATTCGACCCCCGCCTCCTGCTCTGATACGCCAAAAAATTATACAGGTAATTATTTCCGCCTGTGCACAAAATACGAACAGAGCCAGCTTGATTAGGGGGTATTCTTTAATATAGCTTTATTAATCGTCGTATTTGGACAGCGCCCCATTGAAAGTATGGTACGAAGGCTATGTTTAACTTTGTGGAAATATTACACATTTTTATTACTTATGGTTACCTATGTGTGTGTTTGTGCGTAACTGAAGCAGCCCTAAGTGAAAGCCTTTCTGTCAGAGGGTTGCAGGTTCCCAAGAGAGAAAAAACAGCCTGTAACTTCACAGATAAAAATTTCATGTTGTAGTAGAGTACTTTTTCCGAGAACAGAGTACTGCTGAGTAGGCCTACTTAGGTTACCAAGTACGAGTACGAGTACTTCCAAGTACAAGTTCAGGTCTCCGAGTACGAGTACTTGTACTTCCGAGTACGAGTACGAGTATACTAGTACTTCTGAATACGCCAATACGGCAAATGGTTCATTGTGCGTAATTGGACCAGGCCCAGTCAGACCGATATAGGCCTACAGACCCACTAACAGCTAGCTGTTAAATGTGTGTGTCCGGATGTGCACAGAGAAAAATAAAAAATCTTTGATTTCTTTGCCAGCTAATCAACCATTTCCAACTGAAAGTATCTACAATAAAATAAGGCCGTGGTAAGTCAAGTTGCACCCTTTTTTTTAGTACTGCTTTTCGATCGAGTACGAGTACTTTGATGATCGAGTACAATTTCGACATGTCGAGTACGAGTACTTTGAAATTCGAGTACGAGTACGAGTACGAGTACTCTAAAAAAAAAAAAAAAAAAAAAAGTACGAGTACTACAACACTGATTTCATGTTGAAAAATCAAATATGCTAAACAATACGGACAGTACATCTTTAACGATCCAAACGCAGACTGCAGTAACACTGAAACAAGTGAGCCTTGAGAGCACCTTTGCGATCAGATGCTGAAGAAATAACACCGGTTGGGGGATTATTTCAAAGGTACAGACCTGCGTGGAAAACTGAACTGATACCTCGAATAAATGTGAGACGGTGGGGCAGGTACAAAGAGTAGATAAGCATTAAAATAGCCCAATCGCCTTGAGCTATTGTCGAGTTAACCAGCGGGTGTTTTATAGCGGAGCAAGCCATATATAAAGTGAATGGAAAACCAGCAGCATTATCACTTAATTCAAGAACACACGCAAACCAACATGTTTGTTTTTACATACTATAGTGTGGACATTCCTTTGTTTTCATGTAGTTAAAAAAAACCAGGGGAAAAAACTCATTTTAGTCAAACTGTGGAAACTCTTTTAACCCATTTTTTTTCTACGATTCCCTTTATTGTTTCTCTTCATTTTGCCACAGATAAACCTAACCCCAAAAAATGACTCTTAACCTGTTTTCCAGAGAGGGTAAATATTTTGTGGACGTGGGCAAGTCCACACAACGTCGCTGCCACCTGGTTCATGTGGCCATTTTTGTTCGGAAGTCCACACATAATGCTTGTCTCTCAATACTCACAGTACTTTGGTGTCGTTGGGGATCCCCGTAGGTAACACCGTCAGGCCTCTACCCATGCAGTTGACTATGCGAAGACTGTGAATGCATTCACACACCTCGCACGCTTCCATGCCTTCCGAGCCCAAACCCGCACAGTACACAATAACGCAAAAGACTACAATTGCAATGCAGCCTTCTGCTCGTTTCTCGTGCATATTTGGAGGGTGTTTAACATCTAGAAGAATAAGTTTGAACTAAAAAGTTGCGATAGCTTTTAAGATTTCAATACTAAGACAAGGGGTTGGTTTGTTTTGACAGAGGCTTGTAGCTCTGGTAGAGTGTTGTGAGAGCCAAGTTTTAAAGGATCCAACACGGAAGTACATAAAGTTTTATACATGTACTTAACTTCGTCATTCGACGTATCAGCGACATGGGAATTCGTCATCATATATTTCACAAATGAACATTCATCTGTCACTGTTTCTGCATTGGTAATACATCATTAGCATTGAGGAAGACACCAATTTCTTTTTCTTAAGACGTATTTATTATCCTGTGTATTTTTTTAAGTAAAATTAAAACAAAAACAACAGAACAAGCTGAATAAACATTATTTAATAGCGCAACGGACGAATACCAGCCAGGCGCGGATCCAGAGGGGCTTTAGGGGCTCCACCCCCCCCCCCCCCCCCCGGCCCCCGCCCCCGGCCCCCTTACACAAAAATATATAACAATTATAGTTCATGTAATAATAACTATATGTCCGCCTGTCTGCAACAATCGGACATAAAAAATCTGACGGGCCTGACACCTCCCCCCCCAAAAAAAAAATTACTGTATCTGCCCCTGCTAGCATTTAACATTCTTAATGTGATGGTATTGTACGAGCTGGACACATGCTTTTAATGTAACTCCATACATTGTGTACAATCATTCAATGGTAGAGTACGGTATAAGGAAACAATCTCTGAATAATAACTTACATAGGCCTACTGCTGCTTTTCCTGTTAAAACTTTAAAACATCATAATGACTTCCACTGAATATTAAACCATGAGATCTTTTTTTTCTTCTTTAAACCCGGAGTCTACCCAAGCCCAAATCTTAACCCACTGGCAACCGGTAGGCCTACACTGCACAAAACTGCGGTGTAAATTTAACACCGGTGGTTTCCATACAGGAACCCTCAGTGTCTGTCATCAATAGTCCTATACATGCAACCGTTCTTAAAAACTGACCCCCATTTTGTTGAAGTGTAGGGATGTACAGCTGCGTTATGCAAACCTTTCCATAATCCGATGGTCGGAACGCGCTCGGAATGGAACTTCTGTATGTGAGCACGCAAATTCAATATGACGCCACGATTGCTTCCGATCAAAGCCGTTCACAGGGTGGTTGCAATGTTCATAATATGTCAAACCGAATTCAACGCAGTAGACGCACGCTCATTAAGGACGGACATCACGCCGCCAGACACACACATCGCGCCGGTTAAGGACAGACATCTAAGTGTAACAAATTACTTACTTTACAGAAACGAGCAGTTCGTATAATTTCGAATGCTGGCTATCGTGATCATTCTGCTCCATTATTTGCTAAATTAAATATATTACAATGTAATGACTTATATTACCTTAATTTAGGAAAACTAATGTATAAATGTATGCATAATTTACTTCCGTCATGTTTAAATTCTTGTTTTACCTTAGCATCTAACGTTCATGTATATAATACTCGAAGTAGTGCTAGGGGAAATTTGTTTGTCCAATTTAACAGAACGTCAATGTCAAAAAATAGTGTTATTCACCGAGGCACTTTGTACTGGAATAGTTTAGATGATTCTCTGAAATTGTTACCTTCACTATCTGTCTTTGTCAAAAATTTAAAAACTCATTTTCTCGAATCATATTCATAAATTGAAATTCCATTATTTTGTGTATTAATATTTAGGCCTTGTCTCACGCTTGTCCTGTCTGTCTCACGTATTGTTTTGTTTGTCCTTTGGTCGTATGTTTGTCCATAGGTAAGGGCACAAAAGCGTTCTGCTTAACCTTATACCTAAATGTTGTCATTTAATTTCACACTTTATAATTAATCACTGTGTACATATCTATCAAATATTATACTAGTGACTTTTTTCTAATGTATACATGTTTGTACATAATTGTAATGAATGACATCATTGAAATAAATGTTAATACTAATACTAATTAATACTAATACATCACGCCGCATTAGTGACCTTTATGGTACACCATACTATAAGGCTAAGTCAAGATGCGGCGGTATTATCTATAGCATAAATTTTCCCCGAATTCTGAGTAGCGATGGGGAACTGCGCGTAAGCGTTCTGCAACAACTCTGGATTTTTAAAACTGCCCTTGTGCAACAGCTGTTGTCTCAAATGAAAACACTCTGGTGGACTAGTGTTCACAGATTTCAAACCAGGTCTTACATAGAAACAGTGGTAGAAATCCCCAACCTACTCTAGAGCTGACGTCTACGGCATCGAATTTTTTTCCCCAAACGACATCCGTTTCCCATCTTTTGATTGGTCCATTACATGCATATCTTATGCCTTGTTCTCTACAACAGAAACCCAAGATAGGCTTTACGTCTTGTGAGAAATGTTCCTTTCTCAAAATGAGAAGAAATGAAAAACGCTCACAGTGGTTCGAACTCGAATCACCTGATTAGAAGTATAGGCTAATTCCAACCAGTCAGTCCGTACGAATCAGCTGCCAATCGTCCGTTGTTTAAACACCGTTATTCATTGTCTTCTGAAGCCCTGGACATCATGAATATGCATAACGCAGAGATAGAGCGCCCTCTTGTCGGATGCCGTTTGGAAAAAAAAATAATAATTCGCAGCCTGGCTTTTCTGTTGTCTACTGTCTTCAAATATCGATGCGGATTGACCAATCAGGCCTATGTTTTATTGAAAAGTTGAGCGAAAAAAATGACTGCAGCGGGGCTTGAACCTACGACCTCCGGACAACCGTTCTGGTGCTCTACCAACTGAGCTATTCAGCCCTCAAATTCTTCAAAACCTTTGTTCAAGGGGCGCTAGTCAGAAATCATAAACCCGTATATGCCATGCAGCCACGGATCACGCCAAAAGTCGCTTTACAGACCTGGGAAATAGCAAACGGGATCACTCAGAGAGGACGTTTTGTGAAATTGTAAAATAACAATTAATTACTTCATAACGAAAATATAATGTCTGTCTGAGTATCATATTACTGTTGTTCAAACGATTTACATCAGTTTGTTAGATACTGAATACATTATACAATAATTTGTATAACAGTCATCTGAGTAGCCTACATGTTTTTAAAAAAAATGGATCGGTTTGAATTTTGAAAGGAGGCTCGTTGGAAAGGTCATTCGTGTTCAATCCAACTCGCCTATGTATTTATGCGCGACAAGTACTGTATGTCACGATTAACGATAAAATTGGCACTAACGTAGAAAAAAAGTAGCTGACATTGCTAATGACAAAAGAAACTGAACCAGACAAAAGCATTGTTTAACAGAATCAAATGTTTGGTTGGATGATGTCCGCCTGTATCTAGATCAGTCAACTAGACCAGTGGGTTCCGTACGATGCGCTGACCAATACTACCCTGGTAAGATAAAATGAAGTTTAAACTAGTGTTAGATAATAATAAAATTTGATTTTAGTGAATTCTGCCAGACAAAGGCTATTTGTCGGTTCAATCGCTTTCTGTCGATAAACCGACAGAAAGCTTTCATTTTTGCTTTCTTTTGTTTTGGTCAGTCGGTCGAAAGGTCAGTCGCTGTTGTGTCGTGTGGTAGCCTTGACCAAGGCTGTCAGCTTGTTCCCCAAACGAGCTTGTTCCCGCTACATACACTGCGCGCCACGCCAGCTAGTTGTATTGCCCTTAGCCTCAACGACCCTTGCATGTGCTTTGTCTGTACGTATGTGCGTACGCCCCACAAACACGTCCATGAACAGCCGTATACATGCAGTAAGTCGAGGCGGATGACAGCCTTGACGCAACGGTAATACGCTCAATATGATAATTAGTACGCGCTATGGTAAATAGTCTTCTCTCATTGGATAATGGCTAAAAAAAGGATGAATATTTATTATACTGCATAATACAACCAAACTTAATAAACCTGACGGTCTGGGGTAATTAATGTACAAAAAAAACTATGAAATACTAGTAGAATAATATTTATAAAAGTTAGTTATTCATAGTTCGGGTCGAAAAATGAAATGAATAGGATGAAAAATTTGACCTTTAAAAAACGGCCTAATATATGCAGCGTGCAATTCAAAAAAAATTATAGTAGTTCCGAAGCAAACTCTCAAATATCTTCCAGGATGGTGCAATAAAAGTTGCTGCAAGACCTTTGTGCAACTTCACTGGTTAGCTCTTTTGTTGTGTGTAGTATGTGTGAGACTGAAACTGGACCATAATTGCCTGCAGAAGTCGCGCATGCGCACTAATTTCCCCCATTTTTTTGGGGGGGGGGGAATTTCAGGAGATTCCCTAGGGTTGCAGGCCAATAAATCGGTCCAAAATTTCCTACGCCGGCCAAATCACGATTTGCGTGCCCTCAAATTCTTCGGTATTTCAGCATTTTGTGGGCCATGAACTTGAGGGTTTGTAAAAAAAAATTATTGGGTTGAAGCCGTGCACAGGACTGTGAGCTTGCAAGTCTGTGCAATTTGGATGAAATTAGGGCACTAAAAGCGCTCTATTTTGCAAGGGAGTGTAGGCATCGTTTTTCAAAATGGCTATTTTAAGGGGTGATCATCTTCGACTGGAAATTTCTCCTAAAAGTCATCAGTTTACCCCCCAAAAAAATTGAAAAGAAAATGAAAGATGATGAAATAAATAAGCTTTAATTTGATGTGTGTTGCAAACACCTTGGAGAATTGCGAGTATTTTTCCTGAATTTCTGAAGTGGGGGCACTTATCATTGGGGTCTATGGCAGTTTATTTACTGGTCTGCAACCTTTACGGTTCCTTGCCAAAATGGCGGCGCACATGCGCTTTATATGCCACAACAGTGGGGGTTTTTAGGGCACGTGACCTGGGGGTATTTGTCGGTTGGCTTGTGGGTAAGGTGAGTTTGGTGGGACAGGGTTAGAATGGGGTTGATCGGTTCAAAGTTTGGCCATGAGGTGGAACTTTTGTGTTTTTTTTATACTTACACGGGTATAAAATTGGTCAAGTTCTTCGATGCCTGTAGCTAAGTACGGCTGGATGAATTGCTCCCGGCTAAACAAAGCCTGCAATGCCACATAATGTAAAATTAGGACTTTAAACGATTTTTGTCAAGGGAAATTAAATTATTAACTTTTCAATTCACTGACAACTTTTACTTTGTAGTCGAGACCTTTACGCGATATGTCAAGACCTTTCAATTTGTTGGTTAACCTCAAAGACAAACTAGGTCTATCAATGAGCAAAAAAGCGCCATAATGTTGGATGACAATCATTTTAAGAACTTCAGAAGAAGAAAAAATAGGATTCAGGGTCGACCAAATTTCTTTCAAGACCGTTATGAGATCCATTGATCCCATAACAAAATTTCCTCTCAATCCAACTGAAACAGAACTATAAACATTTTGTTGAAGGTCGCGACTACCACCAGCTGTGATGTTTTGTCATCTTTGGGGATAGGCTGCTAGAAAGTTTTCAGTTGTGTGCGGAGTGCTAGATGCTATACACATACATCCAGGCACAGACACGATATATCCAGCAGCAGCAGATACTGTGCGCCTTACAAATGCTTTGTTATTATTATTGTAATTATCTTTGATGTGTTTTGTTATGTTAATTCAACAACAATGAACGCACAGCAAGAGGTCTACAAATACGTATCCATGTAGAACAAAAGCACTCAAAGATAGCTGGAGTACAAACGATCTCCTGCAATGATCGCAATCTGTGAATTTATGTACATCTGTGAAATTATGTACATTAGGTAGGAGTAAGTAATATGGGGAACGTAGCCATCCCCCGGCAAATAGGGCATCCCCCGGCAAATATATTGGAAGGTCATCCCCGGGACCGCTGCCAATGTGGACTAAAGCAATGGCATGAGTAGACGAACAACCTACCTGTTGGTAGGCAGACCTGTTGACAGCCTGCTGTAGGCGATTCATCATGGTTGCCTCCTCGTTGGTACCTGCCAGTTTGAGGTGTCCATCATCAGGTGCCGATGGCCGCCGGCGGTGACGATGGCTCGGGGACATGCTTGCCAGGAACCACGGTCGCATCAGGAGACAAATGCAACCAAGAATTGCAACTAGCAGCAGAATGAATGCGATGCAGCCTAGGATGATGGCAACTATCGCCGGGCTGGACAATCCATCTGCAACCAACATAACAAAGCAATAACTCCTGTTCTTTGCTTTTCATAATTTGGCTAATTATGAAAAGTCTTATTTCAATCCTGTATTTTTATTTTCATTTCTTTTCTTTATTAATAAAATTTACGTAAGAGGAGCCTTTTATGTTAGTATATAAAGTTATTAATCTACGTGTAAAAGTTCTGAACAGCGCCCTCGAGCGTCAAATAATGTCCAACCCCACCATTTGATATTCCAAAGGTGGTTGATGGATCCATGGAAAAATATTCTCCTTATAAAAATATCCTTAAGACACTCGTGTTTGTAATGTAATTTGTTTTTTTACTCGTTTTTTAAACGGACGCGCATGAAACGGCATCGAAATTCCTGCCATTCAAACATCTCACCGCAGACGTCTGACATTCTGACAAATAAAAAAAGATCAAAGGCGAGTTTGGACGAGTCCGTCATCCAGAATTGAAAGCGAGGTCAATACAAGCAAAAACGAGGCCGCTTTTTAGAAGATCTCTAAGAAGTGTAGAAATGAGCAGGACGCAGTATGCCGAGATGTAGAAACCCACCTGTGTTCGATAAACAATGTTATAATCATGGAAACGGTAATCATGTTTGGCCCAAATATATTTGAAACCGAGGTTATCACTGCATTCGTTTTATGTTCTGGTGCCTACCTATATAAAATGAATAAAACTGAATTGGGACGTAAGCTATTGTTTTCATGAGGCCGATAAATAAATTGTGTTAACGTAAACACCCTTAAACAATATTCAGATTGGTAGGTATGAAAGTAATGTTATTGTTTAAATATGTTATGCATGTCTGATCGTCTTTTATACTTACTCTGTTCGTTTTAGGATACCTTTAACAAAATTATGTTTAATTAACCTGTTTCTTTGTTTAATTTACGAATAACACACGCTTACCACGCGCATAGGGGCAATTTGTTTTTTTCAAAATATACGTCCTTTCAAATTGTTGGCCAAAAGGTCGGCAAATTGGCCAAAAAAAATCCAGATAGGTCGGTTTTAACCGTAAACATAATTTGTTACGCCTAATGGCCATATCTTAAGGCGCATCATTCTGCCATGCCTGCCTCGAAATCATAATAACCCTTACATTCACAGAATCTGAATCCCGGCGTTGTAACAGAAAATATGGGGGGGGGAAATGTCCAACCTGCTCAGGTGTGTTTCTTGAGAATTGCTCCTTATTAGGATTTGAGGGCTTAATCTTATGAGGCGTATGTGGTATTTCTCAAACCCGTTGACTCCATCATATATTAAAAGTCATTGTAGTATTTTAGATAATATTTCAAATACCTAATTCAACCCGCTAAGGAGTCTTCGGAATAACAATACCATTGGGAACGTAACACTACGAATGGAGACATGAATTGCTCCTCCAGTATGAGCAGAGAAATTATTCGCGAGTAGTAGAAATACTCGCGAGTAGTTTATCAAATTCTCATAAAAAAAATGTAAAGTGCGAGTGCAAAATAAGTTGTTGCCGTGTTGCAAGAAGTCATGCATGAAAGTCTTGCATGAAATCGATCAAAATGATCCTTGCCAGAGCTTGAAAATGCAACGCCGAAAAATGCGACGCCGACGGCACACTGTATGGAGCACCATACCTGTGGTCAATTTTCGGGGACAGATAGACAGACAGACAGACAAACACACCGCCCGACCGACTACCAAGTGACATTTGGAAGCTCCTGTCAGAGCTTAAAAACCAAATAAGCAGCTGGAGATTATCTTCAATGATTCTTGAAACCAACTAGAAAGTCACTTGACTATACACAATGTCACCCATTCAAAGAAATTACCCCAGCACTTGTATATGTATGGTTTCATTGATTCGTAAGGGAATAAACACAAAGCAATACAAATAATGTAAATGGGTTTGTTACCTGTTGTGGCTGACTCGCTTGATACATCGCTGGTGGATGCTGTGGATGAAGCTTTTCCAATAGTGAATGCTGCATCAGAACACATCAATATTAATAGGTCATTTTGTGTAAAGAGGCAGTCTACGATAAACCCACCAGTGCTTACATAAGCATAGCGGTAACAATGTCACTGAAACGGAAAAATATTCATATCTATTCCGGAATAAAAATCTAAAGTGTGTCACCTTCAAAGATAGAAAGGGTAGATTTGTCAGACACTGCTTGAGTTGAAAATATTTCGGTTGCTGTAAGTATTTTTTGCACTAAAAGAATAGACGAATTAAAAAAAAAATCGGTTATTTAACATATCAGATAGACACGACCCCGGTAAGTCTAATTAAAGTTGTTGCCAAATGTTTTCTTAACGGAGGCTGATTGCATAAAACGATAAATGCGAAATATAATTGTAAGGCCTTTTTGTGGAACCAAAACATAAAGTCCGACTAAAGACAGAAGAAAAAGAAAACAAAGACAATCACCTGAAGGGGTAGCATCGGTTGACACACCGCTCAAATCTGATGGAGTGGTAGGATGTTCGGGTGTGAAAGCTGTTAAATAAGAACGTTTTATTTATAGTTTTTTTATTTATAGAAAAACGCAAATGCATTCAATTGGTACTAAATTTTGACATAAGGTTTCAAAAGATCGTTGAAACTTTGAAGTTTTTGTGCAAATTCAAAAGGATTACCTTCAGAGCCGGAATTGGTAGATACATCACCACCGCCCAGAATCACTACAGTTGTAGCATTCTCCGTCGTAAGTGCTGGTAAACATAATCAAAGTAGTTTGTTTTTAATAAACACAGAAACAAAGATAAAACTGAATTAACACGGTGTGTTTCACTTCAAAAGAATGGTTCAAATAATATACTCTAACTAATGTGTTTTCACTAAGCAAAACTGCATACATGTATTAAAGAATACTAGAATACTTTCAGAGACAAAATCGATCGATATGTCGTCAGTGACTGCTAGGGATGCCGTTTGCCTGCAGTCTTGAATGGTGTTAGGTTCGGAATAACAAAGTTTCCTTCAACTTTTGAAAACAAAATAGCAAGTCGTTGAAATTACACTAATCCATTTCATGATATAAGACAGGATATATGGGTTAACTGGTCAATCGCCGTCAGAGCTGGTCTCGGTAGATACATCGTCGGTAAATTGCCTGGATGTGGTTTGTTCAGTTTGAGGTGCTGCATCGAAACACACACAAAACTGAGATCCGAAATAGGCCATTTTTACAATGACGCAGGTTGCGATAAAAAAAATCGGTCTCACTGATTTTCAGAAAGAGAAAGCAAAACCACTGTTCGTTACCTTCAGAGGAGGAGTCTGTAAATGCGACGCCAGAAACTACTTCAGTTGTCACTTGCTCGGTTGGTGATGCTGAAGGCAATCCGACAAAAATAATGGTTATAATCACCTACAGCCCTACACTAGTCTGTGGATTTACTGATCCACTGCTGTGGATGTGGCTTGTTCGGTTGAAAATTAATTAGGACTGGGCGAGTAGCGGATTTTGCTCCTCCAGTATGAGCAGAGAAATTATTCGCGAGTAGTAGAAATACTCGCGAGTAGTTTATCAAATTCTCATAAAAAAATGTAAAGTGCGAGTGCAAAATAAGTTGTTGCCGTGTTGCAAGAAGTCATGCATGAAAGTCTTGCATGAAATCGATCAAAATGATCCTTGCCAGAGCTTGAAAATGCAACGCCGAAAAATGCGACGCCGACGGCACACTGTATGGAGCACCATACTTGTGGTCAATTTTCGGGGACAGATAGACAGACAGACAGACAAACACACCGCCCGACCGACTACCAAGTGACATTTGGAAGCTCCTGTCAGAGCTTAAAAACCAAATAAGCAGCTGGAGATTATCTTCAATTATTCTTGAAACCAACTAGAAAGTCACTTGACTATACACAGTGTCACCCATTCAAAGAAATTACCCCAGCACTTGTATATGTACGGTTTCATTGATTCGTAGGGGAATAAACACAAAGCAATACAATGTATAGGAACTACATGTAAATGGGTTTGTTACCTGTTGTGGCTGACTCGCTTGATACATCGCTGGTGGATGCTGTGGATGAAGCTTTTCCAATAGTGAATGCTGCATCAGAACACATCAATATTAATAGGTCATTTTGTGTAAAGAGGCAGTCTACGATAAACGCACCAATGCTTACATAAGCATAGCGGTAACAATACCACTGAAACGGAAAAATGAACATATCTATTCCGGAATAAAAATCTAAAGTGTGTCACCTTCAAAGAAAGAAAGGGTAGATTTGTCAGACACTGCTTGAGTTGAAAATATTTCGGTTGCTGTAAGTATTTTTTGCACTAAAAGAATAGACGAATTTAAAAAAAAATCGGTTCTTTAACATATCAGATAGACACGACCCCGGTAAGTCTAATTAAAGTTGTTGCCAAATGTTTTCTTAACGGAGGCTGATTGCATAAAACGATAAATGCGAAATATAATTGTAAGGCCTTTTTGTGGAACCAAAACATAAAGTCCGACTAAAGACAGAAGAAAAAGAAAACAAAGACAATCACCTGAAGGGGTAGCATCGGTTGACACACCGCTCAAATCTGATGGAGTGGTAGGATGTTCGGGTGTGAACGCTGTTAAATAAGAACGTTTTATTTATACTTTTTTATTTATAGAAAAACGCAAATGCATTCAATTGGTACTAGGTTTCAAAAGATCGTTGAAACTTTGAAGTTTTTGTGCAAATTCAAAAGGATTACCTTCAGAGCCGGAATTGGTAGATACATCGCCACCGCCCAGAATCACTACAGTTGTAGCATTCTCCGTCGTAAGTGCTGGTAAACGTAATCAAAGTAGTTTGTTTTTAATAAACACAGAAACAAAGATAAAACTGAAATAACACGGTGTGTTTCACTTCAAAAGAGTGGTTCAAATAATATACTCTAACTACATGTAGCAAAACTGCATGTATTAAAGAATACTAGAATACTTTCAGAGACAAAATCGGTCGATATGTCGTCAGTGACTGCTAGGGTTGCCGTTTGCTTGCAGTCTTGAATGGTGTTAGGTTCGGAATAACAAAGTTTCCTTCAACTTTTGAAAACAAAATAGCAAGTCGTTGAAATTACACTTATCCATTTCACGAAATAAGACAGGGAATAAGGGTAAACTCGTCAATCACCGTCAGAGCTGGTCTCGGTAGATACATCGTCGGTAAATTGCCTGGATGTGGTTTGTTCGGTTTGAGGTGCTGCATCAAAACACACACAAAATTGAGATCCGAAATAGGCCATTTTTACAATGACGCAGGTTGCGATAAAAAAAAAATCGGTCTCACTGATTTTCAGAAAGGGAAAGCAAAACCACTGTTTGTTACCTTCAGAGGAGGAGTCTGTAAATGCGATGCCAGAAACTACTTCAGTTGTCACTTGCTCGGTTGGTGATGCTGAAGGCAATCCGACAAAAAAAAATGGTTAATCACTTAAAGCCTACACTCTGTGGATTTACTGATCCACTGCTGTGGATGTGGCTTGTTCGGTTAAAAATGCTTAATTGAAAAACATTAAACGGCAATTTTATACAATTAGACAGATTCTTATTAACTAATCAGTTGCATTACAGTTCTCATGAATATAATCAAAACTTATATTTGAAGGGAATTTTTTTTTAATATCAACGGTTAAAAACAAAGGAAATCTTTGTAACCTTCAGTAGTTGGGTCGGTAGATGCAATGCTGGAAACTGCCTCGGTTGTCACTTGATCCGTAGTCTGATTGGTAGAAAATTCTGATGAATGTAGAAATAAACAAAGAAACAAAAGCAAAAATATGATATAATTTCCATCAAAATTTACAGAGATTGTCGAAATCGTTGACGTCTTCGAAAAAAATATATGGAAAACGGAGTACCTTCAGTGCCGGACTCGGTAGATACATCGCCTATAGCTGCAGTACTCATTGCATTCTCAGTCGTCAAAGCTGACGAATAGGAGACAAATGTTTTTAAATCATCATTTATATATATATATATATTCTGTCAATTCACTTCAACAACTGTTTTTTTCTCCCCAAAAAATGATTTGTGTGTTTCTCATGTAAGTGAAATATATGGAGGTTTTTTTCGCGCACAAATAGATCCAACCCGACAGTAGACCGGTATCCGTCCCCGCAGTATTGATTATAAAATGGAGGCGGGTTCCAGTCTATCCTTTGAGATATACTTATATGAAAGGCCGCAAATAATTGATATTAATTTCGTGTGGATCAATATGGATAGATAATGCACGGGTAATTTCAACACCACGGATCTTACAGTGTATGGAATATTGCAGTACCTTCAGTTGTAGACTCGGTAGATACATCGCCAGTAACTTCTTTGGTGGCAGCTTGTCCCGTTGCAAATACTGATTACATAAACGAAAGAAGCATGCATTAGATTTCTTTAATTAGTTGAGCTAAAATTACGTGTCAATGAAAACTAAAACTCAAGAAAACTCAAGAAATAAAAAAGCGAATTACCTGTGGTAGCCTCAGTAGATGCATCGCCGGTAACTGCTGTAGATGTGGCATATCCGGTTGAAAATACTTAATCGGAACAAAACATTTGAACAGTCATTTTTATACAATTGGACAGATTGTTATCAACCGTGTCGTGTTACAGTAATTGTTGTTTATCATTCAAATGTCTTTTTGAAGCAAAAAATATGTTTTTTTTTTTTTTTCACCTTCAGTGGTTGGGTCGGTAGGTGCAATGCTGGAAACTGCTTCGGTTGACACTCGATCCGTTGTGTGATTGACAGTCAGTGCTGATGAGTGCAGAAAGAAACGAAAGTAATCTCGTTCAGAAATATTATGCAATTTTGATCAAAATTACAAAGATTTTCAAAATCATTGAGGTCTTAGAAACAAACAAAATGAAGTTTACCTTCATTGGCGGACTCGGTAGATATGTCGTCCAAGGCTACCACTGTTGTTGCATTCTCAGTCGTGGGAGCTGGCGAGTATGACAGTGAAAAAAATCGTAATTTTAAATTTATATACTGTTAACAATATAATAATAAAAATATCAGTGTGGATAAATACAGATAGCTACATCACGGTGTAATTTGAACACCACGGATCTTATTTATTGTATATTGGAATACTTCAGTTTTTTTCTCGGTAGATACATTGCCAGTAACTTCTAGGGTTGCCGCTTGTTCAGTCGTAGATACCGATCAGACCAAAACAAAATTCCTTAAATTTCATAAATTATTTGAACCACATTCAAATATCGGTGAAAACAAATAAATATAATTCAACTTCAAGAAATTGAAAAGTGAATTAGGGGGCCTACCTGTGGTAGCCTCAGTAGAAGCATCGCTGGTAACTGCTGTGGATGTGGCTTGTTCGGTTAAAAATGCTTCATCGGAAAAAAACACATTAAACGACAATTTCATACAATTGGACAGATTGTTATAAACTAATCAGTTGCATTACAGTTCTCATGAATATAATCAAAACTTATATTTGAAGGGAAAAAAACATTTCAATATCAACGGTTAAAAACAAATGAAATCTGTGTAACCTTCAGTAGTTGGGTCGGTAGATGCAATGCTGGAAACTGCCTCGGTTGTCACTTGATCCGTAGTCTGATTGGTAGAAAATTCTGATGAATGTAGAAATAAACAAAGAAACACAAGCAAAAATATGATATAATTTCCATCAAAATTTACAGAGATTGTCGAAATCGTTGACGTCTTCGAAAAATTGTATGGAAAACGGAGTACCTTCAGTGCCGGACTCGGTAGATACATCGCCTATAGCTGCAGTACTCATTGCATTCTCAGTCGTCAAAGCTGACAAATATGAGACAAATGTTTTTAAATCATCATTTATATATATATATTCTGTCAATTCACTTCAACAACTGTTTTTTTCTCCCAAAAAAATGATTTGTGTGTTTCTCATGTAAGTGAAATATATGGAGGTTTTTTTCGCGCACAAATAGATCCAACCCGACAGTAGACCGGTATCTGTCCCCGCAGTATTGATTATAAAATGGAGGCGGGTTCCAGTCTATCCTTTGAGATATACTATGGGCCGCAAATAATTGATATTAATTTCGTGTGGATCAATATGGATAGATAATGCACGGGTAATTTTAACACCGCGGATCTTACAGTGTACGGAATATTGCAATACCTTCAGTTGTAGACCTGGTAGATACATCGCCAGTAACTTCTATGGTGGCCGCTTGTCCCGTTGCAAATACTGATTACATAAACGAAAGAAGCATGCATTAGATTTCTTTAATTTGTTGAGCTAAAATTACGTGTCAATGAAAACTAAAACTTAAGAAAACTCAAGAAATAAAAAAGCGAATTACCTGTGGTAGCCTCAGTAGATGCATCGCCGGTAACTGATGTAGATGTGTAATGTCCGGTTGAGAATACTTAATCGGAACATGACATTTGAACAGTCATTCTATACAATTTGACAGGTTGTTATAAACATTATGTCGTATTACAGTAACTGTTATTTATCATTGAATCAAATGTCTTTTTAAAGCAAAAATATGTTTGTTTTATTTCACCTTCAGTGGTTGGGTCGGTAGATGCAATGCTGTAAACTGCTTCGGTTGACACTTGATCCGTTGTGTAATTGACAGTCAGTGCTGATGAGTGTAGAAAGAATCGAAAGTAATCTCGTTCAGAAATATTATGCAATTTTGATCAAACTGTACAAAGATTTACAAAATCATTGAGGTCTTCGAAACAAACAAAATGAAGTTTACCTTCATTGGCGGACTCGGTAGATATGTCGTCCAAAGCTACCACGGTTGTCGCACTAGTCGTGAAAGCTGGTGAGTATGACGGAAGAAAAAAAATGATTCGTCAGTATACAGGGTGAGTAAAAAAAAACCCGAAACCCAAATGTCGGGACTATTGTTTTTGTGAAGTTCTGCATGCGGCACTTTTTAAATCTAGGATATAAAAGCCCAATTCATAAGCTTTTTTTTAGTACAAGTATCGGTTAAATTACTTATGTATTGTTCATTTTACGGAATTTTAAACACAACCACCGTTTTAAAGCTCTGTCCACGGTATTTAAAAAAAAGGGTGTGCGTTCTTTCAGCGAAACGAAAACAATTCTCACACACTCCAATGTGATTTGTTTTCGTTTTGCTGAAAGGGTGTAATTTTAACACCGCGGATCTTACAGTGTATGGAATATTGCAATACCTTCAGTTGTAGACTCGGTAGATACATCGCCAGTAACGTTTATGGTGGCCGCTTGTCCCGTTGCAAATACTGATTACATAAACGAAAGAAGCATGCATTTGACTTGTTTAATTCGTTGAGCTAAACTTCAGTGTCAATGAAAACTAAAACTCAAGAAAACTTAAGAAATAAAAAAAACGTGAATTACCTGTGGTAGCCTCAGTAGATGCATCGCCGGTAACTGCTGTAGATGTGGCATGTCCGGTTGAAAATACTTAATTGGAATATAACATTTGAACAGTCATTTTTATACAATTGGACAGATTGTTATCAACAAATATATGTCGTGTTACAGTAAGTGTTGTTTATCATTCAAATGTCTTTTTGAAGCAAAAAATATGATTGTTTGTTTTTCACCTTCAGTGGTTGGGTCGGTAGGTGCAATGCTGGAAACTGCTTCGGTTGACACTTGATCCGTTGTTTGATTGACAGTCAGTGCTGATGAGTGTAGAAAGAATCGAAAGTAATCTCGTTCAGAAATATTATGCAATTTTGATCAAACTTTACAAAGATTTTCAAAATCATTGAGGTCTTAGAAACAAACAAAATGAAGTTTACCTTCATTGGCGGACTCGGTAGATATGTCGTCCAAAGCTACCACGGTTGTCGCACTAGTCGTGAAAGCTGGTGAGTATGACGGAAGAAAAAAAATGATTAGTCAGTATACAGGGTGAGTAAACAAAAAACCGAAAACCAAATGTCGGGACTATTGTTTTTGTGAAGTTCTGCATGCAGCACTTTTAAAATCTAGGATATGAAAGCCCAATTCATAAGCTTTTTATTAGTACAAGAATCGTTCAAATTACTTATGTACTTTTCAAGTTACGGAATTTTAAACACAACCACCGTTTTAAAGCTCTGTCCACGGATTACAAAAAAAGGTGTGCGTTCTTTCAGCGAAACGAAAACAATTCTCACACATCCCAATGTGATTTGTTTTCGTTTTGCTGAAAGGGTGTAATTTTAACACCGCGGATCTTACAGTGTATGGAATATTGCAATACCTTCAGTTGTAGACTCGGTAGATACATCGCCAGTAACTTCTATGGTGGCCGCTTGTCCCGTTGCAAATACTGATTACATAAACGAAAGAAGCATGCATTAGATTTCTTTAATAAGTTGAGCCAAAATTACGTGTCAATGAAAACTAAAACTCAAGAGAACTCAAGAAATAAAAAAGCGAATTACCTGTGGTAGCCTCAATAGATGCATCGCCGGTAACTGCTGTAGATGTGGCATGTCCGGTTGAAAATACTTAATCGGAACATAACATTTGAACAGTCATTTTTATACAATTGGACAGATTGTTATCAACAAATATATGTCGTGTTACAGTAAGTGTTGTTTATCATTCAAATGTCTTTTTGAAGCAAAAAATATGTTTGTTTGTTTTTCACCTTCAGTGGTTGGGTCGGTAGGTGCAATGCTGGAAACTGCTTCGGTGGACACTTGATCCGTTGTGTGATTGACAGTCAGTGCTGATGAGTGTAGAAAGAATCGAAAGTAATCTCGTTCAGAAATGTTATGCAATTTTGATCAAACTGTACAAAGATTTTCAAAATCATTGAGGTCTTAGAAACAAACAAAATGAAGTTTACCTTCATTGGCGGACTCGGTGGATATGTCGTCCAAAGCTATTACTGTTGTTGCATTCTCAGTCGTGGGAGCTGGCGAGTATGACAGTAAAAAAAATCGTAATTTTTACTTATATACTGTTAACAATATAATAATAAAAATATCAGTGTGGATAAATACAGATAGCTACATCACGGTGTAATTTGAACACCACGGATCTTATTTATTGTATATTGGAAAACTTCAGTTGTTTTCTAAGTAGACACATTGCCAGTAACTTCTAGGGTTGCCGCTTGTTCAGTCGAAGATACTGATCAGACGCAAAAAAAACTTCCTTAAATTTCATTCATTATTTGAGCCACATTCAAATATCGGTAAAAACTAAAAATTATAATTCAACTTCAAAAAATTGAAAAAGTGAATTAGGGGGCCTACCTGTGTTTCTAGCCTCAGTAGAAGCATCGCTAGTAACTGCTGTGGATGTGGCTTGTTCGGTTGAAAATGCTTCATCGAAAAAAATAACATTAAACGGCAATTTGATACAATTGGACAGATTGTTATAAACTAATCAGTTGCATTACAGTTCTCATGAATATAATCAAAACTTATAGTTGAAGGAAAAAACATTTCAATATCAACGGTTAAAAACAAATGCAATCTGTGTAACCTTCAGTAGTTGGGTCGGTAGATGCAATGCTGGAAACTGTCTCGGTTGTCACTTGATCCGTAGTCTGATTGGTAGTAAATTCTGATAAATGTAGAAATAAACGAAGAAACAAAAGCAAAAATAACTTAATTTCGATCAAAATTTACAGAGATTGTCGAAATCGTTGACGTCTTCGAAAGAAAATATATGGAAAATGGAGTACCTTCAGTGCCGGACTCGGTAGATACATCGCCTATAGCTGCAGTACTTATTGCATTCTCAGTCGTGAAAGCTGACAAAAAAAATTTGTCGAATTTTTCGGCCAATGTTTCATTCAAACATGCATAGCTTTTATACTGTTAAAAAAATAAAAGCAAAATCTATTTTTGTAGGTGAAAATTGAAAATAGCACTGACATTAACATGGAAAATGTTACCATTGATATTAATTCCGTGTGGATCAATGCAGATAGATACTGCACGGTGTAATTTTAACACCTTGGATCTTATAGTGTATGGAATAATATTGCAATACCTTCAGTTGTAGACTCGGTAGATACGTCGCCAGTAACTTCTATGGTGGCCGCTTGTCCCGTTGCAAATACTGATTACATAAACGAAAGAAGCATGCATTAGATTTGTTTAAAGCTATAGTCCATCATTTGCAGCAATCCGAAAAGTAACTGGCGTAATTATTGTTGAAAAACATACTTGGTTGAAAGATAGTAAGGGGACTAAACTCCCTGTGAAATTATTCTTTCTGGCAAGCTCTCATTTTGAAGAAATCAACGATAGAAGGACTTTCCAACGGTGTGTCTTCAGAAGCACCGTTGGAAATTTCCGTCAGTAGTTCGTTTTTTTATTCGGCGAAGCACGCGCAAGCGTGACACGATGCACACGCGCGCGCAGTTGCTATTATTCGTCGGATCGGTGCGCGACATCGCGTAGCTGCAATCGGCTCAGTGAGAACGTGTCTCGAACGCTGAATTCAGGCCCAATTCAAAACATGATTCAGCAAATTTTGATTTGAAATCGAGATCCTAGAATGTTGTTTTTCTCGAAATATATATCTGAAGCTGAGCTGAAACTTCATCAGGTTAGTTGTTCAGCTCCCTTCTTCTGTTTTTGCGCACTTTTGTTGCTTCAAACGAACAAAATGCACAAATTACAAATGATGGACTATACCTAAACGTGTCAATGAAAACTAAAACTCAAGAAAACTCAAGAAATAAAAAAGCGAATTACCTGTGGTAGCCTCAATAGATGCATCGCCGGTAACTGCTGTAGATGTGGCATGTCCGGTTGAAAATACTTAATCGGAACATAACATTTGAACAGTCATTTTTATACAATTAGACAGATTGTTTTGAGCAAATATGTCGTATTACAGTAACTGTTATTTATCATTGAATCGAATGTCTTTTTGAAGCAAAAATATGTTTGTGTTTTGTTCACCTTCAGTGGTTGGGTCGGTAGGTGCAATGCTGGAAACTGCTTCGGTTGACACTTGATCCGTTGTTTGATTGACAGTCAGTGCTGATGAGTGTAGAAAGAAACGAAAGTAATCTCGTTCATAAATATTATGCAATTTTGATCAAATTTACAAAGATTTTCAAAATCATTGAGGTCTTAGAAACAAACAAAATGAAGTTTACCTTCATTGCCGGACTCGGTAGATATGTCGTCCAAAGCTACCACGGTTGTTGCACTAGTCGTGAAAGCTGGTGAGTATGACGGAAGAAAAAAAATGATTAGTCAGTATACAGGGTGAGTAAAAAAAATAACCGAAACCCAAATGTCGGGACTATTGTTTTTGTGAAGTTCTGCATGCAGCACTTTTAAAATCTAGGATATGAAAGCCTAATTCATAAGCTTTTTTATTAGTACAAGAATCGTTTAAATTACTTATGTACTTTTCAAGTTACGGAATTTTAAACACAACAACCGTTTTAAAGCTCTGTCCACGGATTACAAAAAAAGGTGTGCGTTCTTTCAGCGAAACGAAAACAATTCTCACACACCCCAATTTGATTTGTTTTCGTTTTGCTGAAAGGGTGTAATTTTAACACCGCGGATCTTACAGTGTATGGAATATTGCAATACCTTCAGTTGTAGACTCGGTAGATACATCGCCAGTAACTTCTATGGTGGCCGCTTGTCCCGTTGCAAATACTGATTACATAAACGAAAGAAGCATGCATTAGATTTCTTTAATTAGTTGAGCTAAAATTACGTGTCAATGAAAACTAAAACTCAAGAAAACTCAAGAAATAAAAAGCGAATTACCTGTGGTAGCCTCAATAGATGTATCGCCGGTAACTGCTGTAGATGTGGCATGTCCGGTTGAAAATACTTAATCGGAACAAAACATTTGAACAGTCATTTTTATACAATTGGACAGATTGTTATAAACAAATATATGTCGTGTTACAATAAGCGTTGTTTATCATTCAAATGTCTTTTTAAAGCAAAAATATGTTGTTTTTTTTTCACCTTCAGTGGTTGGGTCGGTAGGTGCAATGCTGGAAACTGCTTCGGTTGACACTTGATCCGTTGTGTGATTGACAGTCGGTGCTGATGAGTGCAGAAAGAAACGAAAATAATCTCGTTCATAAATATTATGCAATTTTGATCAAACTTTACAAAGATTTTCAAAATCATTGAGGTCTTAGAAAACATACTAAATGAAGTTTACCTTCAGTGCCGGACTCGGTAGATATGTCGTCCAAAGCTACCTCTGTTGTTGCATTCTCAGTCGTGGGAGCTGGCGAGTATGACAGTAAAAACAAATTATTTATTTATACACTGTTAACAATATAATAATAAAAAATATCAGTGTGGATAAATACAGATAGCTACATCACGGTGTATTATGAACACCACGGATCTTATTAATTTTATTGAATACTGGAATACTTCAGTTGTTTTCTCGGTATAGATACATTGCCAGGAACTTCTAGGGTTGCCGCTTGTTCAGTCGTAGAAAACTTCCTTAAATTTCATATATTATTTGAACCACATCCAAATATCGGTAAAAACTAAAAATTATAATTCAACTTCAAGAAATTTAAAAAGTGAATTAGGGGGCCTACCTGGGGTAGCCTCAGTAGAAGCATCGCTAGTAACTGCTGTGGATGTGGCTTGTTCGGTTGAAAATGCTTCATCGAAAAAAAATAACATTAAACGGCAATTTGATACAATTGGACATGTTATTAACTAATCAGTTGCATTACAGTTCTCATGAATAAAACATTTCAATATCAACGGTTAAAAACAAATGCAATCTTTGTAACCTTCAGTAGTTGGGTCGGTAGATGCAAGACAGTAGAAAGAGGACTTGTTAAATGTGATATCATCGGTAAGTGGGATGCAGCACATACAGTGTGCATCTACATGTACATGTACATGTACATGTACATGTATATCTATCAGTACCGTGCGTGATATATTACTCATGAGTTTCTAGTGACGTCATAGTCATGCATATTCATTACGCGCTCTACTGTCGTGCCATTTTATGCTACCTAATCTACTGCACTCACCCAACGTCGCATCATATGCCAACCTCACCAAATCATTAAATGTGTTCACAATCGAGCTGTTGGAAAGTTTCACAGGGCGTCTACCAACTTTTATTCATTTCCAATTTACCCCTGTGGCAGGTACTTAACCTGGTGACGTACCTAACTTTGCATTTGAAAAACAATGATTGACATGTATCGTACAACGCCCAAACGTAGGTAACCCCGGATCTGTGAGGTTAAAATGTAACACAACGGGGTCGAATAGTACATTTCTTTGCAGACAAAGTTCAAGCAACTTTGGAATTTTTTTTAACTCGAGTATTTGCTGGGGTTTGGTATAGACCAAGCAAGGCACAGGCGACACAGTGTGGTGTATGGCTTGCGATTGGAATCTGTAAAATAATCACACAAACCGCTTCTTTGTTTGTATACAAATCGGTCACACAACTGTGGAATAATTATACCTGATTGCGCATTGAAGGTGAGCGGTTGGCCCATAAAAGGTATTATGTATTGTTGCCGTATTGAAATTTCATTTTTTTTTCAGATTTCTACACCTCTACTAATGTGAATTACAATCTAATTTTCCAGTATATTTCAGACATAATTAATTAGAATTGCGTATTGTAACTAACATTTCCCGACTGCACTGTAACCTTCTCTAAATGTAAAAGAGTGAAAAACTATTGAAAGTTGTTCCCTATATCGCTCTTTAAAAGGAGTGGACGTTTTTGTATTCTTAGTTCACTCAAAAAGAAGCAAACGTCTCTCTGAAACAGTGGGGGAAAAACACTGGAAAAGAGTTGTCACCCGTATCCTCTTTAAACAAAAGTCAATTCACTTTTAGTGTACTCAAAAAGATGCAAACTTCTCTGTGAAACGAAGAAAAACCACTCGAAAATAGTTGTCCCCCATGGCTTTTTAAAAGAATGGTTTTCACTCGGTCTCATTTAGAGCATTCGGTCTTGAAGACTCTGCGATTGAAAACTGAATTACTCAAGATTCACACTAATGCCAATCAATATAATTTCAGACATGGTATTAAACAGTTTCAAAAAAGTAACTGTAAATAACGAAAAGGGTTTACCTTGAGCAGCCGTGAAAGAAACAAGAAGAGTAAACAAAAACGATGAAGCTCGTAAGAGTTTCCGAGTGTTCTGTCGACGAGGCATTTTTACTAACAAGGTCCAGCAGTCAGTCTGATCCACTGCACTCACCCAACGTCGCATGCCACCCTCACCAAATCATTAAATGTGTTCACTATCGAGCTGTTGGAAAGTTTCACAGGGCGTCTACCAACTTTTATTCATTTCCAATTTACCCCTGTGGCAGGTACTTAACCTGGTGACGTACCTAACTTTGCATTTGAAAAACAATGATTGACATGTATCATACAACGCCCAAACGTAGGTAACCCCGGATCTGTGAGGTTAAAATATAACACAATGGGGTCGAATAGTACATTTTCCAATGTAATGTAATGTGAAACACAACTTGAAGTGTTCCAACTAATTCTCCTTCGAAATAATACCACCCTTACAATCTATCAGCGTTGAACTTCTCCGATAAACCATTAACCCGAAACTCAATTATTTCAGAGAAATAGTTTGAAACTGTTGTTGTTTAGGCCGAAATGAGGGGACCGTTCCCGGTGCATGCAAATCAACAAGGCCAACGTCACAGTCACTGTGATTCGTTTCTAGTGTTTCCTATGCTCCAACCTACATCTCCGGTACACTATTATAGTCGTTGGAATATGCATATATTAATACCCTTTTGTGGTTATTCGTTTTCTTTCATGATGACCCAAATGCACGGAAACATTTCACAGGTGCTTATTTGTTTTCTATCGTACTTTTTGTGCATCGGATTTGCTATCATCCGTAAAACTGTTCACTAAACTTTGCAGTGTCTATTTGTGTCTGTTTTTTTCGCCGTGTTTATTTTGGAGCAGAGTACAACTTGTTATTTAAAAAAAATCGGACGAAATGAGGGTGTCAGTGTTAATCAACTGCTCAATTTCGTATACTGACGGAATGAATTATAATTTCGGTTCAGTGACAAAAGTGATATTTAATTGCCCCGTTGCCCGTGTGCAGAATTTCTATTAATAATTATCCTTTCATGCCCACATTGTTTATTGACTTGGCTCTCCCCAGGACCAAATTGTTTGCTCAGTCATGCGGAAATCACTAGAGCGTGAAAAAATGAGCACGAGTCGAAAACTCACTTTTTTCAACCCAGATTGTCACTGCCAAGGAGTGATTAAAATCATAAGTGTTGTGTGTAAAGTTTGTTCCTTGAACCTTACTCTTTTATGTGATGTAAAAATGAAGTCCATACGTGCAAATATAAGAAAGTTATGCCTTTTTGTTCATCTGGTCCCAATTATCAAACTGCAAGCCATTTCACCACATGACCTAATGGCACTCCATACCTCAAATTGTGCATGGATACATTCTGAAGCACTTTTCTCATGTTTTTGTAATAGTAACACTATGAATAAACCACACCATTAGAAAGATCCGAAAACACTCTTTTAGCTGGTATATAGTCGATGTATGGGCGGCCAAACATATCAACATGCTGCCTTTCTGAAAAGTAGTGAATATATCTGTGCTGAGGATGTTTTGTGTGTGGTTTCCTGGTCGACTAAAGTCGCCCATGGGAACCAGCAGGGGGGTACTTCTTGTCGACAAAAGTCGCCCATGGGAAGGAAAGTTAACAAAAGGTCTTAAAAACATGCAGGAATATGACGGTGGTGTCTCCGTCTTATTGTTGACTTCAAATTATAGTATGGTACTTACCATTATTTAAAAAGGATTAAGAAAATTAATACACGTGTTGTTATTTTCACAGCTCCAGACACAATGTGTGCAACTTGGTAAGCCTGCATGTCGAATAAAAATCCAGCAATCATCCCTCGTACCTTGTTTTCGTCCAGCTAAGGCTGTCGATACGTATTACGTTTCTTGCCTACCGACTCCACCCGGCATCCGAATATCTTTCAAGTTGTTTTTTTGTTTTACTTTAAATAATTGTACCCAACGGCGGGGGCTAAGCACTTTGCGCTTATACAAATCTATGTGGGCTTTTCAATACGGCAAAAATACAAAATACAAAATACCTTTTATGGGCGAACCACTCGCTTTCAATGCGCAATCAGGAAAAATTATTCCACTGTTGTGTGACCGATTTG